CATTCGACATCGGGGGTCTGGTGGTGCTGAAGATATAACTGAGGATATACTCTTCGCGGTACACGTCCAACGCGTACAGTCTCTGGTCGGATATTCTTTATTATGCCTTCCCAGGCTAGTAGGGGGTTGTTAGACCTTTAGATAATGTGACAGCACGGTTGGACTCAAGTACGTAGACGAGGAATCGATTAGGCTATCTCTTAGGATCTAAAGGTAAAGAGGAAAGAAAGGAAGGAAGCGCCGGAAGGCAGGGCATATATACAGGCGAGCGGTCACGTGAGTATTTCGTAGCGGGCACGTGACTCCATAACCGTGACAGACATAAGCTCCTCTTTTGGTATAGGTAGGAGGCTTGGCACTTTTGGTGGCGTAGCACTAGGCTCTTGTAGCGGCGGGGACGGTGAAGGTGGGCTTAAACTATTAATATTTAGCTAGGTATAGCTATGTTGAGCACTACTTCTTTGTTATTAATCCTAGATCTCTACTACTAAGTCACAACGGTTAGTATCCAACTAGTCTTAGCTTTTAAGTCTAACTAGGAGCTTTCTCATATAGTAGCGAGGCATGTGCTTGTCGGGTAAAGTAGATCGTACGTCTGAAGGCGTGTAGTCCTTTATGTCACGACTCTCTCCTTACCCTAGTAAGGTCACGTGGGTTAGTATGGTGAATAAAGTAAGATAAGGCAATAATATTGTAGTTAGGAAAACTTAATCAAGTTGAGCACGAAGCTCTTACCTAATGGGTGACGACCCAGAGTTATATAGATAAGAAGAAACTTTGGATCATGGCTGGATCAGCGATCCCACGATCCAAAGGTACTGGATCTATTAGATCCAAATGATCCAATCATGTGACCCCAAGGCCCACCGCCAGTCGGGGAGCCTCGCCTGCTGAGCCTATAGTCTACTGGTCCCGTGATCGTGACAGGATGTTATGTAAGGAGCTAAGCCCCAATAGGCTTAAAGCTAGGGAACGCCACTATTCTCGGCCTGACCTTTGTCGCGGGCGATTAGGCAGGCGATTAGGTTAGGTGACAGGCGATTAGCCAGGCGATCCAGGTAGTCCGTAATAATACGTTTTATTAACGTATAATATAATATATAATATTAATTTAATTTAAATAAAAATCGAAAAAATTTAAAAAAAAAACGATCGAAAATTTTAATATTTTTCGTTTAATTTTTAAAATTTATTATTAAATATTTAATTAATTTAATATAAATAATGTCACGGTTCTGGAGTCACGTGCTCGCTAAGTACTCACGTGACCGCTCACCTGTATATATGCTCTGCCTTCCGGCGCTTCTTTCCTTCCTTTCCTCTTTACCTTTAGATCCTAAGAGATAGCCTAATCGATTCCTCGTCTACGTACTTGAGTCCAACTGTAACAGCACTGTGACGATGGTGTGAGGTGGCGACGCAACGTCGGGCTATTCATTTAGAATCTAAAGCTAAGGAGAAAAGAAAGGAGAGGAGGAGAGATCTATATACATATATATGTTAGAAGTAAGGGGATGTTATATGAGGAGCTAAGCCCTAGTAGGCTTAAAGCTCGGGAACGCCACCATTCCCGGCCTGGCCTCTGTCGCAGGCGATTGGCTCAGGCGATTAGTAACAGCTGGCGCTGTGACACCAACCGTACTGTTATATAAATCGTTAAAATACGTTTAATTAAAAAAATTTATTTAAATATATTATAAATTAATAATATAATTAATAACGTAATTAATAACGTAATTAATAATATAATTAATAATATAATTATAATCGTAATTAATAATATATAATAATAAAAAATTATTAAAAAATTACGAATTAATTATTAATAATTGTGACAGCACGGTTGGACTCAAGTACGTAGACGAGGAATCGATTAGGCTATCTCTTAGAATCTAAAGGTAAAGGAGAGAAGAGGAATAAAAGAAGAGAAGATCTAGATATATATACGCCAGGAGGAAAGGGATGTCATGTGAGAAGCTACGCCCTAACAGGCTTAGAGCTCGGGAACGCCACCATTCCCGGCCTGACCTCTGTCGCAGGCGATTAGGTCAGGTGACCGGCGATTAGCCAGGTGATCCGTAACAATAATACGAATAACGCGAATCGTTAAATTTTTAATTTTTAATATTAAAATATTTTTTTAATAATTATATATAAATTAATTATTTTATTATTATTACGGACCACCTGGATCGCCTGGCTAATCGCCTGTCACCTGACCTAATCGCCTGCCTAATCGCCCGCGACAAAGGTCAGGCCGGGAATGGTGGCGTTCCCTAGCTTTAAGCCTATTGGGGCTTAGCTCCTCACATGACATCCCTTTCCCCTGGCATATATATATCTAGATCTTCTCCTCTTTCATTTCCCTTCTCTTCTTTACCTTTAGATTCTAAGAGATTGTCACAGCGCCAGCTGTTACCAATCGCCTGAGCCAATCGCCTGCGACAGAGGCCAGGCCGGGAATGGTGGCGTTCCCGAGCTTTAAGCCTACTAGGGCTTAGCTCCTCACATGACATCCCCTTACTTCTAACATATATATGTATATAGATCTCTCCTCCTCTCCTTTCTTCTCTCCTTAGCTTTAGATTCTAAATGAATAGCCCGACGTTGCGTCGCCACCTCACACCTTCGTCACAGTGCCGTCACAAGGCGATTAAGCAGGCGATTACAGCGGGCGCTGTGACACGTTGCTGGAAAGATTTAGATCTTTATACAAATTCTGTCCGTGCAATCCCATCACAGTTTCAAGCAGCAAGTCTCCAATTTTGTGGCAAACTAACATATGATCAGGGGGGTACACTGTACTGTGCTGTTTGACTATGGGCGTTCTAAAATACGATGTCATCGGCGGCAAGGAAAATTTCTAGCTGCACTCCGAATCTGCAGGATTCGACCTCACCCATCCTCCCACTCCTACGTCCACCCCTGTGTATCCTCGAATACCATTGAATACGACCACCGAACGAGTCGCAATCGATCCTTCCAAGGCTGCTCTTATAGTCGTCGATCTGCAAAATTACTTCTTGTCGCCTAGCCTTGGCCAGCCTTCCGATGCTATTGGGATGAAAGTCGTGGACAGGCTGTTGAATCATGCTATTCCAGCATGCAGGAAGGCCGGCATACCTGTTGTGTGGTTGAATTGGGGCTTGACACAGGAGGATATCGAGAGGATGCCGCCTACCATCGTGAAAGGCTTCGCCGCCGACAACAACTTTTCTGGTAAAAGGAAGATCGGAGGGTTGGGCGCAGATGTTGGACCGGTTGAGCTGGACGATGGCTCTGTGATTGATGGTGGCAAGGTACTCATGTTGGGCCAGTGGAATTCCGCCTCGTATACGCCTTTGGAAAAGGTGCGCGAGCCCAAGACATCTGGATCAACAAAAACCGATTGTCGGGATTCGGGGGTGGCACGGCGGTTGAAGAAGCTTTGAAGGCACGCGGTATCAAGACCTTGTTATTTGCTGGCTGCAATACTGATCAGTGCGTGGGTGGAAGTCTCCAAGATGCTTTCACGAGAGGCTGGGACTGTCTTCTGCTGAGTGATGGATGTGCGACGACAAGCCCAAAGTATGCTACAGAGTGTATCGAGTACAATACCGAAGGAGGCTGGGGTTTCGTGCTTACATGCAAGGAGTTTGCGGAAGGTGTCGACAATTTGCAGAAATCGCCCACTAACATGGACTAAAAGCAAACAAGTGGAGAGATGTCACAAACTTAGTCGTTTGTACATCTTTTTCTATATCAAACATGACTAAATTAGAGGTATAAAATCCACTTTTCCCTTTATCCCCACACCAGAATACTTTAACCCAATCAACGAGAAGTAAGAAGACACCCCCAAAGAAATCCACCATGCAACTAAATTTCCTCCACCTCGCCCTCCTCAGCCTCCTATCCCTCGCCATAGCCAACAGCCCCATAATCCTCACCCCAGGTCGGCATGGCGCTGCAGTAGAAGTCGACCAACAAGACGTCTGCGTCTACTTCCAAGACGCCGACTCGTCCAAAGGTATCGCCCCGAACTTCCCTGCCGGCTCAGGTTACGCTGGCCCAGGCGTCATCCTACTAGCTGGTGTTGCCAGGAATAATACTCCTATCGCAGCTGTCGTTTTGCAGAACAATGGGACGTTTGGTGAAGTTCGTTTCTCTTTTCTCATATATCTATGTTTCGTTGACTGAGGTATGTGATTAGATCCACGTCTTCTACTTTGGGGTCGCGTATACGGATAGACTTCTCTCGGAACGGGTGTGGACTGCCGGTGTAGGGTGGCATGACGGCCCGTTGAGTGGGCTGGGGTATACGAGTCGGGCGGTGGATCACTTTTTGTATGCGTTTACGGATGGGAAGACGGTGGGGAGTACGATTCGGGTGGGGTTTGCTTGTGATGGGTTGGGGCCGATGTGTGAGGCTTATTGTTCGCCGTCTGCAGGTTGGGCTTGGAATGTTGTTCAGTAGGATGAGTTTTGTTTTGGATTGCGGAGTTGTTGTGATGTTTGGAAAGTCATGTTCTGCAATAAATCAGACGAATGCACGGAAGGAACTTGGGACATTCTTCTTTCTGACCAAGTGCGAGGGAAGTGAGGTTTACTGAAAAGAGATCACATTTTTTGTTTTCGCGTCGATAGAAGCTAAAGTACATGCCACGAATTCTGCAGCAGAGAAGTCGTGCGTGTATTAGAAGTGGATCAGCTAGATAGCTTGAGATCTACTTCCTGTGCTGTGCCAGAATAGTCAAATGATTCCGATCAAAGCTCGCCATCAGATCTTCGTAGTGTATGCCCTATCCCGATCTCAAGCCCCGGATCCGACTTGTGTTCCTGGTTTTGGTGCCACTTTCAATGTGATAATCAGAGACTCCTTTTCAACCTCTTCTACCTTCTTCGAGGAGGTGTACTGAGTTTTCTTGGGTTTGCTTCGCTTCTGCATATGTTTGCGCTGGCATTCGAGCTTAGGGTCCGCTGGGCGGTTCATGATCTCATTTGCGTAGTGTCTGAAACACGTAGCCTTACAATCGGAGTGATTTTCGCCATCCGCACCTGGAATTACTGGTAAAGATGTAGGAGCCAGATTCCTGATGCATCTTTCGAGTGTTAAGAGCGATGAAGTGTAGTCCTTTGCTTCCTTCTTTGGCCATAGACCAATCCGACCAAGCTGGAGAAGTAGGCTGCCATACATGATTGCATCGCAGCTCTCAGACTTCAGCTTGCATACTGTTGAAGTCCCATTCTTGAAGCGTTCGATATAGGTATAAGGCAGGTCAAGAAGAGCTTGAATCGTCTTTGTGCGGGCTTGCAGAATGCTCTCTGATATTTAAGTGAGCTTTGAGCAGCCGAATACTATTGGGGAATTCTTACCAATAATCCCGTCTGGCATTGGACCACGGTCAATGTAGTCACGGCCATTAGTCGCCTTTCGGTCAGGACCCACCAGATGGACTGTTGCGACAAGATCCTTAGATATGGCCTTAAAATACTCCTGCTCTCCAAGAGCCCAAGCGATGTAGAGGCACCTATCATGGTCGACCTTGAATAAGCGTGACGCTGGCCACAAATCTTTGAGCCAGCGACTTGACCACGGGCGTACAAGATCATGGCAGTCATATTTCTCGCATAGAACTGCAATATTGAATAGCAAGATGAGTTTCGGCTTTCTGGGGGTGTCGCTGAATTGAAGATGTGAGATGCATAATAGGATAAGGAGCGCCTCGCCGTCGTCATCGGTACAATCAATCGGCTTGGTTGTTGTTTCTGGATTCGCTGCTTTGTCGCCAGCATTAATTTCAGCCGCACGTGGTTCTGGGGTCCCGAGGAGAAGCTTCTTCCAGACCTGAATGATATCAGCAACTTCTCCTAGAAGAGAAAAAAGAAGGATTGCTTACAGGACTTGCCAAGCCCATCGCTCCTGACACAACCTTGCCTGCAACTCGCTTTCCTTTGTAGGTAGCGATTAAGTCCACCTCTCCGCCGTCGAAGGTCAAGAGGTGATCGTAATTCTCTGCGGAAGACATGTTCTTGAGCTGTGACAACTCGAATTTTGATGGAGAGTGATAGATCGAGTATGGGTAGGACAAGAGCCTTCAAAAAGATTTGTTGTCGTGGAGGTCGAAGTTGTCGTTTGGAAGAAGAATGGCCGAAGAAGGAAGCGAGGTTGGCAATTCGTTAAATTCACCTTTTAGGGTTCACCATACCTTGACTTTCGAGTTCAGCTTCAGATTCATCACGAAGAGCGGGAGAACGCGATAAAAACACAGTCATTCATACAGCTCGAGCTCAGAGCAAAGAAGTCAGACATCATACTGGGGAGAAATGAATTCGGTGAACTTCGGACGAAATCACAAAGCAGAAGATTGAAGGAAGCAAAAATGACGACGAGAGCATTGGGATTTAATATAGCTGCAGGGCATACCGAGGAAGTCCAATGCTACCAACATGCATCCAGCTCCGCTCCCTGCAATCCCACCCTTCAATCACAGATCTACCCCTGTCAGACAGATCATACCAGCCCCTCAAAGTCCTCGAACGGGACAGACATTCTCGTGCTTGCTAATGTTTACTTCTTCGATTCCATGTGACGAATCTGAGACTCGAGGACTGGTTTCTCGATTAAGATAAGAGCGGTGTCAACTAAGCCGTGGATTCGGCATGGGTATCTGCATCTCGAATGCTTGCAATCGTAACCATCGTCACCAATTCGGTGAAGCTCGATAGACTCGATACGCGCAGCAATGGTAAGGGCACTCTGAGTGACTTCCTCAGCAGAGAGTCGGGGCCAGAGATCTTAGCGTTGAAGACCACGGACCCGTGATTGCATCGCCGTTGTCCCGGAAAGCTCCTGTGTAGGAGCAAATTAAGGCTTTTGTCGACTCATACATATTGAGTAAGCCGTACCGGCCGATAATTTTATCAAGAGCCTTGACGTGTGAGGCAAAGATGCTCTCTGCAAGGTAGGAACCAGAACAGGAATCGTTCAAAGTTCGGAAATGTCTTGCGGTATTGCTTACCGCTGATTCCCAAGGGCAGCGTTAGCCTCGACAATTCGAAGCCCGATCCCATAATAGAATCGAACAAGAAGAGCGTTCTCTTGCCATTGTCCAAGATAGCTTATAGGTCGGATGACACCAGATGACTGGCATCATATCATCACTCTTCTCAGTCCTTCAGTGCCACCAAGCACTCTCCTCCCACTAACAGCACACCTCCCCTTTCCACTTTCCCATTTCCCATCCTTTCCTTTCATGAATTCTTCTTGTTTTTCGTGATTGCCTTCCAGCCATTTGTGGATACAAGTGTAACAAAACACGAAGCCTGTTTGGCATGCCGTTGCAGTTGTGATCTCTTGCTCGCAGATAGGACAGAACTCCGAATCTTGCGGAGGAAGGACTGTGAAAATTGGCAACAAGGAGGCCGCAGCAATCGGTGGCTCCTCAATCTCTGGTGCTGGATTTTCTGACTTGCCCTTGGCATCTTGTCCAGTCTGCTTTTGACTAGCTGGGCCAAACTTGGCCGACAGTGAAGAGAGACCAGAGACCACTGGGGGTGGGAGCTCAATGCCTTCTGTAGCTTTCCGAGACAATTGTCTGGCAAAGTCTGAAGCATGCCACCACTCCAAAAATTTCAAAGCAAATATGCTGGTCGGAAGGAGTATTTTCAGACTGCTCAAAGCTCTGTTGCCCAACATTCGCGGACTGAATATGCTTGTGACACCCAAGTTGCCCCCAGGCGGTCCTCCTTTTGGCTCATCTAGAGCTGCAATCGCTCTATAGTCTGCTTCTCCCAACCTCCTCATCCTCGTTCCTATCAACCACATAAATGGCGAATGGTAATTGCTGTTGTCGAACAAGTATGCTATGTTAAATGCTAGCATAGAAAAATAGTATGCAGCATTAACACTGGGGTATATATTCCGCAGGAACCAGCGATAGTAATGCATAAATCTCTGCTTCAGGGTCGGATTCGGCGGCATTCGTGTGTAGTTCGCCCCCAGCAAAGATCTCGGAGCATTGATATCATAGCTCTCGTCCAGCTTCCTTTTCAGATACGGCAGACCCACCATCACTGCCAGATTCTTCCATATGTCTGCATTGCTCAGTGTAAGGGCTTCGCGGACTTGGGAAGCTGCCGCAATGTTCGCTCGAGGAATTTCACCCACGGACAATGCTTTCTCCCGTTTGAGGCCATAGAAGTTCTCTGTGAATCCGCCACCATGTGTCTTGAGGTAGTGACGTTCTACTACCAGCATAAGCAAGGCATAAAGCTCATCAAAAGAGTTGAGAACTCGTAGAAGGTAGCGTGGTTGTCGGTGAGTAGCCACCGCTAGGAGATATCGGAGAGAGGGCGGGAGAAGAGAGGCGAGTTGAGCTTCGGACAGCAGCTCGAACAGAGAAGGTTTGTGGTCATCGAAAGTCGAATGGAGAGCTGTCATGAAGTCCATGGCTGCTGATTGATGGGAGCTCTAGAAAGCTGGTCGTGAAGCAGCTATTGTTGAAATTGGTATTTACGAGGCTGAGAAAAGAAGCCGAGGTTGACTTAGAGATGGCACGTGACGTGAATCGAGAGCAAACCATGATATGTTTTCCACGGATTCGTCTGTCGCATCTGAGTCTCTGCATATCAACATCAAGCTTCCATGAAAGGACTGAACTGCTTATCCTTTCTCGGGTCGAAGGTTGAGGTTCCACCTACCAGGATGACCTCTCCTGCTCCAACTCTCTTGACACTCCCCCAAGAGATCCTCCTTCAAATCTGTGAATACTCCTTGCCTACCACCATCTCAGTTGGCAAAAATATTTGTCGGCATGCAGGCCAAATGCATAGACCGCACCGCATCCATAAAGCTCCTTTCACGTCGCAGATGCCAACACTATATACTTGCCGCCTCCTGAGTCAACTTACCTCAAGCGTGCTTTACACAGTCCCAGCCTATCATCTTCACGTCGCAAGCCCGAGTATCAGATGGCAATCTCGGGATCGCCATTGGCAGGATGTTCTTTTGAACTCTCATGGAGGAGAGTTGCGCAAAGTCATGCTGTTCATTGAGCTTCACAGAGGTATTCTATGTTGCAATGAGCATTGTCCTGAGCCGGGCAACTTCTCACGAGAAAGGTGTATTCCAAGGCATCGAATCACGCAGGGTGGGGCAATCTACCTGTGTGTCAATCAACTCAGAGAGATGGTTACCCTTCTCCTCAACTCTCGAAAAATGAAGATTGAAGAATTGGTCGTGGGTTGGTCTATGAGCCCATGGATATCAGGCCATCATCAGAACCTTGCAAGGACTGTGCTGGAACCCCTTTCTGTACTGCGTGGATGGGTCACAAACGTTTCTCTGGGACTTCCGGGTTGGGAAAGCGCAGATTGGGTGTATGATATCGTGAGTGATTTGGTCTTGAAAGAAACGGAGTGATGTGGGTCTCTGTTCTCCTTTTGATATTCTTGTTCTTCTTTTCAAAAAGGAATCTTCAAGTTCTCATTGACGCGAGCTGTGTTTTGGGGAGTGGCAATGAATTTGAAAGATGAAAGTGGATTGCAAAGATGGAGATACGCCTGGGAGGCCTCATCCTCCATGTTCACCATGAAGCTACGTCCAAAATTGCCAAATATTACTCTACATCACATTACTTATAATTTACTTGGCTTCGAGGTCAACCTTGAGCAGAATTACAAATTATTCTCCAGGCGTCGTCACGGTTCGTACCCAGGCAATGTCTCTACTGCCGTTACTCCGCCCCAAGACGTCACATTTCCCCTCCTTACTCCATCCCTAGGCGGAACTGGAGGAGCATATTCAGGCAATCCATCTTCACCTCTACTTCCCCGTCTCCAAGTTCTTTGATTCAATTCATGCTCATAAGCCGGTGCTGCGACTTTAGGCTCGAATTTTCTTTTCCTTCTCTGGTAAAGTCCAGCAAGAACCATGGCGCCAATCGTTATCGTTGCACAGCCAATTGCGATGCCGATGATTGTACCTGAAGTAAGAGCAGCTTTCCCCGAATTACTTCCCCCTGAACCTTGGCAGGAATAAGTGATGTTCAAGACCGGATCGTCACTCAAGTGGGTTGCAGATGACCACGTATTCATAGCGGGATCGCAATCAAGAAGCCCTTCACTGTTGATGATCAAATCATGCTCGATGTACCGGAGAGAAGGGAATGAATAGCTGTTCCTCGTTAGACAGTGGAAATTACTGTGCAGATGCTCATACCTGGCAATATTCCCATCTAGCACGATACTCGAAACATTATTCAATGCCGTAAGATTAACATTTGTGGGAATCGGACTCCCTCTGAAGGAGAAGTCTCCATCGATTCTCTCCAGCCGTGGGAACGAAAAACTGTTTACGTCAGCTTCGTCTCAATTTTGTTCTTCGGCCTTGTTTCGCGTACTCTGAGATTGTTCCAAACAACGAGACCTGCGTTACATTTTGAAGTGCAGGAAAATCGAAACCGAGAGGTGTTCCGTTCGCCGCAATCGTCAACCCTGTCGACTGAGGGTTTCCAACGCCGGCGCCAGCGATTGTGGCTAGACGTGGTGCATCGATGCTATCAAGAAGATTTAAGTAATCTGACAGGATTTGGTGACATGGTTGCTAACCTTGTAAAGTTCCCGACAGCATAGAACGATGTAGTGTTCTGAAGAACCGGAAATGTGAGTGACATAAGATTGAATGTCTGCCAGTTGATGTTTGCATACTCCAGCGCTGAGGCTGATCCGTCGGCAAGAGGTACGGTTGGCGCAATCGTCAAATCATTTGTAACGGTTATGAGTTTGTCAAAGTTCGTGCTAGAATGTATTCAGCCTTCATCTAATATTTGGCAATCGACAGTGCGTACTTGTTGATGTTTCCCGTCAGGAAAATACTCTCCGCACTTGAGAGCGATGGGAATTGCAAATCAACATTTGCAGGTCCCACATGGAGTTCCAGGGAACCGATCGATACCAAGCCTGACATTGAGATGTACCTCAGCATCGGCACGCTGTCAAAGCCACTGAAACCAGCTGTTCCAATGTTGTTCAACATATCAGCATTGATAGAGGTCAAATATGGTGCTGAGTTTGGACTTTGGGTGTCAACGTTGTAGATTGCTATCCCATCGGAAATGGAAGAGATGGGATCCAGGCTACAAGCTCCAGTGAAGTTGCTCGCAATGAACAAGCTGCCATTTATCGTCAAACATCCTTCTAGATTTATGTCTATGTGGGCTTGGCTGTACACTAGATTCTTCCCTGGAATTGATCCTGGGAAAGAGCACACATTCGTGGTATTTGCACCATCTGCACTCACGCCTGCTTGTTTGTCAGATTTGATGCTGAATTCTTCATTCAGGTTCATCACTCACCAGTCAAGAGTAGCCCAACCATGCTGAGCCAAGTCAGGCCCCGCCAAGTGTTGGTCTTACATGGCATCGCTATCTTCTGGAGGAGCTAGGGCGTCGCTCCGAATCTCTAGCAAACGTCACAGGAATGACAGCTCTAAAACATAGAGAAACAAGTGGGGAGAGAAAATTCGGGGATTTCTGAGGTTCTGGTGTGGGTGGCCGGGTAAATCATCGGTCATCCTCGCTGGCGAATCGTGAAGCCGTACCAACTTGCTGGTATGCTGCACTTGTGTGGCGTAAAGCTTGCCAATACGAGCTTCAGATAAACACCGAAACATTTTTGTTACACAAATGCAGGGAAGTGATAAGCGAAAGTGTTGAGAGCTCGTTCAGCAGGGATGGACATATTTGAAGAATTTTTAGCCGTATACAGTTCCATTGCGTGTTCTTTCTTTTCCTCGGCGGTTTATTGATGGCTATCGACGACATCAGCGTTTGACGTATTGATGTCGCTGCAGTAAATGGGACAAGCTAAGCTCCAATAAATCCTTCATGAAATTGCAACACTCATTTACATGAGCCACACGACAAAGTGTAAATGCTGGTATGAAGTAGCAACAAAGTATTTCAAACAAGTTCACGTATGCCCTTCATGTCCGGTCCTTGTCTCCATATACCCAGCATTCTCTCCCGACTCTTCCAGCAAACTTGGCGGTCCTCCCTCATGCCGCCTATCATCCTCATCAAAGTCACTTAAAGAGCTCACTTCGCTCACAGTCACCGCAGTCTCTGACATCCGTCGCGGTGCATATGTTGGCAGAGGCTCACCACGCTCATGTCGGTCATCTAGTTCATGTTCGTATGGAGGCGGTTTGACTGCTCGAGCCCTGTGCCATGTGATTTCTTTGTAGACAAAGAACAGCAAGGCAGCGAAGGCAGGTAGACCTAGGCCTATGCCAAGGCCTAGTTTGAGCTTTGTTGCTTTTGATATAGGGAGTTTTCGGGTGGAGTCACAACGGAAGCCTTTCCAAGCGCTTTTTCCGTGTTGTTGATCAGGATTTGTGATTAAGGGCGTTTTCTGGATACGTGCCCAGTCGTCGGACACAATGCCGCAGTCGAGTGGCTCATCTGAAGATATGGACAGTTGCTGCAATTCTTGTATGGTGCCTAAGCCAAGACTTCAAAGAAACGATCAGCTTCATCGAATGTTAAAAGATCATGAAGGCCAAATCCCTGCTTACCCTGTCACGTTGCCCTGCATGGTAAGGATTGTGGCATTCTCAAGTGGTGCAAGACTGAAGTTCAGGGGATAGAAGCTGTTGACCGTGACACCTCCATCGAGTGTGAGAAGAGAGGGAAATGAGAACCTATTATTTGGTCAGGTCAACATGAATTTCAATTATTTTCGACATGAGCTGGGCTGTCTCACTGTCCAATAGTCCCACTCAACACAATCTGAGTGGTATTCCAAAGCTTAGGAAAAGTCAAGTTCAGTGGATTCCCGTTGGTGGCGATCTTGATTCCTCCTCCAGATGAAAACGGACCTGGAACTGAAGACTCAAGCAGTGGCATAGAGACGCTGAACTTGATTTTAGTACGATTCAACATAATTGCAGAGGGACAGTCCAACCTTGAAATATTCCCATATAACAACAATTGACTGCAGTTTTGCAGAGCGGGAAAGTCAACATCCAACGGAGAGTATGAAGGAATGATGGAATCAAGAGAGATGGGTGTGTTAATTGTATCATTACTAGATATTGATAATTCATCGTCCACGGAGCTCAAAGATGAAAAGTCCATCCTACTCAGAATGTTAGCAGTTACCACAATTGAAAACACTGCTAAGATGTGGTCACCTGGAGATTGATCCAGAAAGTACAATGGTTGTACAATTCGTCAAAGAGGGGAAATGGAGCTCTCCCCCGGAGGCTAGGTCGACCCCAATGTTGTCGATGGTTACCAGATCGGGAAATGAAATGTTTTCCAAAGTAGGCACACCAAACACGACCAACTCTTGAACACTCAGTAGACCATTCGCCTCGATAGAAGTTATGCCTGTTGAATTTCCAGCACCATCATAAGTGCTGATTCCGCCTGCAATGTTGGTGATGTTGTTCAGGATGAAGGATCCAGTGTAGTTGTGTGCAATGTGAAGCCAGCCGTCGATGCTGGTACACCCAGCAAGCCTCTGATCCAGATCATCCTGACTCGAGAATGCAGTACTTATGTCATACTCGTCTGATGTATTGCAAGGGCTGGCAAGGGCGACTAAAGAACGTATGAGCACGATGTCCGCGAGAGATATACCTAGGTGCTCATATCTGTCACGTGGTCAGAAGAAGACGCTCACCAGAGATCGTGGAGATTGACAAGAGCGCCTGCAGAAAGGCATTCATCTTTCCTGTAAGCTTCCAGGTTCAGTGCCATCGGCTTGCAGAACATGATGGAGTGTGAAAGCTTTGCGTCGCCGTCATCTCAAAATAGAAGAAGAGGCTGTTTCGACCGGTTAAATTGTCGTGTTTGGCTACTGCATCGCTATATTAATGGCATGCTTGCGACAATATTATTCCTTGCCAATGACCAGATATAGCAAATCTGTGGTCCAAAGAGGACATCTCGGAAGGTACCTCCGTTGGTGACCGTGAAACTTGTCCATCGCAAAGGTCTGGAGCTCGCGGCCAGTAAGTATACATGTCGATAATTCTTCTTCGCTAACCGTGTAAGTCAAGGCGCTAAGGTATAAGAATCGCAAAATGTGGATGAGGATATACTTGAATTGATGTGAAGGAATTCAAGTGTCTTTCATGTGAAGTGGATCACCATGTAGGCTTTTGAGCCTGGTTTTCAAGGCTCACCAGCCTCTGTGTTCTCATCATGATCTAGATCTCACTCCTCGGCAACATCTGTCTACTCTGGTCGAAGCCGGTAACCTCAAAGCCCTTCTGAATATAGTTCGGGCTTACTCGTGAACGTAAATTGGCTGCGAGAGACGGTCAACCTGCCGCAACCATGGCTCAACAAACACCACTCGCTCCGACCGTTGGATGGATCTACGACCTCATTCTCCGGACCTTTGCCTTGGCCGTAGGGTTCTTCTTTAGAGAGGTACAAGTTCGAGGAGCATGGCGTGTGCCATCGGAGGGTGCTATTATCCTCGTAGCAGCTCCTCACTCGAATCAGGTAAGAACATCTGAATGCCACATGATCAGCCACATACTGACTGCTGTAGTTCGTGGACTCTATCGTCTTGATGAAGATCCTTCGTTCCTTGAACCGTCGAATATCATGGCTTATGGCAGAAAAATCCTTTCAGCGCAAATTTGTGGGCTTCATGGCCAAAATGATTGGAGCGGTAACCAACCCCTTTCTTCGTTCCCTCCTCTCGCTTCCTTTCACATATACCTTGTCTAGGCTCCCAAACAACTTTCAGCCTTCTCCCTAAGATTCGGCTCGTTATTTTTACAAGATACCAATTACTAACTTTCCTGGAGGTTCCTGTATCGCGAGCAATGGATATTGCAAAATCTGCCCCAGGGAAGATATATCTCGAGGATTCGAGCACGACTCCCAAGGTCATTAAGGGAATTGGTACAGACTTTACTTCCGCTTTATTCAAACCAGGTGGCTCCATTTATCTTCCAACCATGAATGGCGACTCGCAAAAACTGGACAATGGTCAAATCATTGGACCAGACACGATCATCCTAAAGAACTCAGATTTGCATCCAGATGCATTGTTTCAGCTCACTGGAAGAACCTCTGGTGTTTCGTCTCCTCTGTTTGAGGGCACTAAGTTCAAGGTCGCTCCTCATGTTGACCAAACAGAGGTGTATAATGCTGTGTTTGAAAGACTTGCCCAGGACGGCTGCATTGGAATTTTCCCCGAAGGTGGAAGCCATGATCGTACACAATTACTGCCATTGAAAGGTAATTTGGAAGCATGTACATTCAGTCAGTTGCTGACCACTCCGCAGCGGGAATCGCCATCATGGCTCTCGGAGCTCTTGCCCAGAACACTAAAGTCACCATTGTACCAGTCGGATTGACATACTTTACTGCCCACAAATTTCGCTCCCGAGCTGTCATCGAGTTTGGAGAATCTATTCCTGTCTCTGAGGCTCGGGTACAAGACTTCAAGAATGGAAAGAAACGTGATGGTGTTGGGGGCTTGATGAACGACATTTCTCAGGCACTAGCAGCTGTAACTATGTCGGCACCGGACTTTGAGACTTTGAACGTATGCCAAATCAAGCTCCAAGTTGTTTTCTTGCTAATATTCTCAGCTCATTCATGCTGCCCGACGATTGTACCTCACCAATACAACATATAGCGACGAAAAGAAGCGAATATCCTTGGCACACTCCACAGAACTCAATCGACGCTTGGTGAAAGGCTACACGACGTACTCCCAGACACCAGAGATGAAGTCTTTGATCAAAGACCTTAAGTCTTACATGGCTTCTCTGAAAGCTCTGAATCTGAAAGATCACCAGCTTCTGTCGACGTCTAGCCATCACAAACATTTCCCAATGCTGTTTCGATTGCCGACACTGCTCTACCGACTCCTCAAACTTGGCGTCTTGGGAGTCTTGACTCTGCCTGGTCTCCTCCTCTTTGCACCAATATTTATCTTGACTCCACATCTGTCGCGTCGGAAGACGGCTGAGGCCTTGGCAGCTTCGAGTGTAAAGATCAGAGGACACGATGTTATGGCAACTTGGAAGATCTTGATCGCCCTTGCACTTGCACCGATCTTCTACACTTTCTATACCATTCTCCTTGTGGTACTGAACAACTACAACCATCTTTGGGGATATATCCACTCGCGAACTCCAACTTCTCTCATCATCAGCACCTGTGTTCTCGTTCTTCCAATGATCACCTACGCTGCTCTTTTGTTTGGTGAGCAAGGAATGGACTTACTTAAGTCTATATATCCACTTGTATTGACGCTGAGCCCAACATCTTCACATATTATCAACAGGCTGATGGAACAAAGACGCGTATTGGTGATCAGAGTTCGAGAAATGATTGACAGATTTGGTTCCGAAATCTTTCCAGATTGCGACGATGTAAGCAAATGGAGAGGTCGGGGCCCGAGGAAGTTGTACGCAGATATAAGTCCTGAGACCGAGCAGGAGGACTTGTGGGGTTTGGATGAATTTGTATGACGCACAGGTGTGCACGAGAGATGAGGCTAGTCTCGATTTTGCCAGCCTTGCGGATCCGTCTTGAATGTTCGGCTTCCTGAAAATGTGCATATCAACTTGCAGATGGTTTTTGCTACCAATTTTTGAGGAAGTGTGACATCACTTTCCACGAACGAAAGGAGGACTAGCTTGGAATTGGCTCGGAGCCACAGACGGAAGTCGCGCTAATTCAGACTCTGAAATCACCTCAAACTTCTTCCTCAAACCTCACATAACTTCCCTCCATCATCAACTCTCTGTTGAAGGTCTCTTCATCCAACATGGCGACCAATGAAGGACCATCTGATTCGAACGCATTCAGCGACCTCTTCAATTTCGAGAATGGCGACGTGACGATCCAGGTTAACTACTACACGAAGCAAATCACCGGCAAGGTCGTCTCGATCGCTATGGCAATGGCCAGCACTGTCTGGAAGAAATTCATTTTTCCTCCTTGGACACAAGATCAATTGACTTCGACGGGGAATGGAGAACGCGATCTTCCTAGGCCAGCGATGACCGTCCTACCTGTCGACAAGCTAGATTTTCGAGAGGACGATGGAGATGCACTTCTGATTCTGCTCCGGATCGCTCATCTTCAGTTCAAGCACGTGCCATCAGTCGTCACGTTGGATTTTCTGTATAATATCGCGATACTCTGCAATCTATACGACTGCGTCGAACTTGTCAAGCCTTGGCTTTCATTGTGGCTGGAAGTCGCTCACAGGCGGGAGAGTCCTAAGCGTTTGATTATCGCTTGGACGTTCGGCAAGCATGAGATGTTTCAGGAAGCGTCTGAAGCTCTTACCTGGAATCTTAGAGTCTCGAGAGATGGTAGAACTTTCGTTGGCGGGGAGGACTTGGATGGTATCGTGTTCCCTCCGGGAATTTTGGGTGCGTATCCTTCCATAGCTCATGATTTAATTAAGCTTACCTATCGAAGAATCTATGTTGAAGGTTCGGGAGACAGCAATTCAGAGCATTTTCGATGTCTATCTCAAATGGATTGGCAATTACACCTGTAGCCCACACCGACGATGCTCTCTCGAGATGAACCATTGCGACCCGATCATGTTAGGCAATCTAATTCGCAAACTGGTCGAACTTGATCTTTGGCCAACGCCCAGCCCAGCGGACTGGACTGGCACTCCGCGGGGCTTGGTCTATGTAGCCAAGCTCTCCTTCGAAATTCCTCACAAGAACTGCTTGGATGCTTTTGAGAAGGACTTCGAATCCAGAACGGCACGTGAGACTCTCATCGGAGACATTGTAAGCGAGGCCGAATTGCTCCACATGGAAGGGCAAGCAAAAAGATTACAGTAGAGAATACACGAAAACAAGGTGGGATCATACGGAAATGGTCTACTTGCTTGGATCTCATACAAAACCAAGGACTTGCAGTGGAGATTGGAGCTACCAGTGTGTTGCTAATTTGATCAATGGGAATATGATTCGCTCTACTCACTCTTTCTGATGATCATGTCACGTTGACTCAAAGTAAAACAACGAGACTGCAGTAGCGCCCTCGAACCGTAGGACTGAAAGTGGGCATAAAGACGCGTCGAGTGTTACAAATCATGTCCTCCAACTCCTGAATTCTCTTTATTTTCTTCCAAAGCAATACCTGGCTCTCTCTTGCACTTGAATCCCAGCCTTGCGCCTTGGGTTCACCGCCAACTGTCGTCATAAAATTCCTTAGCGTAGTCGCGGGCTATATCAAGATACGCGCTCTTCTGTTTCTTTTCCCTCAACGACTCCTCCTTGTACAACACCAGACCTTCTTCACAACCACGATGTCTAACTTCGGTACCTTCGGAGCTCGCGCAGCCAATTCCAATGGCATTGCGAATTCGATCGCGAATGCAACAGCTGGCTCTGCGAGTCCGTTTACGCCCGCGCTGGCGACACCAACAAACTCGACTTCACAGTCCGCAAATCGAGGTGCCTTTAGCGCAAGCAACTTTAGCGGTTTCCTCTCCCACAATAGTTCGGCAAGTGACTTGAGCATCTGCCAAGGAACTGGCGCTGTACCCTTTCAGGCCTTCGTCGAGAATGAACCCAACAGTCCCACACATCAGCAGAATGCCTTCCAACACATATGTTTTCAACAACCTTACCAAAAGTGTTCCCCAGAAGAACTGAGACTCAACGACTACAATCAAGGCACAAAGTTTGTTCAGGTTCGATGTCCCCGTACTGGTGCAATTGCAGGTGCATTCGGAGGTTCTCCATTTGGTGGCTTTGGCGCGACAAATACTGCATTTGGCAGAACTGCACCATCAACACCTACAAATGCTGTTGCCATCTCCCCAGCTGCAGGTTTTGGAACTACCGGAACGAATCCAAACACTTCAGCAAACCTGTTTGGCAACAGTGCTGCAACTGCCAAGCCCGGAGTGGCTGGATTGAGCACTTCTTCAACTTCCAGCGTCTTCACTAGTTCCGCTGTGTCTGGTGCTACTCTGCCCAAATTCACCGGCTTTGGAGGAGCATGCCCTACTACCCCTACCCCAAACGCTTTTGGCAACTCATTCGGGTCCGCGAATCCGCCCTCCATCTCCGCTAGTACTACACCTAGTGGCGGCCCCTTTGCAAGCAACGGAAGCCTTTTCACTGGTCCCTTGTTCGCATCAGTTGGCGGCAACTCGCAATCTTCCGTGCTCATGAATACATTTGGCGGCCCTGTTGCAACCGGTGATCAAGTGCCAAGCGCTGTGACTGGTCCCCTCGGATCTGCAATGTTCTCTAGTCCTGCTGCTGCTACTGTTTCCACTCCTAAGGTCACTGGAGTTGGAAGCTCCGTGTCTCTGGCCAACCAATCCAGCAAGCAGCCAACTGCTAGCGGTGGAATCCTAACGAGTGCTACTGCTGGTAACAACGCCTCCAGCACGGCAGCCGCCAGCATTCCAGCTCCCTGGGACGGCCTGTTCGATCCTGACGGAGATGTCGAAATTACCGCTAAGTACCACGGTGCTACTGTTACTGGAAAGGTCTCATCCAGAATCATGGCTTTTGCTAGTCCGATCTGGAAGAAGCTCATATTCCCGGACGCGAACCGAGTCGAGGCTGCAGCACCAACACTCATCGGCGAGCAGCTCGAGAATGATGAGGTCGGAGAGCGTGCGTTACCAAAACCAGCCCTATGCAGCATCCCTGTTAAGAAGCTCGACTTCAGTGACGATGACGGCGATTCGCTTCAAGTCATCTTGAACTTGGCTCACCTTAGATTCGGCAAAGTCCCCACCACCGCTTTACCCAATCTCTACAAGTTTGCCGTACTTTGCAACAAGTATGACTGCGTCAGACTGATTGGTGGACCTTGGCTATCGGCTTGGTTGAGGTTGCCCAAGTCCCCCTCTGTCGGCACCCTATTCATTGCATGGGTTTTTGGCCAGGAGCGAAAGTTCGACAGTACCAGCTCTGTTATGATCAAGGGCATTCGTTTGGACGAGAATGGTAACTATCTGGCTCCCTCAGGAGTTGCGTTGAACTGGAACTTGCTTCCGTCGAAGACCACGTGTAGTAAGCTGCTTTCGGAACTTGTGAGTGTTTGGGACCCTGCTGAAAAATTACGCAGAACAAATTCGAGCAACTCGACGAGATACCATTGAAAAGCTTCTCAAAGTCGTATACGACGCTATTTCAATGTACGTCAACTCAGAGGAGATTCTTTGCGCCCAACGACACAAGAGCTGCCATGCTATTACCTTAGGAACCCTCATCTTGGATGCTGCTAAGGCAGATCTTTGGTATTTGGCAGGATTAGATTGTCTGTCCAGAAACTATGGATTGGAGTTTCCTCGGGTCAAGATTTCTAGACCACAATCAAAGCTGTAGCTTTGCCTATGTAATTGTACAGTGTCAATGAACAGTATCAATGAAATCATCATACTTGAAAATGCTTCGACTGACTTAATTAAATCTCACTGAGATCAATGCGCATCAACATGATGCATGCCCTTCAATTAATTCAAGGCTGACATAAAACCATCAGCCTTGCACCCAAAATTTCTCAGCCTAGTGCTACTCACTAGCAGTCCCAGTTTCGGCTTGTAAACGCTAACCCAAAGCGGTAATCCCAAAACAATTTTCCTATATCACAACTTACGGTCTCCCCAGCATCGCAAACTCCAAACACATCTCGCAAGAAATCCCAGCCACATCACGATCAAACTTGCAAAGCCACTACCTACTTCAAAATGTCCTCACCCAGCCCCCAGCCCGACTCACTGCCCTCCCCGCCCGAATTCACATTCGCGAACGCGGACATCCGTCTCAGAATCGCATACAAAGGCTCCGAAGCATATGCTCACGTCTCCTCTCAAGCCCTAGCTCTCGCCAGTCCCGTATGGAAGAACTTCCTGTTCCCACCATGGGGAAACCCCGTCTCTACCACCCCGTACATCGACAATCTAGCTTACGATGGTTACGATCGGGAAGCTCAATACATTGTCGCAAGAATCAAAGAAGAGCTAAAGAAGTTCAAGAGCACGCTAGCAGTCCACCCTGTCCAGGAGCTTGATTTCACGGAGGACAATGCCGAGGCTTTGCTTGTGCTGCTTTGCGTTGCGCACATGAAGTTCAGTTTCATGCCTACGGGCCTCCCGAGCAGAGAGCTGTTGATCCAGATTGCTATCCTTTGCAAGCAGTATATCTGCGCCGAGATGATGGCACCTTTTGTTCAGGGTTGGTTGAATAGGGAATTCTGTCCGGATAATCGTCTTTATGGTCTATTGGACAGACCGGAGGCGACACGCGCACCAGTGGAGGACTGTCTGTACTTGATGTTCATCGCGTTCGTCTTCAAGTTGCCAAAGTTCGAGATTGCCGCCAGTTGGTTGTTCCACGAGTGCCATCTTGGTCAGTTGGACAGCATCCGAAAAATTCCTCAAGGTTGGCCTGTTCCAGGTACATTCATCGGTACGCAACACTTCTGATGGGAGAATTTTCTTCAAAACTGATCAGCCTATAGACGATATCATCGCAGCTCGCGAAAAGTTGATCAAGGCTTTCTATGCCATCGCAGATGACCTCCACGAGGCTCTCAAGCCTACCCAGCTGGAGAAGTGCCTCAAGCACGATCAGACATGCAAGATTCTCTGGCTTCCGGACTTCAAGCGTCGATTTTCGTACCACGGTCTTCCCTTTCCTTTGAGGGACAACTATTCCCAGCTCACAGTCCGAGATCTCTATAGATTGGACTTCACCAGCATCGAGTTGAGGTCTTGCGTTCTTGACATGGATCGGAAGCTGTTCCATGACGCGGCAAGCAAGGCAAAGAGTACCAAGGAGCTTGTTTGGAACGAGCTTTACGAGAAGATCCGTCCTACAGCTCCGGGTGGCAGAACCAAGGTCGAGGGTGACGATTACTCTGGCCGTATTGAAGCTGTCACGGGTTTGTGGCTTGACAGGGGATAGTGAAGGCGCACAGAGTGGGTGGAGTGACAATCTTGAAGCAAGGCAATGGACTATTTGTTTTCTTAAGGAACGGGAAGCATTACACGGCGTTGAGCAACCTTAATACGAGCGATGGAAAGACTTCGTATACTGAAAGCAAGGCTTGGAGCAGGCTAGACTGTACGCATAAGATGTAGAGAGCACAAAGCACCCATAGATAGAGCATAATGAAAGCAATGGAAGAATTTTAATGCCCAAGTCGTGCTCATACACCTTTGAGAAGTTCTACATTTAGAATGGTGACATTCAGGTAACATAATACAAGGGTCCCGTTCACTGGAAGTGCACAGAAAGTTCAATACGGGCCCAAGATAACATCTTAACCCAGGTTCTACCCCCTGCCCAATCATTTCAATTCAATCATTACCAACTACTTTTCAGGTCTTTATGGATGTATATCGACCAGATACGAAGCCTAAAGAAGCAAAGCTGCGTACCAAGTCGTCCGTCAGATGCCTCGAAGTCTCGATAGAATCTGCAAGCATTGCTAAATATGATTTTTCGAACACACCACATCACTTTATAAAGCCTGGCGCTGGCCCGAGTAGAGAATAGTGTAATGCGGGGGTCGATGACACTCATCGGTGAAGCCGTTCATTTTGACCTCGCATATGCACCCGGTGAGAATCCAAGACGGGATTCCAGATTCTGGTCAGGGCGTCGTCAACAGATTCCATAAAGTCGTCAGTGCCACAGTCGTAGTGGGAACCCCTTTCAAGATGATGAATATCGACCATCCTCAATTCGTGTGAGAGTTGTACAATACTTCTACTAAGATCTTGTGGGAGTTTTCGTGGAAAAAGTCCAACGGATTGGAGGCCCAGTACGACAGATCCGTAGACAATTGCGTCACAGCAATTCGTCGATTTCTTCTCAGCACAGATTGTGTTCTTCCGTCGGCGCGATAATGAGTTTCCTCGATATATGACTTCGTATCGGTCTAGCACCTGGTATGGGATCTGCAATAGCGAGGCAATGACTTTTATGCGACAGGACAAGATGCTCTCTGAAGTGACCAAAGAGACATTAGCTTGTTCCTCACTTATCTTTGTTCTTACTGACCTATGATGTTCGGAGGCAGAGGTGTAAATGTTCTCCATGCCTGATTGGCGTTGATGCGTATTGTGGTCACCATTTGAACAGCAAGGTCTTCAAAAATCTTTTCCCTGCCAAATACCCATGCAATGAACAGCCACCCATATTGTCCTTTCTTGAACGATAGGTTGGAGGCATCTTCTTCGCCTTGCAGCCACAGATTATGCACGAGCCACGGTCGCAAAAGATGGATGCAATCATACTGGTCGCACAGGGTTGCAATGTTGAGAAGTGTCTCATAACCGAGGTGTTCCGGTACTTTATGGAATTTCAAGTGAGCTATATTGAGAAGAATCAATAAAGCTTCACTATCATTCCCGGTGCAGTCGATCTGTTTCACGCTGTGACGGAGCTCTTCGTCCGTTTGCCAAGGAGGGAACAAGAATTTTTTCCAGACAGGACTTGCAAGGTATAAAGCGTCGGAGGAAGCTTTTCCTTCCACTACCTGTCCATTGCGCTTGATCAAGAGACGGATATTGCCAGTGTCGAATGTAAAGTCCAGAGTCGGGTCCGGTGCAGCTGCTTGCGGCTCATCCGCGCTTGGCGGTGCCTCAGCCTGAGCCGTTTGTGATGATGATGCCATGCCTGATGAATCGGTTTCATGATCGCCGGCGGACGGTAGATTCTCGTCGGAGTTGTGAGTGCTGGAGGACATGATCAAGGTGTTGCGTTCTGAATGGATTTGTGAATAGCGACAAGCGACCCTCGGCAAGACAGATGACGGCTGCCTCGATTGGAAGATCGTATTGCCTCTGAAGATGATCGTAGCAGTATAGAGCAGATAGACTAAGCGATCGAAGCTGTAAAGTTGAGATTAATGGGAAGCAAGCATTGAAGATGAAGAGAGAGGAGAGTGAGGGTTGAAATGAGGTCAAGAACGCACGCGAACCCGCATGGAAGCGAGACGCCAAAACACGTGATTCGCGACAGGGGGCAGCGTCGCTCCTCCATTTACAAACTTTCTCGTAGAGATTTGAGTAGAAGATAGAGGCGGACTGTGTCCTCAAAATAAGACTAATACTTGTTTACGATTTGGACATAAACGCTGTCGAAGCCTTGAGGAGAGTTACCTACCTACCACAATCTCTGAAATATGATACTTTGCTATAATTCGCTTTTCGCCAAAAGGGGAATACAGAAGCTACAGCTCGGTGCTGGTATCAACACTAATTCAGATCCGCATTTGAGAGCTTTCAAAAGTTGGATAAATTCCTTACCGAATCGGAGCTTCAAGAAGTGATGGTTCAGAAGTTACTAAATACATTGATTACAGCACAGACTACCCCTAGTATCATACCCCACATACCTCCTTTTGATCACAAAGGATAGGTATATACATCAAACTATACCACTTCCCACTTCATCTCCACCCCTCGATTAGCAAGCGCCGCAACCCCCGAAGCACTCGCAGTCGGCTTCGGCATCTTAACCTGCGAAACCGTCACCGCAGCACTATACAACGGCGGCCCCGGAATCGTATACGCCGGAATCGGCGGCGCGACATCGATATTAAACATCACGCCCGGATCTTTCGCACTATAGAACGTGGTCCCAAGGACACCCGCCGGCTTGTCAGTTCCTGTGCTAGAAATGGCGAGGTTGACGCAGAATGGGTAGTTCTGCGCGCCGTTGGCTTGAGATGCTGCATGCAGGGCGATGATTTCGTGGCGTAAGACGTAGTTCCCCGGGGCGATGGTGGGAGGGATGACTACGGTCCAGGTATTGTTGTTTGCGATCATGACGTCCGTGGACCAGGTTCCGTACTGGGGTTTTGGGTCCAGCAGGGCGAGTTCATCGATCTTGAACCATTTTAGTTTTGTTTTGTCGACGGTTTCGCAGGGGCCGTTGCAGTTGGCGAGGTAGTCGATGATGGGGCCTTTGTGGGAGGTGGGCCAGGGCGTCCAGAGGAGTTCGATTTTTGAGCCGCCTTTGGCGGGGGCGGCTATCATGGCGTTTGTTGCGGAGCGGTGGCAGATGATGTCTGCGTTGGCGTAGGCGGCTGGGGCGACGAATCCATCTATTGGGAGGTCAGTATGAATTTGAGTAGAATGATGAAGAACATGAGCTCTCTGAATAGTGCTCGAAAGCTTGGCTTTCTTAATTTCCTTGAAATAAACATAGATTTTGACGTACTGTCTAGAACTGATGGAGTCTTCCAGCCGACTGTGATGGGAGCAGGTGTGTCGTACTGATAAGAAGGATCGTACCCTTCGTAACTGATAGAAGTTAGCCAGTGCTATGCAAAGAGATTCGGGAGATAACTTACAAAATGCCGTCCACGACAATCGAAGTCACATGTCCATGAGCAGCAACACTGGTGATCAATCCTAGTACAGCGAGAAACGAAACCATGATTACAGCTGGGACCTATAGGCAAGGAAGACAAACAAACAAACAGTCGAGTGAGAAAAGATACATGAGAAGATCTTGGCGGGCGGCAAAGACACAGATATGAGAAGACTCTCGAACAGCAAATAGCTAAAATGAATTGGGAATATATTGCAAAAAGATCGGATCACTCGCCGTTTCATTGAGAAACCATGACATGACGTCCTTCGTCGAACATTTCCTTGTCTCCGAATAATTGTTTGCGCCAGGAGACCCAATGGCCGGCGGACAATATATATTTGCTAACCCTCGTGACTCCCGCGCTCCACTGTGCAATCAATTCACTCGTATAAAGTGCCGAACTATACGTGTGGGGGGCGTGGTCATTGGACGTTCTCGCGGGATCTTACCCCAGGTTCCGATAAGCCGTCAACTTCTCCAGGTCTCATGTTTAGCCGCAACAAAACTTCCATACGCAGGGAAGCATGGTAATAAAATAAACAACCTTCCCCACAAAACCTTCGAATGATTGGTTATTGGCCGCATCATGAGGCTTGGTCAGGCTGACAGAAATGTAGACAGGAAGCAAAATACAAAGGTTCGAAGGCGCAATGCCGAATTTAATTATCGATCCAGGATGCGAATATGTTTGACAGTAACGAAGAAGGAAGGTGGATTCTTCAGAGAAGCACTGTCCCTGTTGATGATTTGAAAAAAAAAATGCAAAACTACTTGTCGCAAATACGAATGTGAATGAAAAGAAAAAATTCCCATATATTTGCCAGGCAGCGCTGCCTCTTTCGCCTGTATAGTCCTCCGAATATATGAGCAGTACTGCAGACCATTGCTTGGCGAAGACCCAACAAGTTTCTGTGCATTGACGGCACTTGATGCAAACCCAACAAGTTTTCTGAAGTAGTCCACCGTGGCGGCTCCGAGATACTCAAAAGTAGTTGAAGGATCAAGGCCCAGTGCGTACGATTTCGAGGCGGATAGGTTGCATCTCTAAGTACATGGTTTGGCGACACGTAGTAAGGCCGTAGTCAAACCCTTGCTGCTTTCCAAGGAGCTGAAAATAACATTTTGCTGTCGTAGATTGTTACTTGAGCTGTACCTTTGCTTCAGGGCTTGTTTTTGGTCGGTATGAGAGCATGATGGTTGCCTCTGGGAGAGGTCATTTGAGAAGTTGAAAATGACTGTGATGAAAGGGGAGGAGTGGTTTCGACGGGTTGACGAGCTGTTCTGCTACCCGACTTTTAAAAGTCGTATCGCAGCAGCTACTGTGAACAAGACAGTCCGATGCTGGGGGCTGGTGGATATTAATGCTTTCCAGAACTGCCGCGAGTTCATTGACGGTCTTGGCGAAGTCTTGCGGCCGAAGGCGAGGATAGAGAGCATATAGTCGAAGATTGCGTAGAATGGAAGCATAGATTACCAGATCGCAGTACCCTATTCGGTGAATGCAATGAATTATTGTATCGGTAGCTGCTTCATACTTATTGAGCAGAACGTAAGGTATGTCTAGTAGCGAGGCTAGAAGGTTGATTCGGCAAGAGAGTATGCTTTCTGCGTAGGTGTCTGTAATCAGCGGGCGTAATGGTCAATAGACTTGTACTAACCCATGATTAGAGGAGGCATGGGAGTCAGACTCCTCCATGATTCACCGTCGCCCTGTACTTGGATTGTTTGGACTAGGTGCGTGGCAAGCTGATCAAAGACGTCTTCTAGACCGAAAACCCATGCAATGAATAGCCATTGTTCTTGATCGGTCTTGACAGCTTCATCAGCACTGTCCTTCAACCACTGAGTCTCTGAAAGCCAAGGGCGAACTAGGTTCACGCAATCATACTGGTCGCAAAGTACGGCAACTTGAAGTAGCACTTTGTATGGTAGACAAGCTGGCACTTCGTGGAATCTCAAGTGCGCGATATTAAACAGAGTCAACAAAGCAGCGCTGTCATCTTCGGAAAAGTCAATGGGTTTCGCAGTATCCGAGGTTTCAGCTGCGTCGTTGGAATTCCATGGCGGAAAGATGAACTTTTCCCACACTGGACTTGCGAGGCAAAGAGCATGTGACGAGACTTCGCCTTCGATGCGCTCCTTATTATGCGTGATTAGGATGCGTGTATCGCCGGTTTTGAAGACAAAGGGATTCGGGGTTGGTATTGAAGGCCTCGGCACGAACGCAAAGGGGTCGTTATTTGGCTTGGACTCTGCAGCCATGGCTGCTGTTATCGCTTCTCGAGGACCTCTCGATGTGGTCGACAAGTTTTCAATACACTAGGTAACAACAAGAGAAAGTCTTTGCGCAAATATTGTGACGCGCGCTGATGAAAAGAAATGAATTGTAAGGCTGAGACACCGACAGACGCATGGGCCACCTGTCTGGATGTCGAAGATTGAGATCGGTATTGTTAGACCAATGAGGCAGTTCTAGTGTGATGCCACCTCGCCTTGTGAAGATATTCCTTCTCAAAACCTCACAAAATATTTGGAAATTTCTGTGGCTCATCCATAGCAAACACAAACCCACCGAGTTGAGTGCAGATGTAGCCAGGTTTAGCAATGCAAACCCTGAAAATGCAGCGCGTGGTCGCTAAGAGACAATGCGCTCTCGCGTCTGTCAGCCAGCAGTTGACTGCAAATTCTCAGTGTGTTTAGCATCTGAAGCTTGGAGTTTCAACACATCAGATTTCGGTGTTAGATCTTGTGCTCTTATCACTCTCGATGTCCGATTTCTGCAATCTTTGACGAGCCTTCCCAGAACAGAACACACTGTCGCCAAATCACTCAACTATTCAGAGCTTTCAAATGCATCCGATGCATTTCCAGTACAGGGTCAAAAGGCTTGGCAAGTACTTCATCGACCTGTTCGGAAAATTCTTTACCGCGACATTTCTCATGCGTGACGGGTTGTCCGAAGGTCGGATGTTCCTTTGGATATTCTCTAAGTTTGGTTGCTTTCAAAGCCAACGAGAGTCCTGTGACACTGAGGAGGAGATCTTCAACTTTCCGACGAGGAAATAGTCTCAAAGCGCCGAGACGGAAGACCAGTGATCCGTATATCAATGCGTCGCAGGCTTCTGGTTGAGAAGAGCCATGCATGGTACAGACTGAGGTCTTGGAACGTTGGGTGTATGTCGGAGTTATTCCGATGGCATATGGCATATGGACTATCTCATATCGATCAAGCATGGAATAGGGTATGCGTAGCAGGGAGTCTATGAGATTCTTGCGACAGGAGAGAATACTCTCTAAACAGTAACGGAAGACCGCTGATCAGTAATTGTACCTTGATCAGACACGCAAGCTTACCAATGATGCCAGGTGGCATGGGAGTCATCTTCAACCATGTAACCTCACCACTGGTGTGCATGTTCATGTTCATCACCATATGAGCAGCAAGCTTCTCGAACACTTGGGTTCTTCCAAAGACCCATGCAATGAACAGCCATCTCTCCTGGCCAAGTTTAAGGCTTTCAGCCTCTTCATAGGCTAGCCACATTGAAGGTAAAAGCCATGGCCTTACAACGTCGACACAATCGTACTGATCGCACAGAATAGTGACTTGGAGGAGGTTCCTATAATTCAAGGATTGAGGTACATCCTTAAATTTAAGATGACAGATATTGAGCAGTATCAATAGAGCGTTGCTATCATCTTCTGTGCAATCAATCTGCTTGATGCTGTGAGGTAGGTCGTGGTCCTTCCAGGGTGGGAACAGAAATTTCTTCCAAACAGGGCTTGCCTGGCATAGAGAATCAGAAGAGACCTTGCCTTCGACGACTCTTCCATCGTGTTTGACTAGCAGGCAGATGTTTCCTGTTGGGAAGATGAATGGGTTGTGGGGTTCTTGTTCCGCTGATGGTGTTGCAACATCGTCATTCAGAATTGGATCTGACATTGGGAAAGTCAAAGCTCGGTGTCCTTGTGCGAGTAGGCGTGATCTCGGGTTGATAATAATCAAGCTTTGTGGACGTTGTTGATGCGGAGATCAAGAATGATGAAGAGCGGAAGATGCGAAAAAGAGAAGCTACCTGTGATGTCCCACAAACGCGCGTCCACGTGATCTTTCTACAGGGATATACCTTACGAGCCTGCAAACGTAGGTCTGTGCGCTCAGGGCAATTTTCTGGCATTTCCAGGCTTCTCAAATTCGCTTATAAGCTTTGAAAAGCTAAAGTCTCTCAAAACACTCACAAATTGCACGTTGATAAATATTAATAAAAAATTTCTATTCATAAGGGAAGAATAAAATTACTTAATTAAACTTTCTAATAATTAATAATTGCGATCGCAAAGAATTCATTTTTTGATTTAGGCTTGAAATGCCCTGAGCGCACAAACCTATGGTAGCAGGCTCGTTACCTACAGCACTGACGGAATGCGCTGAATGCCCTATAATCTGGAGAAACAAGGCCGACTTTGGTGGTGATATATTCACATTAAGGAGTTGAACCGAATCGTTTGTAGAAATCTAATTAGTAGCGAAGTGCGGGTATAATTACAATCACTACCACCTCCCACCAAGTCAACGCAACAACTCGATTGCAACAGAAGACCTTCAACGCCAACCATGCAATCATACCATCTCAGCAAACATGAGCAACTCTCCATTTGTATACAAACCCCCGACTACCCAATCACCTATGAAGCAGCATTGGCTGCAGCTGGGATTGGGGTGACACCCGCACCCGTAGCCTCCTTTAGCAATGGATTTTCAGGATAATTTCTCTCATCATGAACCATCATGCCTTGACCATTCGCCTCGGTCTTCTTGATGTCCTTCCCGCCATTCTTTAAGAACAAAGTATCAGTGTTGATACCAGCCATTCCGTCTGGGCCGAGACCATGTGGGCTCCAGCTGGCAGACTTGCGAGGTGGGACACGCAGCATGTACATAGTATCGATCTCCTCGAGACTACGGTCCTTGGTCTCGATCATAAAGAAATAGACGATGAAGAAGAGGGCGCCGCAGGAGACAGCGAAGACTAAGCCGTAAAGATAATGAATCTTGTTGGTGATGAAAGTTGTGAAGAAAGAGATGAGGAAGTTGAACAGCCAGTTGGAGGCGGTAGCGAGAGCCATGCAAGGAGCACGGTAACGCGCTGGGTACAATTCTCCGACAACAGCCCAGACGAGAGGTCCCCAGGTAGTGGCGAAAGCCACGATGAAGAGGCAGGTGAAGACAATCAGAACCTTGCCCGCAGTAGGAGTCGAAAGAGGATCGTCGAGAGACAGGGAGAAGCGACCCACGAACGCGTAAATCAGGAGGCAACCGAACATCCAGGCAGCACCGTACATGAGAGCCTTGCGTCGACCGCAGTTCTTGACAATCCAAAGACCAACAATGGTAGCGCCGACATTGACGGAACCAAGAATGATGGAGGTGATGTAGGAATTGGAGATGCCGGTGGATTGGAAGATGGTTGTGCCGTAATAGAAGAAGAAATTAGCTCCAGTCAATTGTTGACCAGCTTGAAGGGTCATGCCAAGGAGAGTTCGATACAACATTCGGGGGCCGGTAAAGATTTCCCAGATGGAGTGTCGTCCGCCGTCAACGTTTTCGGCCTGGATCTTCTCCTCGATTTCGTTGATCTCGTGCTCGATGAGAGGAGAGTCAATTGAAACACCGTTCAGGCGGGCCATGGTTTTGCGTGCTTCCTCCTTGCGACCAACACGGTACGCATATCTAGGAGATTCTGGCAGGCGGATCATAGAGATAGCCAGAATGAGGGCCCAAAGAGCAGACAAGCCGTTCGGAATACGCCACTGAGCAGAGTTGCTGTATGCAGCCTCCGTGCCATAGTTAACCATATATGCAGTCCAGATGCCAAGGGTGATGAGCAATTGGTAGGAGCTGACCATGGCACCTCGAATGTTCTTTGGGACTGACTCGGATTGGTACATGGGGACACTGGTGCTGAGTGCGCCAATCCCTAGACCTGCTGTGAATCGTCCCATGGCGAATTGAACCCATTGCCTCTGACTGGTGATCTCGATGACAACGCCAATGATGTAGAAGAATGCGGAGAAGCAGATCGTCTTCTTCCGTCCAATCTTGTCGGCAAGCCATCCGCTAAAAAGACACCCAAATAGAGTACCAATGCATAGGAGACCGACGATTGTACCTTGACGAGCAGCTGAAAACTTGCCATTTTGGCCGAAACGGTCGAGGAAGTCGGACATAGCGAGGAAACCTGAATACAATTAGTTGAAGCAAGCAAACGTGCGGCAACTGGCACATACCAGAAATTTGTCCAGACTCGTATCCGAACATGAAGCCTCCAATGGACGCAACTCCTCCTAGAACAAGAGCCAGCCAGGTAACGGGTTGTTCCTTTAGTGCATCTTCGACGGCGGCAGGTTGAATGTCGTCAGGTCCGTGGATGGAAGCTGCAGGTGTCAAGCCTTCAGGGGTGGTACTTTGAGGGGAGTGCTTCTCTGCAATGTCGGTAGTCCCTCTGGACTTTCTGGTGAAGAAGCCCATGATTTAGATGTATCTCAGATATCTGGGTGATAGGTGATATACAAGGAATTGCTGCAGACAGATGTTCTACACCGAAGGAGGTTGAAGAATGTATATGTATGATGAAGAAAAGAGCTGCTGGGGGAGATGAAATATTAAATACGCCAGTAAGGAAAAAAGACTAGGCTTGACTAAATTTCTCCAGGTTTTGAAAAGTTGAAAAGGAAGGAGCTCCTCAATTGGGTGGTATGTTCCTTCCACATTTTGCTGCACTCCATAGGTTGGAGCTCCAGACACAGTGGATCTTTCCATCCTCTCCCACTATTCTGGAGAATCCGCAACGTCCATGTGACAAGAAAGCAGGAGACCATTCGCAAGTCGGCACCACGTTTGTCGACATTTTGTTTGCATCTGAGATGTTTCGTGGGACTAGGAGGTGGTTAAGCTTGGGCGGGAGCAGCGATTGTCGAGATATCGGGATGAAAATTGGGCCCAGCCAAATAGCTCCGGTGGTACGACCGACGACGAACGCGAAAACTCAGACAGCTGATTTGCAGACAGAGCAAACAACACGAGAGGCGTGCAGTGCCGGTCGGTGTTACTTGATGCAGAAGTCCGCAGATGAGAATAGATCAGAACATCTGATGATGACTTTGGGATTCCCATCTTTGCAAACAGACATCTTCATCACGAATATCCAATTCTGCTGCACAGCTCCAACGACCATCCTCGTTGAGGTGAGCCTGGGACTTTGAGTCTCATTAAAGAAGCGTCCAAGAATCTCTCTACGACTAGATGGATATTGGGCGGTGCGTTTGCAGACCCATTTCGTTTGTTGGCGGCGTGAAGAATGGAGACCTGCATGGAGTTCGTCGTGATAACTTGGATGCCGGCAATCCGCGGAAAGCCCACCCGTTTCACTTCGTCAAGCCACCCGAAGCCCTACCGACAAGACGCTTGACTACAAGAAGATACACAAGCGATGAAGAGTGACGACGGAGCCACAAATAGTCGTGAACACCCACCCTGGATTATCTTCGGTTCGGTCTTATTTCGACTTCACTTAATGGGTCCAGGATTCAAGGGTTGAGCGGGTACAAGAGACTCAACTTCAAAATCTCTGCACAAGTCGAGAGACCTGTGGAGTTCGAAAAAAAAAAGTTCTGTCCAATTTCTTTCTCCATTGGAGTGCTTCTACTTCGAAGTACATCCCCAAGGGCAACAGAGAAGGAGGTTGTGGGACGATTCTCTAGCTCCATGCTAGAGAATGACAGCGAAGACACCAAGAATGCCCGAAGATGCTCGGCCTGGACCGCCAACCCTCTCGTTCAACACCGGTCCCAAGAAAACCATCTCAAAATGATGGCCCTTAATCCCCAACGCCAACATGATCATGAGACTCAGAAATGAAGTCATGTATCATCATGCCAAGACCCAAGACGCTCTAGGTCTTAAGACTTCGTCTTGACTGTGCAAGAGAGGTGCGAGATGCCATTCTAGCATTGTCACTGCCTCTGGTGATGGCCACATGAGTGTGAGGTCATTGCTTGGTTGAACCAGATGTCCCGTTTGCATTTCTGTCATGGACAGCGGCAAGCTGGAGAGATCTTATGGATGATTTGATCGAAAACACAGAACCTATCAGCTCGTATAAAGAGCAGAGAAGGCGGGTCGGTTTAAGTGTGCGACGACATTTGCCATCATTGAGCTCGTTATCATTTCTTGTTTGCACATTGAATTTCCTGTATGGATTCTTGGCTTTCCGATTGATGAAATATCGGGTTGTCAGTATTTCAGACCGTACTTCGATATTATCGCAGTCCAATCCCCGGACAACGTTCGGACACTGAGAGCTCCCACTGTTGTGCTAGTCCCATGAATACACGGCTGGTTGTATGAGCTACCTTCCTACCATCAAATCATTTGGGCTATCTGATCGTATTGAATTGTCACAGATCTCCTTCCCAGCTAGACATCTCGCAATCCTCATGTTGATCAAATACCGAGTCATGTTGCCGAAGCTTTGAATATGAATATTTTTTGCGCAAATAGGACCACATGTTCTTTGTAGCAGATGCAACGTCGAACGTACAAAGCTCTATGTTCCTCGAATGGCTGGTCTCCGCCTGAAAACAGAAGCTACGAATGTTGTACTTTGTGTTTTGTCACATGATCAATCGTCCCATGGGACTCCTATATGTCTACATGACTGTCACTTTGAGGACGAAGACAAGAAACGGGCGCCGTGTCTCAAATCGGGTAGACTCTCACTTAAACTTACTTGAAAAGGTAGTGCTTACAAGCGCAAGAGCTATTCTTCCAGTCTATAAGACTACACAGACTGCAGCACTATACAGGGAAGCGCGCTTACAGCCGCCAGAGATCGAGCTTAACCTCATTGTAGACGCGTTCGCTGCGAGGACAGCTCGGCTAGACCCGCAACACCCACTTATAGCCCGTAAAACGCAAGTATTACGGACGAAGGAGGGCAATACACGCTTTGCACGTCTCCTACTCTCCCTCCCACGGACAGAACAGATCAACCCACTGCAAAACCCCCCTTGGGCTATAAAGGAGACTCGCGCGGAAGCTTGTATTAGGATATATGCCCCACAAGGACGGACGAAAGCAAAGTCCGCAGTAGACTTCTTAGAATTCTTACCGACTATACCGCCTAGCGATATACAAGTATTTTCTGACGGGTCAAAAAGCGAGTCTACGGACGGAGCCACTGGCTACGGAGCCGTGACTTACCAATACGGCCTGCAAACTGACTACAAAGCAAAGTCCCTCGGCCTACAAGCAGAGGTTTTCGACGCAGAAGCAGCAGGCGCTCTAGAGGGCGCACGTAGCGCGCTCTCGTCACCGGGAGCTAAGCTTGCAACCGACCTCTGGGTCTTTTAAGACAACCTAGAAGTGGCCTACCGGCTCCTCTCGCCCTTTACAGGCTCGTCACAACAGGTATTCACAGACTTCCAAGAAGTGGCACAGCAGTGGCCGCTACGCCAACGTCTCCCACACACCCTCCCTGGCGCCCTACGGGTCCGCTGGGTGCCCGGGCACTTGAATGTCCCAGGCAATGAGGCAGCAGACAAAGCAGCAAAAGCTGGAGCGGCTCTCCCTCCACCTCCAAGGGCCATATGCACGCTCGCCTCCCTTAAGAGGCTTGCAAAAGCTGAGGCAAATAACTCACTCAAACGGCTATGGCTTACTACAGCTCCGCAAAGTTACCGCGACCTCGGTATACAGTACTCACGCGATACGACAGAACTTGGACTTAAAAGAGGGGCACTTGGGCGGATATTAGCCTCGCGGTCATCCCATGGAGACTTTGCAATATATCACGAGAAGTTCCAACACTCCACTGCTACACTTAACTGTAGCTGCGGACGGCCGAAAAGCCCATTACACTTCTTCTTCTGCAAGAAAAGCAATGCAAGCCGACTTGGCCCGAAAGCACTTACAGTAGACAAGATAACTTACTTGCTAGGAACAGCAGAGGGTGCTACTACGTTAGCAGAGTGGATCACAAGCTCACGATTCTTTATAGACACCTGCAGACCGTACGCTAGGCTAGAGGACCCCTCGTAGCCCATTACATTTACTTATAACCTTTTTCTTTGTTTTTTTCCGACTTCTTTACCTCTTTTACACTTATAACGGGCGGCAGTAGCAGGCAGACAGGGGATAGCGGGTCATAGGTAGGGGGACCGACTGCAATGGGGGCAGCAAAACACACCCGTAAAAGGGAATAACTGCAGACGGCTGTAGAACTGTAGAAATACAGCTGCGTGTAAAATTAAATTATATCACTAAAACCGACCATGTGGCCCTTATGGCTTATGGCGTCCTATAGTCCTATGGGCTCCCTTAGGGCAGTGGCCACGTGCTGCTGTCCGCCGGACGTTAAATACACACACACACACAATGACTGTCACTTTGATTCGACTCGATACTAAAGTGGAGAAGGTACACAATTTGTTAAAATGCTCAAAGTCTCAGTATTGTACATGGAAGCCTGACAAATCTTCTTCGTCCACGCCACGTGATCCATTCTATCATCACCGCCTTTCTGCGTCTTCAGCACCGCATTCCATTCTTATTTTACTGTCAAGCATTGCCCTATTGGAGCTTACCAGAAGCTGGCCTTCCAATGCTTGTGTCCCTAAAATATAAATTCGAATAAGTCCAAGGAACCGTTTCGCTGAAACTTCGATACTTTTCATTCCGACTTTCCAGAAGTCGTATCGTAGGCTAGTAAGGAGCTTTAGTCTCTTGGATTGTGATCCCTCCTGATTGATCATCTCTGACTGCTCTCAAAAGTGTCGATGCCAGACCGGCTGGCGGTTCGTCGAGATTCTTAATTTCATGTCCGAGTCGAGACCAACAAATCCTGGTAACCCCAAAATCGAATCACCGTCTGTAACCCTCGTCCAAAGGCACCTTTCAAGCTCACTGGTCCCAGTTTCGATGTTTCTGATGGTTGTGTTGGCGGTTCAATCACAACTCTGCCGTCTTCTTTCTCAGTCTTGCTGTGTTTTTGGCTCCCTCTCCTCTCCGGTCTCCCAACTTTAACCTCAAGCCGCTCTCCTGCTTCAACCTCCACCTCTTCATTTTCTCTGAATTCCACTTTCGCATCTTTCTTCCGTACCTCAAGCGTGAACTTCACTCCATCCACTTCCACTTCTCGCACCACCTCCTCCCTCTTCACGTCCTCTTTCTCCTTCTCAACTCTCAACCCCACCCCTCCATCTCCCTCAAGCTCTGCGACCGCCCCAACGCTCTGCAACTCAATCGGAGATCTAACTTCATCCAACCCACTCGCCGCTGGCCTCGACCCAAACTCGGCATGCGACCTCGAACGCTGCAATTTCGAATACTTCCTATCCTCCAACTTGACTTTGATCGAGTTTCTCGAGCGCCGGAGCGCGGTGCGGGGCAGGGTGTTGAACATCTTTTTATTTTGCGTTGATATTAAGTTTAAATTATTCGCTTTTTGGAGGAGAGGAAAAGAGATTCAGGAATAAAAGTACTAATTAATTGAGGATTCAGAAGGCGAGTATATGACGTTAGCCCACCCTTGATTCGCGGACATCGCGTTGATCCTGTTCCTATGTTCCTTCACTACGACTCCGCCAATTGCTCTAAGAATAACAGCGCGCGCAGTCGCCTTCTCGTCAGCGCGCCACACCAAGCAGATCCTACTATATCTCACTGCGATGTGATTGCTTGCGTGTGCGATCTTCTCCTACTAAGGCACATTGTCGCACAACTTTTAGATTGGGATTGGGTAGCATGCATGTAATGAACCAACGAGACAGAAGTCAGAATTTCGATTCGGCTACGGCTGTGTGTAGTGCAGGTGAGGTGAGGCTACGGAGGTCCGTGATGCGGGAGCGGGTAAATACCACCACTGGCATCGTAGATTTTATTTAATGGATGAACCGATATTTAGCTACTGCAGAGCAAGAGTACGGCTGTGGCGCGAAGCGGGCGCGGAAGTGGGAGGTAGTATTGATATTTCTGTGCAACGAAACGTACAAGCAGAACTGAGGCTCAGCGGATCCTTTCTTTCTTTCTTTCCTCCACCACGGTAAGGCCACGAAATATCGAATTCCAACATTCTCAAAGAAACCCACCCCGTTCTAAAACCCCCTGACTCCACTCCCACAACCGCCCCGCCATCACTGCATCCCTCCCATGCCTCCCCACCCCGCCCCTCTTGCCCACGGGCTCGAAATACATCCCATTGTCGTCGTCGCGAACGGAATCGCTCGTCGCGCACCACAGGATGTTAGCGCACCCTTCTGTCGGGCCAGGAGCACCCCATTCGATGAGTGGTTGGATGAGCGCGTATAAAGGTGTTGAGGTCCTGGGTCCGTGGCTTAGGTTCGTTTTTACGGTGCCGGGATGGAGGGAGAGGGATAGGAGGTTTTGGTTTCCCTTTTTTTGTCTTTGGTGTCAGTATTGCTTAGGGAGAAGGGGAAGGGGAGAGAGAGGAGACGTACGTATTTCTCCGCAAGTGAAAGGGAGTGCAGGACGTTGCATAGTTTCGAGTGGCCGTACCGGGTCCATGGGCTTTTGTCTGTGAGGTTCATATCTGAGAACGAGATCCCGGTTTTGGGAGCGAGTTTTCTGTGTGCGTCGGAGGAGACGTTTAGTACTCGTACGGTGCGAGGAGGGGATGTGGAGGCTGTTTTAAAAAGGAGGGGGAGTAGGAGGGTGGTTAGGAGGTGGTGTGCTAGGTGGTTAGTTTGGAGTTGTGTTTCGTGACCTTGGGGCGTGAGGGAGAATGGGGGACACATTATCTGTAAGTTGGTGTGGTTAGTGTTGTGGATAGATGGGAAGGAAGGAGGGGAGGTATGTACGCCGGCGTTGTTTATTAGGATGTGGAGGCTGGTTTCTCTTCTATTCGGTGTGAGTGAGTGAGTGGTGGTTGAACGATATTTCATGGGATGGACGTACTGGAGGAAATCTTCAGCACCTTTCTTCACACTTCTTAGATCTCCTAGGTCTAGTTCCACGATCTCGACTTGGGCGTTGGGGTTATTGTTCTTGATTTCTTGGATAGCTGCTTCTGCTTTTGTGATTGAGCGGGTTGCGATGTAGACTTTTGCATTTTTGGACGCGAGTGCCGTTGTGGTTGCTAGACCCCTGGTAATTGTAAGGAAGAAATGTTTAGAGTCAAGAAAGATGGGTGGTATACAGGCCTGAATGTCCGCCTGTGATCAAGACGACACGACCTGTAAGATCGGGAAGAGCAGATGCATCGAATGTGCTTGATTTAGTCATCTTGAGAATAGTGAGATAATAAAGAAAATTAAACTTCAATTGACACTGAACAAGAGGCTAAATCATGATGACAGCAAAGGCTGTGAAGATATACCATAACTTTTTCCGGAAAAACTCGGATCCGAGCTTCGATGCCGAGAGAAGACAATGCGACCTCGTCGGATCCGAATCGGAAGCAGTTCAAAACATGATGCAGATCAAGAGTCATATGCATATAGCGGGAGAGGCGTACAATAGCGGCGGCCGACCGATCAGGTACGAGCCTATTCTGTGCTCTCAGTGGAGGAAGAGATCCACCGCAATTGGGATAGCGCTCGCTATGGAGATGTGTGCATTGTATGAAGAAGTATATACAAGAAGAATTTGGGCTACCGGGCCCCAATCAAAGACGCAAATGCACAACTTCGCTGTCAAGACTCGCAAGTATCATCTCCGTCATCGGTCGAGTCTGCGGAGGCAGTTGGTGCTGACACAGATGTGCTTGTCGTCAAAATGGCAGTGAATGGTGACGAGACAGTAGATGATGAGACGCTGATCGGTGCTGGGTTCAGACTGGATGTCGACAGAGCAATGTACGAAGTTGTCATGCCGCTTGGAGAGGAGGTAGTAAGAATTGATGGTACACCAGCAGCTGAAGAGGTGGCCACTGAGGTCGAGCTGACCAGCGTTGCAGATGTTAAAGTGGAAACGGTTCTGTTGCTACTCTTGAGAGCCGATACAACACCGTAGTATGCTGGCTTGCGGTTCAGGTCCTCGTCAAAGAGGCAGGCGGCACCTTGGCCTGAGAATGTATCTGGGATCCAAGAATACTGCGAATAATTAGTACCGTACAAGAAGTAATCATGAATCTACAAATTGTCAAGTATATTGGGACTCCAGTCCCGACATTGAAGGGCCACAGTGTCCGTCCTCAAGCCCGAACTTATGGGCGTGAAAAGACGTAAATCAAGGAAAGATTACGTACCTTATCATCAAAGTCCCACACGGTAATCCCAATGCAATCCGCAACATTCAAACAAGCAGAAACGACGTTCTCATAGTCGGTGCTTTGCTGGGCGAGTAGAGTATCAGTGCCGGGCAGAGTCATTCGAATATCCAGCTCTGTATATGCCACCTCGAGTCCAAGAGCAGTGTATGTTTCCATAGTCGTGATAAGATCCGATTGAGAAGGTGTAGAGCCAACAATATAATGTCCCTGCATCCCCACACCATCAATCTTCACTCCCTCATTGACCAACTTTGTGACTATGCCCAACGCAGCAGTGGCTTTGGCTCCGGAGTATTCGATGTTATAATCGTTATAGTATAGCTTCACGTCTGGGTCGGCAGCAGCAGCTGTCTCGAAAGCAATTCGAATGTAGTCTTCACCCATAGCATTGTAGAAAACGTCTGTTCGAAAGTTGGCAGAATCATTGAGAGCTTCGTTCACAACGTCCCAAGCATAGCATTGTCCCTTGTAGTGTGTCATTTCGGTTGTGATATGTGTTTTCATAACAGCTTGAAGCGTTTCGTTCGTCCATGTTCCGCCGGAAACCCAAGTTGGCGGCTGGCTGTACCAGACAAGATTGTGGCATCGGAGTAATTGGGTATTGTTCTCTGCGAGCGAGGTAATCACATCGCCTTCTGTGAATGTAAAGGTGCCATTGCTAGGCTCAGTCGCATCCCACTAGACAAGTCAGCCCGGCTTCGATGTGCTCTGCTCAGTACCTGCTGACTTTCTGCGAATTCCCTGGTGTAATTTGGCCGAATTCAGTCGTGTTCGAGAGGATTTCAACGTAGGCTGTATCGGTCAATTCGGGATTGTCGGTTGCTGTTCCAAAGTATTTCAAGCCCTGAAATACTGTCAGCGTCGATATCAATACGTGTAGCAAGGATCACCTACAGCTGCTTTTGCTAGATCGTTAAGCTGTGCGTATGCTGCAGGTAAGAGGAAAGGAAGAAGGAATGTAGAGGAAACCAGGATGGCTTTTCAAAAGAACGTAGATGGTAGGTATACAAAGACAACGACCAGCGAGGCAAAAGATCGAGAAAGTGTGAAGAGAATTCTCGCAACAGCAAAGACAGAGATGTATACTTCCCCTTTCTTCATGCTCTCACAAAGCAAAGACCTACCGTCACCCTAGATAGAGTAGCTCGCATCGCATTTCTCGGCGTCTCGACTGGACAATTCCTGCAGCCAGCGCAGATGCTGCGGTAATTGACCCCACCATCTAATCCTTCGTGGAGTACGGAAATGATGAAGGCACCAAACATGGGGAGATGTTTCCATTGTTGTATGTTTTGCTGGAGAGGGTTGCTCTGAAGTTGTTTATGTCTGACGCGGAGTGGATTTAGCGAGGCTTCGCCATGTTTTAGATCTGCGCGGCTTTCTCTGCATTTGGTGATCCCCATGAACTTTTATACAATTTATACTTGGCCATGTTAATATCATCCCATGAGTTCGGATTTTCGTTGCGAAATATGCAGGGCTTGAGGGATGTTAGAGCCTCACAATCGCCTCAAGTGGGTGCAGTGCACTTCCCCTCCCTGAATCAGTCGCTCATCATAGATTGTTGAGCGCGGCTCGTCGGCGACGGCGAGATAAGATCTTGACTACTTCTTACGTCGAGATCATCTTTCGAAGCCTTAAATCAAATGATACCGCCTCGTTTCTTGCATGTCTTGTTTCTAGAATTTTTTTGGCCCCGAGTTCCTAAGTATCAGCCAATCCAGCACAACATCAGCCACAGATCACACGGGTGACGCGGTCTGAATATGGCAAGTATCAACGTCCTCAAATATGGTGTATCTTCTCCGGCAGACCTATCGCCGATGAAAGAACTAAGAGCGGCCGGATATGAATCAAAAGATATTTTGGCGGTGATAGGGAAGTCCGAAGGGTAAGGGTACATTGAATATTGAGAATCCCGCTGACTGCGACAGAAACGGCTGTGTCAATGATTTCTCCCGAACGCTCAGTACACATGTCTGGGAGCCACAAATCCCGGAATCAGCAGTCACTATATTTTCCGGGGGCACAGAAGGTGTACTTTCACCTCATGTGACATTTATTATGCGAGACCCAAAGCCTACGGGCCTTCTTGCGGCCGTTGGAAAGACAAGAGTGTTGGAACCCCACGAGATAGGAACTACGGAACATGCATTGCAGGTTGCTTCTTCCGTACGGTCCCTCATGGATCAATCCGCCATCCGAAAGGAGCATGTTCACCTTGTCCTAAACAAATGCCCACTCCTGACATCTGCAAAAGTGGAGGTAATCAAGGCTGCATCCAAGACTCCTGTCACGACAGACACATACGAGTCAATGGCGAAATCACGCTATGCTTCTGCTATCGGTATAGCTATTGCTCTCGAAGAGATCGAGGAAACTCAGCTCCATGAGGCAATGCGGGATGAGAACAGATGGAGCAGCAAAGCCAGTTGTAGTTCTGGAGCGGAGCTCGAAGATTGCCATATTCTTATAATAGCATCCAACCCCTCCCTTGGGAACCTTCGGGCAGCTTCGGCTTTTATGGCAGACGCCATCGATGCAAGGACAATTATCAAAATTTTGGATCAGATCAAGACCGAGGGCGGTCATGTCCTACAAGTATTCGCCAAGGCGGAAGCAGACCCGACTGGTAATATACGCCAGAAGAGACATACGATGAATACCGACAGCGACCTTCACAGCACACGGCACGCACGAGCGGCCGTTGGAGGCCTGATAGCGGGGTTGACTGGGGACACACAGATCTATGTTTCTGGCGGGGCTGAAGGTCAGGGACCACCTGGAGGTGGGAGTTTTTGTGTGCTCTATGGATTGAACGGCGGGCTCGCGTAGAATTTATGGCGCGTGTCAGATGCAAAGTGAATCAGGGGCAGGAACTCCCCCGTTTCCACCCGAACTAAAACGCTTATCATGTGTGCAGATGTTTATCAGGTTCACGGTAATCAGCAACCGCTCTTTGCTTTGTTATCTTTCGTTTGTTGATCCCTTTTCAAGCTTCGCGATTCTCAAAAAGCCAAGTCGGATTTTCACCTCGGGTTGGATGATTCGCGATCTAATGTTTTCATGTCACGACAATAGCCTGCCGACTCCGCATGTGGCTAAAATATATATTAAATGAAAACCTCAACGTTCCGGACCTGGAATCCAACGAATTTTCTATTTTAAGACAGAACCTTATGTTTATCCATTTTTTGGCGTTCAGTTATTGATTTTCATATATGTTAATTTGTTCGCTTCCTCTTGCCATTTGCCCCCGACCTCCGCTGACAGCGAGCACATGTTTATCTAGCCGTCCCATGCCTTGGCTGCTGGTGCAACCCATAAGCTCGTCATGGCTATCGGAAGATGATACCATCCTTGCTGTTTGTTTGCATCAAGTTTTGTTTAAGTAGGCCAGGTATGTCCCTTGAAATTGGTCGTTGAAACTCCGCTATATCTGGTAGATCTTTCATAGTGGTATACCCACGAGCACAAGGTAGTACCCCTTCATTGTGATTTCAAGTGTATACTGATCACATAGACTTCAGATGAGATCCACACTCCTCCTCTTGTCAGGGCTAGTGGCCACAGCTTTTAGTGCTGCAGTGCCTGTTGAACGAGATGCTCTGGTCGCACGTGAGAAGGAAACAGTGACAGTAAGTATCCAAGGCCCATCAGTACTATCCTCGAAACGATATTGATCATCTCAGGTGATCGTCACAGTTACCTCTACAACCACAAGGAGCAGCAGTACGAAAAGGACTACCGCGCAGCCAACCGCCACTGTAGTGTATGTTACAGTGACTTCTTTCGTAAGCCCTTCTACTTTTCATATCAAACAATTTCCCAACGAGAACCGACACCAGGCGCTAACATCCACAGTACACATCACAATATCCAATCACAAGCGCTCCAGCTACCTACACAGGATGGACTGGATTCCACCCTCCATGGTGGAGTTGGTTCACAGCAAGTAATCACCCAGTCACCGTCACCGATTCGATTGGACCTGTCACTGTTTATTCTCCGATTTACGTCACAGTGACCGAAACTGATCCTGGTGACGATAATTATGCTGCCACTGTCACGCTGCCTGCTCTGACCGTGCCTGTCAAGCGTGACGAGGGTAAGCATACTCATGTACGTATCTGAATCCTTTCTATAAGCATTGTCTTGCTGTCATCTCTGTCAGGAGTTGGAAATGAAGCGGGCCTGTAATGTTTAAGAGTAGAGGAAGGAAAGATAGAAGGTTGACGGAGTCACGAAAGGGGGCGTCGTTGGACTAGCCTATAATACAAATCCTTTGTCCAGCTTCCCCTTTACTCTTTGCTCTGGAGTTTTGCCGCGCGTCCATCTGCTTTTTGTTGCAAAAGGGATCAGCTACTAACGCCAATTTCAGTGGCATCCTTCATGGTCAGGGCGTCCAGGATATACGTCTGTAAACCCATGGTATACATCTGTAGTATATCCACCCCAAGAGACCGGGGACCCAGACTCGGACAGCTCTGTCAGTACTGTCTATGTGTACCCACCCCAGACTACCATCAGCACAGTCTACGTCCAGCCACCTCAACCCATCACGAGTACTATCACCGAATACGTCAGCGTCCAGCCAAGTGTTCAGCCAGCCTCGAGCTCCGACGTACCTCGCATTACCTTCTATCCTCCACGTAATGCAGCACCTGAACCTCAGACCTTCGGTCTCGGCCCTCCAAGCCGAACTGTTCAGGAGTCACCGACTCCACCTCTACCTCCTTGGTGGAACTGGTGGCCTACTGCTACACCATTCGAGATTATTGATGGAGAAGAGAAAGAGAAGCGTGAGCCTCAAGAGCTTGGACCTGTCAGCCGAACAGTTCAAGAATCACCCACTCCTCCACTTCCTCCTTGGTGGAACTGGTGGCCTACACCGACGGCTACTCCATTTGAAATCATCGATAGAGATGTGAACGAGAAACGGGAACCTCAAGAGCTTGGATCTCCGAGTCGAACCGTTCAAGAATCGCCCACCCCACCTCTACCACCTTGGTGGAATTGGTGGCCGACAGCCACTCCATTCGAGATCATTGATAGAGAGACGGAAGAGAAACGTGAGCCCCAGACTCTCGACTTCGGATCACGCAGTAAGCAGCTCTAACTCTACGTTCTTAGGCAACTTAGACTAATCCAAGTCAGCCGTCAATGAAGGACCAGAATCGTCAACAATCGATTGGACATTCTGGGACCCTCCTCTTCATCCTGGCCACAAACATACCTCCACAGCACCCTACGAAATCGACGCAACGGCTACTCTTTCCATGCTCACTATCTACGAGAAACGTGAACCACAGACTATAGGACCCATTTCTCGTACAAATCAGATTACTCCCGTTGAGCCTACACACCATCATCACCGGACCTCTACCGTATACGTCACTGTGACAGAAATTCCGTATGTCTCGACATCTACTCCACACCACCACCCTCACAGCGTGACTACATACACAATTATAGTCTCCAGCTCCACCGATGACTCCTATCCATCACCAACCGGTACAGTGATCGAAACCACCGTAACTCTCCCCTTCGCCCCAACCTCTACTGGATCCGACATCGACGCCACCGTCACCCTCCCATTCATCTCTTCGGCAACCGAAACCGACGATGCCACCACAGTAACAGAATTCGTAATCAACACCCCAACACCGCTCGCTAAACGGGACGCAGAACCACAACTCCCAGACTCATTCACGCTCGGATGGCCAATCAGTGCTACATACATTTCCCCGCCAAAGGAGAACCCGTGTCAGAACAACATCTTCGCTCCTCCGGAGTGGTGTTCTAACGGATCGCCCACGTTTGGAATTACGACTGTTACGGTAACGTACACAGGCACTGTGTTCGAGAACACGGCTACGCTTGCTCCGCTCACGATTGGTGAGCCGGGGTGGGGTCGTAGGGATAAACGATCCAGACTGAGAGCAGAGGTGGAGGAGAAGGAGAGGAGACAACAGCTTCTTGGGACGCAGACGAGGAGCTTTACTTATGCGCCTGGTACTAGTGCCCCGCCGTTGGTGTAAGTAGACAGAAGGAGGGTTTGTGCTCTGTAGGCAAGAGGTTCAAGAGGCATGATGGTTCTTTTCTTGTACGTAAGTCTGGATTGGATTGGATTAGGGAGCATACGCATTAGCATTAGGTAGAAGAATGGATTTTCATTCTCTGGTACACATTCCCATTGAATTGCCAAAAATGTCTCAAAAGGCGCATTGCTTCTAGTCTACTGAATTGGGTAACCTAAGAAGCAGAGCTACGCTTGATAAGTAACAGATCACCCGTGGAATTCCAAGTTCAATACTCACGTACATGCCAAGTCTCAAACATCAGGAAATATTTGAAGATCTCAAGACCAACATCCAAATGATTGGTTCCCAAGCTGTCCCTCAACGACAAACAGCCTCGTGCTCGGCTGCGCCGGCTGCATGCATTTGCACAGCCTTGTCATCACGGAGTAACACCACAAAATTGGTTCTCACGCACTGATTGCCTACCAGTGAGCCTGCCTGTCATGCATGTTGTATCGCAATCTCACATTTCACCGTGCCACGACAACCCGCCGAGACCGAAAAAACACATACATACATACATACATACATACATACCTACATACGCCTCACCTTCCTTTCTTTTTCCCACCCGATGCTCTTAATTTCTCTCAATTCGCATCGTGAACCTCACCTCCTCTCACCTCACAACAAACACAAAATGCAACCACTCCCCACAACCCTCCTTTCCCTCATCCTCTCCATCTCCGCCACCCACGCCTCCTCCGCCACAAACCCAATCTACCTCACAAACTACACCACCGCGCCCGCCCTCTCCCTCTCCCTCACCCCCTCCACCTTCTTCACCGTCCCCGGCCTAAACGGCACCTACCCCATCACCGCGCAAGCGCTCCTCTCCCCGCTCTCCAAAACCACCTACCCGTTCTCCATCGCGGTCCGCGATTTCCAGAACGTCAAGAAACCGCACTTCTCCACCACGCAGACGCTAGTATGGATCAACGCCAGCACGATCGATGCCAGCGGGGTCAATGATCAGAAGGTCGTGCAGGGGTGGGATAATTGCTTGCTTTTTTTTACGAATGTGAGCGCCAGTGCGAACAGCGCGGGCCAGGGCGATGATGGGAGTTGTGGGGAGACGCTGGGGAGTGCTTGTGTGGGGGATTTGGAGATGGCCGTGAGGAGGAATTCTACGACGGGAGGGAGGTGTGAGGATTTGTTTGTTGAGACGCTGCCGGCTTCGTGTGAGGGGAAATTGGGGGTTGAGGTTGTTGCTGCGAGTAGGTTCTGTTGCTCTTTCGGTCTGGGGAAGTGGTGCTAATGAGCGAGTGATAGATCTGACGTATAACAACCAAAGCTACTACCCATTGCTAGAAGTCCAAACACCGCTGCATCGATGGGATAATTCGACCTATCTCCAGGTTGCGAGCGAGACGCTGTGGCCGTTCGTGTGGTGGCAGTCGTTGAACGCGGTCGGGGATACGATGTTCAATGGGTCTATCTTTGTGAATGCGACGGCGCGGACGATGGGGTGTTTGAGGGCGACGACGCGGTATAATGCTACGACGAGTGAGGCGAGTGAGTTGGCGGGGATGGGGGGTGGGAGGCAGTGGGTGGTGGTTGCGGGATTGGCGGTTTGGACTGCTTGGAATCTTTCGTGATGATGGTTATCGAGTTTTTGGTGGAATTCAGAGCATCAGACTCGTTTGACGAAAAGTGGAGACTCCCCTATTTCCTCGCTTAGCATGGAGAGAGGAAGCTATTCTGGGTCATCGAAGAGGAGGTGAAGCAGGTCAAGTGAAGAAGACATAGGACCAGTACCTTGGATGGCTGTCTTGCTGGGACGACAAGCCATGCTCCATGGCTGTGAATCCCTCTCTCCCTCTTCCCTCCATGATGGTTAGCTCAACGAGAGAGCGGCTAAGGGGAATCAGAAGAGCCATGTATTCTTAGATGTACAACAGCATCCACAGAAATCTACGAACAACCTGAAGCGCCGACTCCCACCAGTCAATACCACAATCACGTGCATTCCCTCGACCTCCTCAACCCGAGAGCCTCACTCCCAAAACCGACAATCCTTATCAAACAAACCCATACTCCAAATATGACTCTCAAATTAACCCCCTCGGCATTCATCAAACCAAGTTCCGGCATTGGCCACAACGTATATAAACACATTAGCCAGCCATCTTATCAACTTCGGCAACCGGCAGTTCTACCTGATCCTGGACATACCCTTCCCCCCGCACAATATCCACTCAGGCATCAGAGATCAGATACGAAGAAAGTATTATATAAGTATGTTTGTAGCGCCGTCTGATGTTTCGAAACAATTAATCGTTGTTGTTAAGTAGAAATAACCTCAAGATGTTGTGGAAAGTCTTTACCTCGCTTGTGCTGCTGGCTTCGAGGAGTCATGCTTCCCCTTCTTTCGCGACGGCTCCTATGTTGAGGTTCAGTTGCTCGCAGCTTGTTGTTGAGCGTTTAGATCCGTGAGTAGAATCTCGGTGCCAATGTCGTCGAATCTCACTGAAATTGTCTAGTCTCGTCAATCCCGGCGTCAACCCATCACCGCATCTCCACCAAGTGAGCATTTGAGAACCCACTCAAACTAAACAAAAAAGTTGACCGGTATGCTAGATCGTCGGAGGAAACTCCTTCAACACAACAATGGACCCCGCAAACGACATGCCCACCCTCTCCACCTGCACAACCTGCACCTTCTCCGAAGACTTCTCTAACTACTGGACCGCGGTCCTGTACTTCCGCGCCCGCAACGGGACCTATAAACGCGTGCCTCAAATGGGCAACGAGTTCCTCGAACAGCAGAACGGCGGACTGACCGTATACTACATCCCGCCGTATGACGGCCATACGAACGTCACGGCCTTCAAGCCCGGGTTCCGCATGCTGGTCGGAGATCCCATGTTGAGGACAGATACGAATACGTCTGAGGCAAATTCGATGAGCTATCGCTGTTTCGAGAAGAATTGGGGGCAGATAGATACTTATCCGGGGGGAGGCAACGATACGAGGGACTTTCCCAGTGTGCCGTGTCCGGGTGGTATTCGGGTTAATAATTTCTTCCCGACGTGTTGGGATGGTGTCAATACCGATAGTGCGGATCATAAAAGCCATATGTCGTATCCTGCGAGCGGATCTTTTGAGTCGGGTGGGCCTTGTCCGGCGAGTCATCCGGTGAAGGTTCCGCAGGTTATGTTTGAGACGGTTTGGAATACGACGGAGTTTAATGATAAGGCTTTGTGGCCTGAAGATGGGTCGCAGCCGTTTGAGTGGAGTATGAATGATCCGTGAGTTTTCCTCGAGTAGAGTGGTGTTTTGCAACTGACACGAAACAGAACTGGTTGGGGACATCATGGAGATTATGTTTTTGGCTGGAAAGGAGATGCTCTCCAAAGAGCGATGGATAACTTCTGCCACCAGGACTGCCCCACTCTCAAGACTCAAAGTTACGACGATGCAAATAAGTGCACCAAAGCTCCGGTGGTCAATGAACCGATTGATGGATGTGAGTTACTTTCTCATCATTTGAGCATTATATCGTAGGGAGAGGTCTTCGCTTTATGGAAGATGGCATCGAACTTGACGCGGCATTTGCTGACTTTAACTTAGGGTTACCTACCCTCCCAGGCATTGCACCACAATAATCGACCAAATCTGCTAGCGAAGCGATAAATATAGAACTACATGATCGCAGAATGTGCAATTCTTGCAAAAAAGGCTGTGTGAACAGTGGATTGAGATATTTACTACCAGCGAATAGAATTTACCTGATGTTAAACAATTTCTTGTTCTCCTGGTAGCATCCCGCAGAACAAAACAGTGCACATGTACAAAACAAGGTGACCCGTACTTACCCTCAAAAAATCTGATAATCGAGCGTTCTTTAAGGGAAGGCACCAGAAGGTGGCTGTTTTGAGGTACGCCCGATTGTCAGACTTCAAAAAGGGGAGAAACATCCAGGAGGCTGGGCAACGATACCATGGACCGAGTAGCTTATCAGCTTGCGGCCACTCGGCCAAGAAATTCTTTTTCGTCATTACAGCTCTACGAAGTTACTTCATTCGAGCCCTTACGATACCAGTAATCTCTCGATCCCATCACAAAAGAAAGCAACAATGACGTCGAGATAGCCTCATTCTTTCCGCCACAACGAAAACTTTCATGCGTGACTAACCCCACCAACCCCTCTCGAGGGCATACCTGATAACTCACCGAGCAACCCTGCAAGCGGGTCACTTCTGTAACAAGTGATACCGATGTCTGCATGTTAGGTGGTGAAGAAAGCATTCCGATCATAAAAGAGATATCACAAAATTTGATCAGAAAGCGATATGCAAGGTCTTCCCGATACAGCCATGTGCATGCTCTGTGATCGAGATCCGGGCAACGCGCAGAACGTGGCTGGCAGCTTCAAGAAGAGAATAGGTAAGTCGAGAAAGCTTTTGCACGTATCAGTATGAATATTTGAAGCACTTGGTTCCCCGCTTTTTGACTGCTTAATTCTTCAGACTTATCCCTTCAAACACATACCACATTCAACCAAATACCAAGCAGTTAACATGGCGCAACCAATCACTTTCTCGCCAGCCGACCAAGCTCTTTGCCTTGCAGTCCTCAAGCAGGTAGAAGTGGGGAAAGTCAACTACGAACTCCTCCGCGTCGAACTCGGTCTTCCGTCAAAGAACGCTGCCCAGGTTCGCTGGTCTCGCTTCAACACCAAGCTCAAGGCAGGAGCTGGCGTGGTTAAAGAGCCGACCGAAACTGCCAAGCCCAAGACAGGGGCTCGACGAGGTAGACCACCGTCCACTGCAAATGGCAAAGGTCAAGGGAAAGCGAAAGGAAGGGGCAATGGTGCCAACAAAAAGCGAAAACTAAATCTCAGTGACGATGAGGAAGAGGCAGAGATGTCGGATATCAAGGATGAGGAGGAAGATGCCGACGTAGAGGAAGGTGGTGACGACACGAGCTTGATGACGCCCTTCCAGACGCCAACCAGAAAACTACCCACGAGACAGGTAAGGGTGCAGAGTTTCAAGGAGGAGTCTGATGAAGAGGAAGGAGAGGAGGGAAAAGAGGAGGAGATGGTGGACATGGAGAAGGGAATGGACGGGAAAGGGAAGGAGACCAACGATGCTGCTAATGGCGGCACCGACATGGCAGGCCAGTCCGATGATGAGGTCTGAGGACAGTTTGTATGGTATGAGAATAGTTGAGATGGCTGTATGGTGACGTAAAAAGATGTAGCTGTATGTGGGCTGTTATCTTAAGACTCAAACGAGAACAAATCGCAATTATCTTTCAGATCACTATGCATGTGCTTGGACAATCACAATGTCGGTGGCGTCTTGCATAAGCAAGTTCTATACACTTCTGCCTAGAAATGTCCCACGATCTGAATATCACTCGATCTTATATTCAAGCCGAAGAGGGAAGAAGCATAAAGACTGTCGTATTACCAGCCCAGGGTGGATCTGTGAAATGCAGAATGACCAATCTGGACTGAACTAATCTTGGTGGCTTGGTACAACTGCACAACCGTAGTAGCTAACAAGCGTCTCAAAGAACATATTTTAAACGCTTGTTCACCCAGCTTCGAGGGACCTACAGCTTCTTTCACTTGGCAAACTCCAAACCCATCATGGCTCCATTGACATTCACAGAAGCCGAGATTGAACTCATGGTCGCTATCATTAATCAAGTTGGGGCCGGCGGAATCAACGGGAAAAAGCTTCAACAAGATCTGGGCTTGTCCAGCCTCAGCACAACTACCGTACGTTTGAGTCGTTTCAGAGCTAAGCTCGCAAAAGCTTCGGCTGGAGAAGGAACACCAAGTCCCAACAAAGACAAACTGGCATCGCCTAAGAAGAAACGCAAACTCGAGAAAGACGACATTGAAGACAGAGAAATCGACGATGAAGAGCATGTTGAAACTCCTTCTCGCAAGCTTCCGGGACGCAGAGCCAGGGTGACATTGTTCAAGGATGAATCCAAAGACGACTTTGAGATTCCAGGACAATCTGAGGGGGAGGAATGATATGAGTGAGATCTCGGTCGGGGATGGATGCCGGTGGCAACGTGCAGGTGGAAATGTGATGAGTCTTGAGTTTGCTTTTGATGTTGGGGCTGCGGGGAGGATTGTTTTGCAGGGGCAAGTACTTCGGAATGAAATTGATTGGGGATCAGAAACCAACATGGCTTTGTGGCAGTCTGAGAACATCGCGTGAACTTGTGATTTCGTGAACGTCTTCCACCAGCTTACAAAGAATACAACGATTATCTAAATAGGAAATAGAGACATCAAGAATATTCGAACTGCAAAACAATACCGTACAATCAAGCTTTTGATCCATCCGGCTGTCGCCACATTACAGTAATTTCTGAGGAGCTGACATCTAGAATGCTCCAGGGTTTTGTAGTCTCGTGAACAAGACGTGAACTGAAGATAAGCAGACGAAAAAGAAAAGAGTGCATTAGAAGCAGATACCCAGCATATGATCGATCACATTCAACTAGAAAACCATCGATTCACATCTTAAAGACTCGCTCACTTTGGGCAACTCGACACAACACGAATTTTCTTCACTTACAGACTCCCACTCTCCCACTTTGCAGAGAACACTGCTTCCGAACTGAGGTCGATGAAAAAGAGAGAAGATCGTGGTGCTTGTGATTGCAAGAGATGGATGCGACGAAAGCTTACTTAAGCAAACTGTTCGAACGGACAAAACACCCTCTTTTTAACGCTCCATTTCAACCTTTTAGAAAAATTGCAAAATTAAAAAAAGTTGATTTGTCAAGTATCTAAGATCTGATTATGTTATATACCATTAATTTTTGAGAATCGATATCGTAGTGATGATAAATATTATTGTGGGAGCAAGGGATCTATTTCGTCCGGGTTTCTTTGTCCGCGAGTATGGCCCCTTCCATTTCAGACTCACAAACTCTCAATAAGTACAGACTGCGGTGTCTCATTCACTTTTCAACAGCTGACTTTTGCATCAAAATCATATGCAAGGTGCTTTTGATCTGTAGAAACAATGATCCTCAAAATCACCCCACTCAGCCTCGTCGTCGCAAGCACAGTTGCCTAGCCTCACCCCGCATTCACAGCCTCGTCAACAAGGCTTCTCCTTCTCCTTCTCCTTCTCCTTTTCCCCTCAAATATTCACAACCACCTCTCAAACTTCCCAAGAGAAAGCCAACTTTCAACACCCAAGATGCCGATCCCTTCCCGTATCGTCGATGGGAAAAAGACCTTCACGATGCTCGGTACCTCGTATCGCCCTCCAATAGCCTTCTCTTACTAACTTTACCACAGAAAACAACCCCTCAGTAATGACGCCCCTAGCCCACAAACTTGGCCTCTCTCAAGACTTTGAATTCTACGATGTCTACTCACTTACCGAACCCTCGCTCCTCTCCATGATTCCTCGACCTGTTCTTGCTCTCCTGGTTATTATCCCCTGGACGCTTGCTTGGCACGAGAACAGGGTCGCTGAAGATGCTGATAAAGGAGTCTACGAAGGGAAGGGGGAGGAAGAGCCAGTCGTTTGGTTTACACAGACAATTGGACATGCGTGCGGCAGTATTGGGTTGACGCATTGTTTGATGAACGGTCCTGCGAAGGAACATATTTCACCCGGCTCCATCATGGCGAGATTGAGGGAACAAGCTATTCCGCTAGGGATGGCAGACAGGGCGAAGGTACTTTACGATTCGAAGGAGTTTGAAGACGAGCATCAGTCTGTTGCTGACGTGGGGGATACTGCTCCTCCGGCGACGGAGGATGAGGAGAGATCGGGTGGGCATTTTGTCGCGTTTGTGAAGGAGGGTGGCAGGTTGTGGGAATTGGAGGGGAGTAGGAAGGGGCCTCTGGACAGAGGACCGCTAGGAGAGGATGAAGATGTCTTGAGTGAGAAGGCCATTGCGATGGGGTTGGGCAGAGTCATTGAGTTGGTGAAGAATGCTGGAGGAAATGATTTGAGGTTCAGCTGCATTGCACTTGCGGCAAAGGAGGTCTGAGAAATCCACACAAGATCCGGAGACATAGATGTCGACTTACAGAGAGACGAATCAAAGAAAATGGGAAGTTTGAAATGGGCGTGAGGGGTAGCATTATGGAGCTACATATTTCGAACTCGATATTCTCATTGCAGCAGCCAGTCGACAGTCATATTTCTTATCTCTCATGAACAATTCCCTACCGAGATGGCCAATCTTCCACCCTCGAGTTATAGATAAGCATCCATGGCAGAGAGTGGTTGTCTGATTATATACTGATGACTTATCTCTAGAATAGGATATGGAACACCGAAGTACAGTACATTACCGAGAAGACGAAGAGACCGACCTTGGAAACATACATCCATAACGCGACTCTAACAAGCGGTGAAAGAACATGAGCTCCATCAATGATCTTGGCACTATATGTCGAGATGGTGTGATTCTACGGCTCCACCTCGCTGCAACATTTCGAAGAAGGCACAGGCTGCTATATCACCAAGTATATAAGTACTCATGCATGCTTAACTTACAGACGATCGAATAATCGCAAGACTTGATAGTAAACAATGCCCACTCCCAGGAGGTCAACACTGAAAACAAAAGGACATGTGGATAATTCATGTGATGGAACGGTTGAAGAAACGATGTTTGGTAAGATCTTACCTCTCTGGGACGAATTTCGCAGATCAGTGAGAGAAAGATTTACTGAACTAAAAGGTGACTGAGGCTGTCCCCATTTGTCTCTTCTTGCATATGACATGCAGTGAAGCCCCTGGGCTCAAGACAATCGGTATCCAATCAGATAGAAGGAGACGTACTTTGCAGAGGATGTCTCTGGTTGTACTCCAACGCCGAAAACAAAAGTGCCATACAAATGAGCGGTGTTATATTGTATGGAAGCCCAGCCAAAATGTGAGCGGTCAGGAAGCTTCATGGCAAGAAAGCCAAACCACTTGGCAAGTCATCTCTGGGCCTTTGTCAACCCATGTTGACGGAAACCCCGAGAGACGGGCGGGTCCAGCAACGTGCATGGATACAACTGCCAGTCAATTTCCAGGAATCTGGAATGAGTTTTCTGCAAGCAAAGCCATGATTGCTCCAATATTTCCCTAGGCAGCGTACCCGAGGGTGGGGTGGGGTTTTCGGAGGTCTCGAAGATGGAAGTTATCAAATTCAAGCCTTCTTGGTTCACGATGCGGCCGCAGCATGTCAGATTCGGACACGGCTGAAGTCTTCATGGGGGTCTCTCCAAAATTGAACTTTCCGACAATCCTATAATTCGACCGCAGGCAGGCAGACAAGTGATATCATGGCCGCTATGAGCACCAGTCGGAAGATTCCCAGACAAGAGGTGCGACAACGTTTCCACGAGGGACGGGAACTTGGTCTTCATGTTCGCAGACCGGCTCGTTCGCTCACTCGCTGCTAAGTTTTTGACTTCGACGATGACCGACTAGGGACGTTTATCGCGCAATCCTCCGATTTCTTGGCGATTGCCACGGGCCAAGTATTCCCAGGAAGCCTGCTTCCATTTGGAAAACGATGAAGCGGTATACTCTCATTCATATCGAGGCTGATATTCTCCGTCCTGCGTTGCATTGTAACACAAGATTCAGTGGCACCGGGACGGGACGTGGAGGTGATCGGGGCAAGACCGCATTTGTCTGTGTGCCATTGTTGTACGTCCATGCAGAGCTCGCAGAATTCCCAGAGCCATGGCTCCTCTTCGACCATCGTCCGAGTCGCTTCCAGTTGACTAACATGCCATGTCAACGGTACTTGGAGTCCTCCACCAGATTATGCAGCGATAACAGCGTGGTGTACATCCCATATTACACGACCAATAGCGGAGAGTAATTCTACCAGCCAAGCCCGGATCATCCAAAGCAAAAGACTTCGAGACTCCAACATTCAATCCTCGGCCAGCAGGGCGGGGTTCGCAGGTTGGTGCATGTACACCGTAAGTCTTCGTCTCGTCCCTCTTCCGCTCTATATTATGTGCGTTAGCTTTTGACGCAACAACGGAGCAATTGCTACTTGCACGGCCGGGCCCTTATCGCCGGGTCTTGTGGCCCACGGATTTGTCGGGAAATGCCTCGTAACATGATACGATGCGGCTACGGCGGGTGGCGCTCTGGAATGATGTCGCAAAAGCTTCAATTGTTGCTGGCGCCAGTTGGCCAACACCATGCAATAATATAATGAAGGAATAAGTCTCGAGTGGACGTCGAGTTGATGTCTCGGAGATGAAGGAAATTTATCAGACGAGAAATCGTTCTAGAAAAAGGGGTGAGCGTCCCGGCAATGCGGTAGTGGTCTGGCGGGCCCTGTTTCACTTCGCTTAGACCTCCTGTTGCTCCTCGGGTAAATGTTTACAGCTTCAGTCGAAGGATGACCCTGGAGAAGAGACTTTTTAGCGTTCCAACACTCCATTTGCCTTTCTTCCACCGCGAGTCGAGTTCCCCCCGAGTCCCCATTGCTCATTAGTTTCCTGTTCGCAGATGCAGCCAAAACCCACCCAACAGCGACTAACTGTCGTTCCCCCAATCACCACAAAGATCCTGCCAAGCGGCTTCACGCCAAATGCAGCAGGTGTGTCTACTAGCTTTACCAGCTGCTGATAAGTGGTCCATATGCACCACGGGGATAGGCTAGAGCAAACTCTGGTCAAGGCCGAGATCTGGATTTCGGGACAACGAACATATCCAAGAGATGATAAAGCAATAACTACCAGTGGGGCGGGACGGGTGCTGTCATGTCGAGTGTCAGTCGACTCGACCGCGAGGGCGTTCCTGGAGCTCTTAATTAAGCCTTATTTCCCTTCGGCCACATCGAAGCCAGTCAAGCCAATGTCTCCTAGCTGCATTTTGACAGCACGAGAGGCTTTGTGGACGATGAACTACTGATCCCTCTACCGGTACCTGCTTCTTTTATTGCTTTTCCCAACGTCTCTTGCCGCCAAAAGATCTGTGATGCTATTCGACGGCCTCTGAGCTTGACAATTCAGAGCCAATGTGCCAAGTCAGCTCGGTCAGGCCATAAAGCAGTTCTCATTCATTGGGGGGTCGTTGTCCAGAGTCATTGAGAAGCTGAGTCAATTAATTCACAGCCTATGTGCTCAGTCAATTCAGTCAGGCCATATATCAGCTTTGATTCCTCCGCGGCTCGTTGTCTGGAGTCATTGAGAAGCAGCTAGCACTATAAAGTCTGGCTCAGAGCTTTTGGGTCTTTCCTCCATGCCACCACAGCGAGCGCTTCCCGATAATCAAGATGGATTCAGACGTCCAGCCAAATGTCCTCTATGACATCCTCAGACGGATCTCAATCAAGTCGATACTCAAGCTAGCTTCTGGGCTTCGACCTCAGGCCTTGTACAAGATCTTGCATGACTTCCTCCTCCATGTCTCATTTCGACCTCTGGCAAGAGCAAAGCCAAAGAATCTCTTTCAACTACTTCAAAAAGCTGCTGCAGGCACAGCAGGAAACGGGATCTCGATATACTCTCCGGGTGGAATCGCTCAAGTTGGTCTGAGACTCTCCTATGTCGACTTGCTCACTTCATCGAGCCTCAAGGCTGGGCTTCTAAGCCAGATCGATGGCATCAAAGACGACTCAGTTGTCCTCCTGCACTTCGACAACCACCGAGATGGTATTGAATGGTTCTGGGCTGTTAGTATCGCTGGTTACATCCCTGCCATCTCGACTCCTTTCACGCACGACGTCGAAGCTCGCAAGAAACATCTCATTCATCTCCAGACCGTCTTGAAGAATCCGATCATCCTCACATCGGAGCATCTAGTGCCTGAATTTCTCGACCTAGAGTGTCTCAGTATACGTACCATTGAAAGCATACAGGCTGGCAAAAACGAAGGAATTGTCCCAATTCTCAACCGCGGGCTGTTGAAAAAGGGGGATGATATTGCGGCTCTTATGCTCACATCCGGCAGTACTGGCCACGCGAAGGCGGTTACACTGCGACACAATCAGATGCTCACATCGGTTTCTGGAAAATCGATTCATCATAGCACGACTCCTAAGGACAAGTTCTTGAATTGGATTGGTCTCGATCACGTGGCTAACCTAACGGAAACCCATCTTCATTCCATGAATCTTGCGGCTGAGCAAGTCCATGTTCAAGCTTCAGATCTACTCGTTGATCCATTAAGATTCCTAATTTTCATTGCTCGTCATCGAATCACGCATACTTTTGCTCCAAACTTCTTTTTAGCAAGTCTGAGAACTGCTTTGGAAAAACCTGAGCCATTTGCTGGTGATATCCTAGATCTGTCTTGTTTACGAGTATTGATCTCTGGAGGCGAACAATGCGTAGTTGAGACTTGTCAAGCACTGACTTCGCTACTGCACAAGTATGGAGTTCATGGTGAAGTCATTAGGCCTGGGTTTGGAATGACAGAAACTTGTGCTGGGTCTATTTACAATAGGAACTGTCCATCCTACGATATCTCGAATCAAAGCGAATTTGCCTCGCTTGGATCTTGCGTGCCAGGCATCAGCATGCGGGTCACAAGTGACTCGGGAGAAGTCGTGGCGAAGAATGAGATTGGCAATCTTGAGGTATCTGGGCCAATTGTGTTCGAGGAGTACTTCAACAATTCAAAAGCAACTGCTGAATCGTTTACACAAGACGGGTGGTTCGTAACAGGAGATCGAGCACTGATTGATGCAACTGGTAGACTTCAAATGACTGGAAGAGCAAAGGAGAATATCATCATCAACGGAGTGAAGTACTTCCCCCATGAAGTTGAGACTGCTCTCGAGGAAGCACGAATCGATGGTGTCACACCATCATACACGGCCGTCTTTCCTCATAGACCTAAGAGTTCTCAAACTGAAGTCCTCTGCGTCGTCTACCTACCAAGCTATGATGCGGATGATGTTCTTGCTCGAGTCAAGGCAACTGATGCCATCTCAACCATTTGCACAATGCAATGTGGTGTTCGACCGTACGACATTATTCCTTTGACGGCTGTCCACTTACCTAAATCGTCTCTTGGCAAGCTCTCTCGAGCCAAGATAAGGACTGCATTCGAGACTGGCGTCTTTGCTGAATTCAAAACCAACAACGATACCCTGCTACAAGAATATCGAGCATCCCAACGTCAAGCTCCAACCAACGGCACCGAAGCGAGCATCTTGAAAGTCTTTTCCGAGACCTTCGACATCCCAGAAGAGGATATCGGGATCAACACTTCTCTTTTTGAAATGGGTGTCAGTAGCATCGAGATCATCCGTCTCAAAACTCGCATCGAGTCCGAACTCTCCCTTCCAAACGAAATACCCATCATAACAATAATGACCAACCCCACGATCTCAGCTCTCTCACTCGCTCTCCTCGAACTCTCCAACCCAAAAGAATACAACCCCATCGTGACCCTCCAATCCGGAGGATCCAAAACACCTCTTTTCCTCGTCCACCCTGGTGTGGGAGAAGTGCTCGTTTTCCTCAACCTCGCAAAATACATCGTTGACCGACCCATATATGCTCTTCGAGCTCGAGGCTTCGACGCTGACGAGAAGCCATTCACCTCCATCCCCGAAATCGTTAGCACGTATCACACCGCAATCAAAAGGGTACAACCTACCGGTCCGTACGCTATTGCCGGCTACTCATACGGCTCCATGCTAGCTGTCGAAATCGCCAAAGTCCTCGAATCCGACAACGAGGAAGTAAAGTTCGTCGGCGTCTTCAACTTACCACCACACATCAAATTCCGCATGCGCCAACTCGACCGGATCTCCGTCCTTCTACACCTAGCCTACTTCCTCGACCTCATGACCGAAGAACACGCTCACGCCATCTCACCCGCTATGCACTTGCTTTCCCCCGACGAAGTCTTATCCCACGTCCTAGAACAATCACCACAAGCCCGCTTGAGCGAAATGGCTTTGGACACCGACAAGCTCCGCAAATGGACAGACATCTCCCATGGCCTACACGTGATAGCGCATGACTACGACCCATCAAGCAGTGTGTCCAAAATGGACGTCTTCTACGCGATTCCCCTCGCGGCAGTAGCTAAAGACAAGCAAGACTGGATGGAAAACCATCTGTCGAAATGGGACGGGTTTGTGAACGAAGAAGTCAAGTTCCATGAAGTCGACGGGGCTCATTACACAATGCTGGGTCCAGACAATGTTCTGAGCTTCCAGAAGAAGTTGAGGGCCGTTTTGAGGGAGCGCGGCATCTGAAGCAGGACGAGACCTCACTTAAAATCTCCGTTTGCAGCCACACCCCCTCTATCTTCATATTCCGGAGTTTATGTTGGATATCCTTTTTCGTCGTTGTTCTGGGGTCGGCGACTTACCGTCCCGTCGGTATTTCACTTTTCAATAGCGTGTATATGTGTGAGTCCCTATGAGCGAGCAAGCAAGCGAGAGGGAGGCACGGCAAGATGGATGAATTAGACGACGATATGACTGCATACCCCACCATTTTCTTTTCTTTTTTTTGCTTATTGCTCGCGACATCTCATTATTCTTATTTTTATTCACGGCAGGCAGGCAGGAAGGAAGGCAGGTATAGATTAGACAGAAGATGAAATAAAATAGATTCTGCATAATCCGTGCATATGCAGCCAGCCATGGTGAACGCTGAGTGGTGCGTCCATACGGTGCGGATGTCGCCTTCCGCTCTTTTGCGGCCGCGGAAAAACCGCAGCAGTTACGGAGGTACATTTACTTGTATTTAGTCATCACTAACAGGCGAGCAAGTCTGTTTGGGGGCTAGCTAGCTAGCTGGCTTCAAAGGATTGAATGATTTCCCTTTTATTTTATTTTTTTGGCAGTTTCGTAGGAAGCCAGCAGCCAGCAAGCAGGCAGGACAGGACAGGACAGGACAGGACAGGGCAGGCTCGTAAGTGCTTTGCCGCAGGAACGTTCCTGCGGCGCAATTAGTCACATACAGCAGCTTAGCTTAGCTTACCGCAAGCATGAGCCTATTTTGGAGCTCACCGAGCTTGCTTGCTTGATTGCTGATCTCGAAGGAGGAGGGAGCTGGAGCTGGAGCTGGAGCTTGTTTTTAGGTGCAAGCAAGCTAATGGCGGGGTACCGAGGAAGGAAGGAAGCTTGAGTCGTTGGTTATGGTTAGTTTGGTGATATGTATGTATGTGATCTGACAGAGGTTGGGGATTGACAGCGAGAGGAGGGATGGATGGGATGGGATGGGATGGGATGGGATGGAGGGGCCATAGAAAGTCACCGAATTTTTTCTTGGCTCGGTAGGTAGGTGGGAGAGGGATGGAAAGGGAGGATGGGGATGCGGTTGCGGTTGCGGTTGCGATTGGATGGGAATGCGATTTTTTGGTTTGGGGTGGTTATTGATGTGCAGATTGAAGGGTATGAGAGAGCAAAGTGGACGGATGGATAGATAGATGCAAAGTTAATTGTAGGTATGTAAGTCATCTTTTAAGCGTTGTTGAGGATATATTGCTGCTGCAAGGCGGTGGTGTAAACACTTTTTTTTTTTACTTTGTAAAAATATAATCGGACATATCGCTCTTCGGCCTAAGGATACTTCCGAGCTCTGCTTTCATAAATAAATATGCCAAAGTGCGTGCAAGTGCCACCCTGCAGAGACAGCCACCGTTCCTCTTGGCAATGTGACATAATCTTAGCTCGCTCACTTAGGGCTGAGTGCTTCCGTAATCCGGGTGCCGCGTACTGTAGATCCACGGCTGCATCTTGGCAGATTCTTACTTTTCTTGAGTCTTATTTTCTTCCTAGTGTTGCCGTCCGTGTCTTCGCCCCCAACGTACATGTACATGTTGCTGTTGTTGGTTTGGTGTGACTTTTTTCTCCTCAATCTCACCAAGGGATAATGACTTCTTTCCTAACCTCCTCTCCAATAAGCGAGCCCCTAACCGGCTGCAGGCACGATACGCTCGCCTCACGCCTTACCGTGTCAAAGGACATCTTGATGCACCGCGCCGCCGCCCACTCAGGAATATAGTCTTGATCTTCGTCTCCTGGTCTGAGTCCCTCCTCCTCAATGCCCGCTAGCCACGCCATGATCTTACCCACCACGATTCCGTCCCAGACGCCCTCTTTCCTGGGGCTCCGGAGCAGCAATTCAATCGCCTCCCTCCTTAGGGCGCGGTGCCGGTATATCCACCCGACCGTCATCAACGGGACGATGATTTGCATGTCGAACACGAAGCCCGTCCCACCTCCCTCGGCCCTAGGCGGCTGATCGAGCAGTATCCTCGCGATGTCGACCAGTTCCTCCAGTTCCGTAGTGAAGCGTCCGTCGTTGACCAGGCTCGAGTGACTGTTGTTAGACGCGATAGACATGTACCCCGCCAACCAATGAAGCCTCAACGTACTCGCCAATAAAAACTCCTCGTGCGGCGCATTCCTACTCCTCGAGTGATTGAGCAGGGGCCGGAATGCATCATCCCACCTCTCATACTCCTTCAAGGTCTCCAACCTCTCCTCAAACGTCGGATCCACATCAAAGAACAGCGAGCATGGTCCCGAATCCTCGCAATCACTCGTGGGACTCCCGCCGGGACTACTCGGCGTCGAGAAATTCTGTAAATGCATCGTAGACCGGAGCCAGTGCATGCTCCTCCTAATCACAATTTCTAGGAGATCCTTCGCTTCCTTCAGACTGGGGAAGATGGCCGGCATCTCGTCGATGGACGCTTGTCCACAATGGCGATAATGCTCGTGAGCTTCCCTCGTGCGGCCATCAGCGTAAGTCATGACTTGGATCTCGAGGCTGCCGAAGGCGCGCAGGATGTCGTCTTCCAGCACGTGAGGATCCTCGCTTCCGAGGCGGATGTTGAGACGGCCATTCTCGTCTGGTTTGTAGAACGAGGAGGCCCATTCTCGGATTAGTTTGAGGCCCGAGTAGACTTGGTTGATGGCCAGCTCGTGGTAGCCATGGTAGGATTCGAAGCAGTAGAATAGGAGACAGGCGATGAGGGTTGTTCTTAAGTCACAGAAGCCGCCGGCTACGTCTCGACGGAGGAGACAGAGGGCTTTGCTGTATTGTCGGAAGGCGAATTGATGCCGTAGAGTTCCGACGGAGTTCTCTGGCCGAGGTGAAGGGTGAGAGAGGTTTAATGCCCCGATGGCGATGACAGCGTGACGAATCGATGGAGAGGTCTCACATGCTTGGAGCATGAGACGGGTCCATAGATCCGAAGAAAAGGATGAAGATAATTGGTGAGAAGTGCGATCACAGAAAGTCTGAAAAGCTTGATACTCGTGAGGATTCTGAAATAATAATCGAGTTGGTGATGGATAGAGTTTTGTTGCTTGAGTAGTAGGAGGTCGGAAGTCTGACGAGCCTTTGGTGGTGGGATTTGGTGATGCGGGACTGCCAGGTGACTTGGGAACCAGCACCCGTGAACTCTTAGACGAAGCCGGCTTCGATGGAGATTTATTTGAATAGCCGTCGCACTGGTGACCAAATCTCACACAGCGCAAGCAGCTGGGTTTAGTCTCATCGCACTTCACGCGACGAATCCTGGAGTTGAGTTTAGCTGGGCTCGTATAGAAATATAAAAAACTGTACAAAGTACTTGTGGCTGGAGTTGAGGTGAAGTGAAGACTCGGTAAGGCTGAGCCTCTCGCATGAGTGAGATGCCACACACATGAAAAAAGTCCACCAACCATAAAGCAAGCAACACAATAAGTTACAACGCAACAGTACTCTCAAATGTCAAAGGAAAAATGCATTTACGAACTTGCAAGTCTGGCATCCCGTCTTCACCTTGGGTCTGCTCGCCCTCGTCTTCTTGACCTTCACTTCGGCTTCCGTTTTGGCAGAGTAATCGACTTCCTTCTCTGCCATCTGGTCGAGGTGATCCCGTCGTGTTACTGTAGCTCGACCTTTCCTTCACACGTTTCTCCCTCACTCGAACCTTGGACCGTGGACCCTGGTACGTATATCCGGATCTTGGACACGCTGGACGTTCACAATGGTATTCGAAGCCCAAGACCACATACCAAGGGTAGCGAGCGGGAGAGCCCCAGCCTTATAAAGTTGTCGCAGACTTGCAGGCCGGCACGAATCTCACTCTTCGGTACTCACACTTGAGTCGGACGCAGGTAATAGACTGACTGGGTATAATGCATTTGACTTCGGAATTGACTGGGCGGGCCTGATCGTTGCGTGGGAGTGCGGGTGTGCGTGCGTGCGTGCGTGCGTGCATACGTGAGAGGGCGTGGGAGTAGAAAGGAGGATAGAGACAGAGCAGAGCAGAGCAGAGCAGAGCAGGGAGGGACAGTAGGTAGATGAGAGCAGCAGACTAGAGTGTACGAGTAGTGTACGAGTAGTGTACGAGTAAGAAACAAGGACGGTAGTAAAAGAAAGGTAAATATGGTACAGTAATAGAATAAACGAGACCCATAAATATCACCTTGCTTGCTCCCTCCCCTGCGGATGATGGCCTTCCCTTCCCTTGCGTTGCCTTCCCTTCTCCTCGCCTTTCTGCCCGCCGCAAGCCAAAGTGCAAGCCCAGTCAGTATACAAACTCCAACCAACCCTAGCAGCTCGCCATGATCACGAATCAGCAGTGCGGTATCGCGACGGCTTGACGGCGCTTTCGGGGGGATCAGATGGGGTGCTGGTGGATGATGGGCCCAAGGACAAGGTCCCTAATGTGCGTTTGCGTTCAAGCTTCCCTTCCATGAGGTCCAGGGTGCAAGTAGGTGCAAGTAGGTGCAAGTAGGTGCAACAGTAATATGGCCGGTCTTGTCCTAGGATGGATGAGATGCGATGCGATGCGCCGTGTCGGTCGGCTGCTGGGTTGGTGCTGGGGCTGGTGGTGTAGGCTGGTGATGTCGGCTGGTGGTGTAGTGCTGGCTGGGCTGGACATGATAGAGTCAGACTGCACATTTCACTTACCCGACGGCCACCTTGCCTGTTTCACCCACACAGACGGATTACCACACTACTCCCACACCATCACCCCCACTACACGTCGGCATCCCATCCCTCACTCGACCTTCCTTCCCGCCTTTCCTTGTCTACCTATGGCAATGGACTACTACTCACTCACTCACTCACTCACTTACGCATATCACACTTCCGCATACGCACACGCATACCTGAGTAATACCACATACCGCACGCAACTCCTCCTCCCTTAGCTCTACTCGCTCGCCTCGTCGCACAATGTTCCCCAACATATACTCCGACCATACTCCCAGATTCCTCTTTTGCCCTTTCAAAATTGGCTTAATTACCTTTTCTTTATCCTCACCCTGGCTGTTCCAAATGCGTCGATCCCCGGATCAGCGTAAGCGCTTACAATACAGGGTCTCGGTCCCATGCCCAATCATCCACAACTTCTCGTATACAGAAGCATCGTGCACGCCAATTGTTCGTCAGGCACCTCGCCGAACACCTCGCACTCCTCATCCCTGATGGCAGCCGTGGTTGATGGTGGTGGTGGATCTCCCTCCTCCACGCTTGGATCAACTGTTGGCTGATGATACCCAAACCAGGTCCAGATCTGATTGGTAAAAGCGTATGCGATCTGATAGGTGAGATCGTATGTCAGCCGTCCGATGGCTTGCGTGAGGCTGATTCGATTCAAAGGCTCTGTGAGGTCTCGCATGGAATCCAAGATACGAGAAACGAGACGCCCAGACGGGTACTACCCGTCGTACTGTATGCACTTACTGTCGTACGTGACGCCCGCGAGACCGAGTAACCCATCCTCCACCCTAACGCAAGACGTATACCCGTATATATTAGCAATGTTGGAAAGTAGACAAAAAGAGGCGTCACGTGAAACATGTCAGCACGATAAGTTTCATCTTTTTTCTGACCCTGCCCTGCGCCGCATACCACCAATACGTAATCGGCCAACATGTCAGATCCCATCCGACAAAAGGCGGGCGCTAGAGCCCAAAAGGGGAAATTAAACGGTACGAGGAAAGAGATTCATAATTCAAGTGATTACTCGTTAAAGTTTACCCCTGAGTAAGAGGCGAAACCCCCCTTCCAACTTCTCAAACAAAACCAAGATGAAAGAGATACGATGACCCCGCCAAACCTACCAACAATCCGTCCCCTCTCCTCTGACTCGTCAAGATACGACTGTCAAATCTCCCGGCTTTCGCCTTCGAGCCTCGCCTTCTTTCAACATGCCCAATCCGCCCCCGATCTCTCTTTCCTCCGTTCCCCACAATCAGAAGAGCCCTTTGTTTCCAACTTCCCGGATTTTTTTCTATAATCGGACCGAGCAGCCTGATTGATTGATTGATTCCAAGGAGACTTTGCTTTAAGTACCGAACACCACCTCCATGGGGAATACCCAAGTTCTCCATCCATCCATCTATCCATCCAACAAGGAACTTGACACTCGTAGCCTTGCTTGTCTTGCCCCCAAATCTCCGAGCGCCCTATCAAGAGCGGAGAACTTCCGCGTAACATGACAGACAACACGCATAGGTACATAACGTGGCAAAGACAGACCAAGACAAGGAAAAAAAAACCTCCGAACAATGCCACCCACGCGGTTTCGAAAAGTGGACTCGGAAGAAGCTCTTTCGAAGAAAAAAGTGGAAATGATAATTAATTCCAGAAGACACGCATAGCCGGAACGAGTAACACGAAAACTCTCGTACGCGGCAGCCAATGGTACATACTGCTGGCTTACCTCCCTGCTGGCTGTGGCTTATACCTGCATCCGAACACACAAATACATACATACACTCCCGTAACTGCTGCTGCTGCATATCTCGTTCTCCCACACCCACCCAGCCACCCATCCAAACATAGAGACGGACGGATATGTATGTACTGTTTGTGACTGTGCCTGCTGCACGAAGTGCCGTTGCCGTTGCCCACGTCGCACAACAAACGAAAGGGATCGGGAATCCGAATACGCGGAACCTCCCTCCCTCCCTCCCTCCCTCCCTCCATTCTTTCGCATCTTTCCCCCCCTTCCTCGTGACTCGCACAAGTAGGAATAGGATTCGAATATCTTCCGTTCCCGTCCCTGTTCCCGTCCTCTGAGCTGACAAACATGCCTAGCCCGGTCTCCTCGCCCCCAATCCCGACGATCTGTTCAGGTTGGGTTGCCGGTTACGGCAAATGCATGGGATGGGGCGTGAAAGAATCAATCAAGCCACCACCGCGATGGTGCGTTAGTCAGCCAACGAGCTATTTGCAGACAGACGGACGGGAGCGAGGAGAGACATGGCATGGCGGGGAGGGTTCTTGGAAGCGAATCAGTGGTGGCCGCTCGTAACAGGACGAAAAGCCATGGTTTTCTTGTGCGACGAGAGACGACGAGATGTATGCATGCATGTAATTATTTTAGCCTTCCACTTGAAGTGCCTGGATCGTCTATTTTAAGTTCGGGTTTTGAGGTTCGTCTGAAAGTTACTGCAAGAAGAGATAGAATGAGAGAAGATCGTTGGCAGGCTAGATATAAAGAAAGTGAAGACTATGTGAAGCTATGTTATCACTATTCGTGTTGGAATTTTCATGGGAGCTACCCAATCATAGATATAGACATTGATTCGTTTCAAACCGTAAGACTTAAACTCGTACGCCCTTCAAAATGTGGTCACACGGCATTATTGTATGTGAAGTGATGCATTTTCATCACGGATTCGAATGCGGTCTAGTGCGGCATCTATTTGCAGGTCATGCAAGTAAAATAGATTCCCTGCAGAACAAACCTTCGCCAAATGCATCATCATCCTTCATAATCATTGCTCGTCATCATAACCGCCAACTACGCGCTCAGATAGCGGTCCCATGCAGGTCGGTACCTTCCTCGCTACCAACATCGTCAGAGCGGCAATCGCAAGAGAAGTTCGCTCTAAACTCAGCTAGTGGCAAACCACTGAGAGCGTTCATAGCTTTCTTTGCAGCTGCAACCTTAGCATAACGGCTGCTCTCAGCTTGAGCATCGGCCACAACCTTGCCATGCACAATGACGACCGCAATAACAGTAGGTTTGCTTCCATCGATTGTTTTGACCTCCTTTGGGATGATTGTCCACTCCGTGCAGCCCATGTTGATTTGGAGGAACTTGGTAAGGAAAGTGGTTGGATGCTTGTTCGCGTAGCTGTCGTAAATAGACATGTCCTCAAAATACCATTGAATGTGTCTATCAAAGAACTTCTCAACTTCGGCATAGTCGTACTCCGAATCAACGAATATTGCCCCAATACAAGCTTCAACGATATCGGGAAGACACTTTGGTGGTTGGCGAACACTGATCCAATAATCTCGAGAGCACTCTTTGGCGAGTTTACCAGCACGAATTGCGTCCTTTTCGGCTTGCTCTCTGGCTTCGGTTATGTCTGTGACATAATCTGTGATCTGTTTTTGGAAACCGGCGTTGAACAACAACAGGTGAGTGTGGAATCCGAGAGATACGCAGAGTGCGCCAAGGAACTGATTGGATACCATGGCCATTTTGTGCTCCGTCAACCATTGCGGATCTTTATCTGGGAAACGGTGGAAGAGGAAGTTGACACAAGCCATGTCAAGGAGCGAGTCACCCAAGAATTCCAAGCGTTGGTAGCTAGGTACATGCTCATACGAGTAGGGGTATGAGGGATGAGTAAACGCCGAACGAGCCAAGCGAGGATACTTGAAATGGTACGGGTGCTCTCGCTCAAGCTGCAACGCTAGATTGCGTTGCATCTCAGTGGCGGCCGCTAATTGATACTTGGGCTTCTTGTAAAGCGTGTAGTATTCGGCGAAAGAGGTGACTCGATGGTTTTCGCTAGAAACCACCTCGGTAACTGCTCGAACCGCATTGTCCATACACTTCGTTTCGTGGCAGGTGAGGAGTGCGGCGCCTATCAAAGCCTCGCAAACATCTGCAATGCTCTTGTCACCAAGCTTATGTGTATTGGGCGCTGTTGCCGTCTTTCCCCTCGTGAGAACCAGACCCTCTGGGTACCATGCTCGTCGATTGAAACTCTCCGAGCGGATGTACTCGTAAAGTTTCAGCTTGATTGCATTGTTCTTGAGGTTCTTATTGCAAATCAACATCATGCGGTCAACATGGTAGCTATACTCGTCATTTTCTGGATGGATGCCGAATAAGGAGATTGAGGTGGCCATCTTGAGGAAACAATCTCCCAGGAATTCGAGACGCTCGTAATTGTTACCCATGCCTTTTTGAAAGTTGATCTGCTCATTACCATGTTCATCCGTGTTGTCTGAATCTTTCGTGACAGCTTCGAGTGCGAGATCTGGTCGGATATTAAGATGAAGGAGTTCACAAGCTTCCAAAGCAATGAGGTACGATTCGAGGCGATGAATTATAGCAGGGAAGATATAAGCCATCGCAACGACGGTGGTTGGTAGCTAGCACAGTTAGCAACATTATACAAGATTGGAACTTCAACTTACAGCAGAGATTTTCAAAGGTTCCAGGATGACGAAGCATTTCTTGGGGCTGTCGTCCTCAGCAGTAGCAAATTCATCAAGCAAATTTCGTCGTAGGGAAATGAATTCGGCCTCGACAACACGTTGGTTAGGATCAAAGGTTCTGCGAGCTCTAGCCTTGGCCCAGAGGGAGCAGCTATACTCCATGATGTTATCGTTGTTCTTTCGGGTACCCTTGCGCGGTGCAGAATTGGGCGGGACAGGATCCAAAGCTTTATGTCCATAGGCTACACCTTTACTCCACATCTTGCGAGAGCCGTCGTAAGGATCAACGATATACTTGTCTTTGAAGAATTCGTCGGGCTCAGTTTCCCATGATTTGTTATCCCATGGGTTTGCGGCCCACTTTACTTGATGCTCTTCAATAGCCTTCAAGATATCCCATGCAATCAAGCCAGATGGATCGCTACCAAGATCGACGGTAACTTGCTCGCTGATAGGAGCAAGGAAGTATGGCATCTTGGTTGGGTCCGACTCATACCCCTTACTGAAGACATCGTCGAAAATACAGAGAGTGAAAGAATTGATCTGCTCGACAATTGCCTCCGTGACCGTGATGGGTTCCGTGTAAGAGGAGCACTGCACAAGAGAATGACGGTCGTTCCCAAAGTGCAAGTAGAACGATGGCAGTTGGGGTAGGCAAGATCTGGTCAACAAAGCTATCGGTTGTGATGAACGGTCAAGAGCACTTGGATTCTCAAGACGTAAGACTGTCACGAACAAACGATCAGGAAAGCCAGTCGACGACCAAATCGTTGGCTTCGTCTTCATATCGTAAGCTTCTCGTTTCTTCGAGTCTACAGCGAGGAGTGCATTTCGCATGGCCGGCAGCTGTTTTGTGAATGTAGGGCATAGCCACTCGTCAAGGTATTTGCCCTTGATCAGCTCCAAACATGTCTCGAATGCTGCTGAGCATTTCGCAACTTGTTTTGTGGATGCTGGTCTTCCTATGGCTCCACGAATAGGAGACTCCTCTGGCAGAACTGTCTCGCAGATGAAATTCTTGTTTTGGATAGTCATGACATACTCTGGCTGAAGGTTGACATCCATACCATGAGGTAATGAGTCGACGAAGTTTGCCAGGACCATCAAGCTCATTTTGTAAGTAAGTTTAGCACCTTTCGATGTCTTGTAGACACGATGACTCTTTTCCTTTGCGAGGAAGTAGTCCATGTTGAAATTGTTGCCAGTGAGTTTGCGATTTTCTGGAAGAGCGCTGCAAAATCTCTTGAGAATATTTTCGTCTCGGCGGACTTTCAACATAGCGGTCTCATGCTCTCGATTGCCCGCTTCAAACATGTGTATGTATCTTGAGTTGGCATGGCGTGCACGACCTCTGGATTGAATGTACTGGATTAGTGTAGTGTACAGATCGAATCGAATGATAAGATTGCAGTCCGGAACATCCAATCCTTCTTCGGCAACGGAGGTAGCGAAGATGCAATTGATAATGCCTTTGCGAAAGTTCATCATTGTAATCACCTGGTCACGGAATGAGGTGTTGAGATCTCCTGCTTCACCAGTCCGAGTACCGATCTAGACAAGACATGTCAATAAAATACAAGAGATATGAATATGAGTACACTGACCAGAGTGCCTACGAACAAGTACGGCGTCCCAACATTTGGTTGAGTAAAGAGATTTGCCAGTAAACGAGCAGTGTATCTTTGATTGACAAACACAATGCATTTGTCATCAGTAGGTCTCTCAAATCGCTCCTTCAAGATCAATATCAAGTGCATAACCTTGGAAGAGATATTCGATGACGCTGCTCCATCCATCCGTAGTGTGCTCAAGTCTGGAGGGTTGAAAGTATGCATCTTCACAATTTCCTTGGCTTCGGCAATTTGCGCCTTGCGTTTCTCCAAGATCTCCAGAGGCTCTTGAATTTTCCTCGCATGATATCGACGTTCAGTCTTAGCTTGAAGCTTTTGAGACTCCTCTTCACCAAGACAGAAAGGCCAAACCTGGTCCGCACACCATGCGCCCAATTGTCGAGTTGCTTCATGAGCAAATAGGAGTGGTTTGGCGAGAATGGGATTTTTACTGAATCGCTCATACATCTGGTTGTACAGCGGTGTCTCAAAAGTCGGGCTGAGAGCCTGATACCGAACCAATTGCTCTTGCTTTTCATTAATACGATATTGCTTCAAAGTGGGATCATCCGTGGTGGCAATCTGTGAATGCAATATGGCTTCCAATTCAGCGGCAGCTTTACGAACATCCGTATTTGCATCGACTGGAGATGCTGTCATGCCGAATATCTTTGGTAGTACTGAGCCATTCTCGTTCTGGGCGTAGAAGTCCTTGATAATGCGAGCATAAGGATGATCCTTCTTTGCGTGGTGGGCTTCGTCGAAAATGAGGAGATTGATTCGGTCCATCGAGATGAAGGATCGATGGAGGCACTGTCGAAGAACTTCTGCCGTGCAAACAATGACCATGTTCTTGTTATAAATATCTTCCCAGTGTGACTGGCTCCACATATCACAACCCATCTCTCCGCAGAACATTGCCATTGGCTGATCGAGATTAGCTTTGAGGACAGCATGCTGCTGAAACACCAATTGCACAGAGTCCACCTGCTAGAGTTAGCTGACTCTTCGAATAGTCACACAAGTCTTACCAGAAAAAATGATATGCGTTTTGATTTGCCTATTGCTCTATCCTCCAGCTCTTGCGCGAAAATATGGCGGAGTAGGAGAACTGCAATCAAGGTTTTGCCAGTTCCTGGACTAGTTAGCAAGATCAAGGAGAGAACATTAGACTACCGACCAGTATCAAGAACAGCAATAACATTCTCCTCCTTGGCTCTCTCGAAAAGCTCGACCTGGTATTCCCGAGGAGTTGAGATGATCTGCCGATCCTCAGACTGGTTAACAAGCCATCTGGCAGATTGCTGTGCCTCGTCCTCAGGTCGAACCCTGTTGCCTTCCTTGAGCATTTTTTGATTTCGTTCCTGAATGAAGTTATCGGCAATGGCATTCAGTCGACGTTTCCGCTCTGTAACCTTTCGTGGTCTGGCCGTTGTTTGAATCTCATCATCACTGTCTTCGTACTCTGCCTCTCCATTCTCTTCTTCATACTCAAGAGCAAGCTTAACAGTCGGCTTCAATGTGAGTTCTATGAGCTCTGAGAAATCAGATTGTGAATCAGAATAAGAGTTAAGGCGTCGTTTGACGTCAACATTGGCTGCTTTGGGGGCGAGTCCTTTTAATTCTGCGATAACAACTTCTGTCGTGCGAGCTGCGAGTGCAGTCACCTGAGGCGAATCTAGCACCATGGGATCTCCTGGAGAAACCATCGTTGGCGTTTGTGGCGTTTGAGACTTAGGTGTATCGAAGACTAGTCCAGATAAATCAGAGGTGTTAACCCGAATGTCAGGTAATTGCGTGTTTGTGATATTGTTAAAGACAAAAACTTGTGTGGTATTAGGTTTCGAGGCTGTGGATGGAATGAAGTTGTCAAGAACGCTACTCTGTTTTCCTGATAGAGGTTGAACCTTAGCTTCAATTGACTTCGTAGATATGTTCTCCTTCTGGTTGTTGTGGGTTACTTTGCTGGTGAATGAGTTCCGAGAGTGCAGTTGAATTACAGCAGAAGAACGAACGAGTTGGGGGTCGGGAAGAGAGGGTGTAAGTAGAAGAGACTTGCTGCTGGCAATTTCGGTCTGTGCCTTTCCTAATTGAGGCTGGAGATCAGAGTGAATCGGTCTCGACAAAGAGTTGTCCTTGCTGTCTGTTCTGATTTCCTTGCTGGTGAATTTGTTTATTGGAGGCAAGCGAGCTGCAAACGAAGGACCACCGAGGGTTGCTTTTGGTAGAAGGTCATCTATGGGAGATGATTCTGTAACAGGAGTCAATATCAAAGGGATGTCAGATGCCTCGCTTGGTTGGCCTTTACTCTCTGTGGTCAGGAGAGGAGGCTGTTTCGTGCTACCATTGAAATTGTACTCTGTATCAGCTGGGCATGGCTTCACAGCTGATAGTGGGACAATTGGAGACGGGATCGGAGTAGGACATGACAGCTCAAGCTCCAACAGCTGTGCATTGGTCAGTGCTGCATTTTTATCAGAAATCTGTAGCAAAGAAGCCTGATCCTCAAGCTGGCTGAGGTCCTGCAGGTAGCCACGGTACGGCATGGCGCAAGCAAAGAAAAAAAAAGAGAATGTGATGGAAGTAAACAACGCGGCAGAAAGAGGGGAAACACGAAAGGACGGTAAAGAGCGTATGTGCAATCCGTACGGGCAATCTATCTCACTGAGAACATCATCGAGGTATCAAGTGATTGGTTTCCATTGTCTTTTCGAAGAATTGTTTTGATTGTGATTGAGAGTTTGAAGATCGAGAATCGAGAAAGCCAAAACGCGAGGAAGTCGCGTGTGGGGTTGATCGGCACGGATTTTGGCGGCCGCCTCAATGGTGGCACTTTCAAGCTTCATTCTCACTCCCCTGATATGCAAACACCGACAGACTTGCGAATTCTTCTACATCTGATTTATAGAAGCTCCCCGGAGTGCTATGAAATTTAGGTCCGCAATTTGAGCAACATAAAGCTTAGTCAGAGCATATAGCGTTCACGAACATTGGCCACCTTTTCTCGACTGACAGCTTCCGTTCTTTTGCCCCTCCTCAAACAACAAAACAACAAGGGCAATCAAACATGCCAGAACAGAGTATCAGATCTTTGTTTGACTCGGCAGAGAGTCAGAGAAAAGGTATTGAAACTTCTTGGGACAGCAATACAGCTACATATCAGCAAAACCTTGCCGCCGCCATCTCTACGTATGAATCTTGCCTCAAGCTCGCAGATCGCCTCTCTCTGTTTAGTCCTAACGAGACTCTTGAAGACCTGACTTCTGGAGATATACAGTATGTTTCTGAACCTCTGGAAGAAGGAAAAGCTTTAGTTGACCTTATTTAGATACCTTGCCATCAATTACCGTCTCGCAGAGCTACTCCTCCGAGTTTCAACCAAGAATCGCAAAGCTACGATCCAGAGCGCACGCGATGCATACGAGAAATACTTGAATCTGCTTGACCAGTACGATATCCTGTCATCTGCAGACAAGAAGCTGTACAATGATTACCTCGAATCTCCGACAGCTTTCTCCACCATCTCTACAACTGATCCCAATGCTCGACGAGCAACGAAGATAGCAAATTTTAAGCTAGAGAAGGAGTTGAAGAAGAAACTGGAGGTATGTTGGCACACTCAGGAATATGCGAAGAGCGAATAGTGACATAATACCAGTTCCTGGCGCAAAATCCCGCGTACTTACAGAACGACGATGATGCTATTCGAGAACTGCAGCTCACCAACCTCTCTCTATGCACTCATAATACCTTCCAAGCCCTCGAATCCCTAAATCGCGAGCTTGAAGTCCTAGCAATGGCACCTCCGACACCTCCCAGTGGTCCCGACTCCCTGGAACGAGATTACAGAGAACGAATGGGTTTGCAAGATAAGGACGGCTATTCTGATCGTCTGGATCGCAGAGATATGCTGTCAGCAAATAACAAAGGTCCTATATTGAGCTCAGGTGGTAAACCACTACGGCCGTTCACGTTGCTGGATAGTAGGCAAACGTTAAAAGCGGGAGTATTCAAGCCAGGACATAATCTGCCGACGATGACAATCGACGAGTATTTGGAGGAGGAACGAGCCAGGGGAGGCATTATTGAGGGCGGTGGAGAGGCTAGCGGTCTGTCGCCAGAACCTGACGAGGACAACTACGAGAAAGGGGATGAGGAAACGATGAAGGCTAGGGAGTGGGATGAGTTCACGGAGGCAAATCCAAAGTAAGTCATTCTCTTTTTTTTGTTTTAGAAGAGCAGCCACTAATGTTGATAGGGGAGCTGGAAATACTCTGAATAGAGGATAATGCATGCATGATATCAAAACATTCGAATTGCAAGGTTGTGAAGGCGTGATATATTAAAAGATTCATTGTGCCCGCGCGGTATTCTCCTGGAGCATTTCCTATACTTCGAATCTACATCCTCACTTGAACAGTTCTTCGATATCACTAATCTCCACAACATCGACAAACTTCGGCAGCACCCTATCTAACAAGAAGTCGCTAACCTCTTTGTCATCATCCATCACACCATCTCGCGGTATCACAATATGAAAGTCCAAATCTGCCCCTAAACGAGCAGACCCCAGTACGCTACCCACAGTCGTCAAACCGCACAAGACCACACGTTTGATGTCCCTGGCCCTCAAATACTGCAGCAGCTCAGAAGACGAGAAACAACCAGCTTGGATCTTCGACAGGATGATCTCGCTCCCAGTTCCCCACCCGGATTCGGGGACCAGCGACTCTGGGACCGCATAGTGTGGTTTATTTGGATCTTTGAAGGCATCGCCGAAGTGACCAGCTTTCTTGAGGCTCGCGACCCAGGAAGCGAGCTTGTTGTATGGTGAAACGAAGGAGTTGGAATTGATGTCGAAAGGTAGGATATGGTGGACGATCAAGGGGCCTGCTGCATCGTGCTCCTGCTTCTGAATTTCTTTGCGAAAGACTGTCAGGAGACGCTGGATGTTGGCTAGGTACTCGGTTTGCTGCGACGCATCGAACCGTTGCAGGATCTGGTCTTGGACATCTGTCAGGAGCAAGGCAGTATGCTTGATGTCAACTGGGACGTAGAATTTTGAAGCCATAGTGGGAATTACTATTTGAATAGCCAGGAAAGTGATGATTGCTCATAGCAGAGCTTGTTTGGTTTTATATGGCTACAAGTCTCGTACCCACAGAACATGCTTAACTTGCCAAGCCGATACTGACTGCTTCGATGGGCTTTGTGACAAACGCTTCGAAATCTAAATGGCGTTCCTGAGCTAATCATCACAAAGCGTATTGAGGAATGCTATTAGTCGTCCTGTAGGATAAGCTTTCTCTACTGCATTAGATCTTGCCAAGCTGGATAGTTGCTGACAATGCAGAATTTTGATGCAAAATCAACGCCAATAACAAATTCGCGAATTATTGCTCCACTCCCGAATCAATACTTACTAATAATGTCTCCCATTCACACCTCCCGATGGCCACTCACTCGTCAGAGTCCTCAATCTCAATCTCAAAGTCTTGTCCACCCCACCTCGCATACCCCAACCTCTTCTTCTCGGCCTCCAGATGTTCCTCCTCCAACTTCGCTCCGACATCTCCAGCCGCCGCAGCTTTTTTGACACCACCTTCACCCCGCCTAGCAAGAATCATTCTCTCCCAACGCTCTTCCAAACTATCCTCATCAACCATGTATTTACCCCTCTCCTTATCCTCCCATGGCTTCGTGTCCCATCGATTACCCGCCAGGATGAAGTCCTTGAAAACTTCCTTCTCCTTGTCAAACATGAGTTTATTCCATCCTTGGCCCTCAGAGCTCTCAACTTCGTAACGATCAAATGGGTTGTTGGCTGCGAGACAATGAATGCTGAACTTCTTGAAGAGGCTCTCACCTCCATTTCCAACTCCGGGCTCGGGCTTCTTTTCTAAGTCGTAGACAATCTCGATGTCTTCGACGGAAGGCCAGTCGCCGGATTTGACGGGTTGGGAAGTGCGAAGTCCTTCGAGAAGGTTGTTCTGGAAGCTGGGAGAGCGAAGTGTTTGTCCGACGTACCAGAGTGCTTCGACAGAATTGTTTTCGGTAGCCATGATCAAAGGTTCAAAAGCGTCGATGATACGGCCGGCATAGATGTAGGATACGAATTGGGCGAACTGGGAGGGTTTGATGTTTGGTAAGTTGTAGGACTTCGGTTCGTCTGAGATATTGGGCCGAGATGGTCTGAGGGATGCGCCGATTGACTTATTGTCTAAGTGCATGGGATCTCCTGATAAGTCGACGAAGGACCGCGGCTCTGGAGAGGGACTACCCAATTGGCGAACTAAATCCACTGCGTTACCCTGTCTTACAGCATCTCTTGTGGTCTCTTCCTTGGCTTCTTGCTTGATTTTTGGCTTCGTCTCTTGCTTGACTTCCTCCTTCACTTCTTGCTTGATACGACCCGAAAATACATCATGGAAGTATTCAGAATAGAGAGCAAGTAGTTCGTTGTGAACGAGGAATGTTTGCTTGGTCTCGGTGCCGACATTGATAGTGACCATAGCTTGGCTACCAATAATGATACTACATTACATCAATCAATTGGCCTATGATGGAAAAGAATATGTAACTCACGAAGTTGTGATCTCAACATGCTTCTTCAAAGTAGATGCATATTCGCACTCAAGGTCATCATCATGTCCTCCTCCACATCCACAAACGTACTTTGCTTCTTCCTCGAGGTATGAGATAGCCTTCCTCTTCCTGCTACCTCTAGGGGTTGTAGTAGCTCTCGACTTCTTGTCCATGGCTGGAGTTTCAGGGCTGGGGCTCTTGTAGTAAATTGAGTGGGGATCAGCAGAACAAGTATCGAAATCTTTGTGGCCCAAAGGACAGTGGCAAGTACTTTCTTCGACTTCTGGAGACTCGATGATGGGTGGACGTCGATGAGCACGAGAGGGGTTACTACGGCGGGCTTTGTTATCTTCGGAGATTCCAAGCCGAATACGGGACATCGGTGAAAGTGGAGGGCCTGGGGTGGTTGAAGTTGACCTTCGAGAGGAGGTTGGAGTGGCTATTGGACGAGAAGTTTGGAAGGAGTCTTGAGTGGAATTTGAAAGCGAGAATCCAGGTCGTCTTGCCAATTGCATGATGGGAGCTATTGGCGAGATTGACTTTAAGTCTGAATCTGGCGTCAAAGATGAAAGTCGACCTCTGTTGAGCGATGCACTCCGGGACGAGACTGGGGAAGATGAAGAACTGCCCATAGGTGGAAGCCTTTGAGGTGACAAATAATTGATGTTGTGAGATACTGTCAACTCATGAATAGTAATGAGAGAGATCAGGCTGTATGTAAATATGAAGAAGAAGAGTGACGGTTTGCCAGGAAGGAAGAACTTGATAAGGCGAATCACAAGCGAGATGAGGGAGATGCTGATATGGCAAGGCTGGGCTCGCACTTCAATCCCCTAAAGGTCGTAGATTTCAGTAAGAATGTTTCAAGTAGCAACATCCTGTATAGCGACCATCAGGCTGCACTCAAAACTGGGTTGCTGAAATGGGACATGATAGCGAGAATCAACCAGGTCTTGATTTGATAGGGAGCAACCGCTACACAACTGCCCTTGCTTCTGAAATTTTTGCAGCTTTTCGCTTCATTTCAATAAATCTGAGGTTCCTTGGCTCGCTCTCTCAAAATATCCTACTTCGTCTTTTCACATTGTGTGTTCAACCCGTCTAACAAAAGAAGTTTACACTCACTTACAACAATTAGCCTAGGCTCTTCAAATTGAAAAGGGTTATATTAAACACCACGAATATTGCAACGATAATGATGAGCTGCTAGGATGTTTGCTGAACTGTGTTCATCATTTTATTCCTGTACTCGTAATGGTTGGACAGACGAACGAGAGTTCTGTGATCGTATGCTTCTGACTTGACACCACGATCGAGTAGAGCGGATACAGCATTGGAACGAAATCGGTCTTAAGCTACCTCTGATGCAAGTCTATCTTCGATGAGGAACTTTTCGTAGAGAATCCGTGCTAGTGAAAGGTGGAAGACTTCTAATTTTATCTTTTCTCTGGTAATAAACCTACATCTCGACATTAAAACTAATGACGGTAAGTGTACTCGGACAAAACCTACGATGTGCTTCGTCTTCTACTTGAACCGGTGAAGTGTGACATGGAGGGCAACCATGCTGAGGCCGATAGAAACATCTTTGGCATAGGCTTCATCCATTTTATTGCGACCTTTTAATGAGCAACGCTCTATAAGTATAGGCTACTGCTATTGGAGTGAGGGTTCATCTCATCTCCAACATAGACTGGCTATTCGACATCAGTCTCGGATGTGGTCAGAATCCAATGTGACAAGAAAGGATATCATCACCAACACAAGAGCTTTCTGGGATGCCCTGATCCCACGATCTCGCTTCCATTCGAGACTCCGGGGATCAGTTTCTGGGTGTGGGAAGAAAAACGCTTGAGAAGAAAAGGAGTTAGGGGTCAAGTAAATGGTCAATCACGTGCCATCCACGTCCAAGCGCTTTGACCCACTCTCGCCCAAAATAGCAACGCTAATCCGCTCCTGGGTTGGACGCTGGGTAAATCCAAGAATCCCCATCCAAAAAACTCCCGAGGAACCACGCAATCTTCATATAAAGGACTGAAGTGAAGCCTGTCATCTTCTTACGAGAGAAAACCGCAGCATTTTCCTACGAAGCACTTTGACTTCGCCCTTCCATCCTCAAGTGCTTACTCACCTCACCTGGTACTCGGTACCAATTACACTCGTTTCCAGAGAACTAAAGAACTAGCCACTTTCAACCTCCCACAACTTCTTCAGCGCGACGATCGTTCTCCAGCACGCGATCCTCAACGCCGTTCCAACCCCGCAGATTCATCAATTGATAGCAATCATATTGGATACCTATTAGGGTGCAGGCACTCGTGTTCTGGCAGAGTTCGGGATTCGACGACTACGATTTGAATGAAGTAACCACAGAGCAAGATGGCAGCAGATTTCCGGTTAGGATTATGGAGGGGTCTCCTTCTATTGTTGAGCTTCTCATATACTCAAGCATTCTACATACCGGGTACGTCCTCGATCATTCCTCACTCGAGTAATGATTGAAACACAGCTCTGACCTCTTCTCCACAGGTTGGTCGATCAAAAGCTACAAAGATAACGAACCAATACCACTCCTCGTGAACAAGGTTTATTCCGACAATACACAGTTGCAATATGCCTACTATGACCTGCCATTCGTTTGCCCTCCGACTGGTGTACATCATGCTGGCTCCTCACTCCTTAGTGGCCAGAGCATCTCCCTTAATCTGGGAGAAGTACTTCGAGGCGACAGAATAATGCAATCGGACATTGAGCTTTTCATGGGACAGGATCAAGAATGCAACTTTCTTTGCAAGCGGACGGTCAGCAGATACGATCTGAAGCGTGCAAGAGAGATGGTCCAAGATGGCTATGTGGCAGAGTGGATTGTGGATAATCTTCCCGGAGCGACGAGCTTTGTTACAGTGGATAAATCGCGGAAATACTATGCCGCAGGATTCAAGATTGGCTACAAAGACATCTCGACTTCGGGCCATACGCGACATTACATCAACAATCATCTGACTATTGTCATCCGATACCGAAAAGCTCCTGGCAAGGATGGAGAGAGGGGTAGGAAGGTGGTGGTTGGATTCGAGGTCTACACAAAGAGCATTGGTGCAGACAAACGTGCAGAGTCCGGATGCCCTGTCGATATCAACGAAGTTGACTCTGCCATGGAATTGTATCTTCCTCCAAACTCGACAGATTTTTCGGTTCAATATCCTCATTCGTCATACCACCCACCCGAGAGCGAGCAAGACATGGACGATGGCGCGATTCTCGACATTCCTTACACATATTCTGTATATTGGCGAGAAGATGAGAAGATTGAATGGGCACACCGTTGGGATCTCTACTTTGTAAACCAAGAAGAGGGGTCAAGGATTCATTGGCTCGCGATCATAAACTCCTTGATCATTTCTGGACTTTTGAGCGGTATTGTGGCCATGATCTTGGCAAGGACAATCAGGACAGACATCAAGACTTACAAGGACGCTGCACTGGAGGATGGAAAACAGAAAAGCAAACGCAAATCGAGACCAAGCAGTGGGGCGAGAACTCCGAAGACGGGAGAAAAAGCTAGCACAGGACTGCTCGAGCAAATTGGGGACACGGAGAATGATGCAGATGTCTCATCAGATGAAGAGCCTTTGGAGGACGTGACTGGATGGAAGTTGCTCCATGGAGACGTTTTCCGAGCGCCAGCTTATGGCAACCTTCTTGCCCCACTTGTTGGATCTGGGATGCAGCTCGTCTTTATGGCAGTTGGACTTTTATTCCTCAGTAGTCTTGGCATATTGAATCCCAGCTTCCGTGGCGGTTTTGTCTCTGTTGGCGTGGGACTTTTCGTCTTCGCCGGCTTGTTCTCTGGCTACTTCTCTGGACGTGTGTACAAGACTTTTGGTGGTCTGAACTGGAGGAAGAATACGCTCATTACAGCACTTCTCTTCCCTGGACTACTCTTTGCACTCGTTTTCGTCCTGAACTTGTTCGTCTGGGCACAAGCATCCTCCACCGCCTTGCCGTTCAGTACGTTGGTCGGCATCATCATGTTGTGGCTTTGCATTCAATTGCCTCTGGTGTATGCTGGCTCTTGGTTTGGCTACGTTCGGACAGGTGCATGGGAACACCCAACAAAGACTACCACCTTACCTCGCCAAGTACCAGCACAGGCTTGGTACATCAAATCTCCAAACTCGATTCTTCTGGCTGGCCTGATTCCATTTGCTGTCATCTTCATCGAACTTCTTTTTGTTTTCCAGTCCATGTGGCAAGACAAGTCTGGCTACTACTATGTCTTTGGCTTCCTCTCAGTTGTATCCGTTATCCTCATCCTCACCATCGCCGAAGTCACCATTGTCACCATATACATAAAACTCTGCTCAGAAGACTACAATTGGTGGTGGCATTCCTTCTTTGTCGGGGGAGCAAGTTCGATTTGGGTCTTTGTGTATTGTATTTGGTACTACTTCACGAAGCTACACATTCAAGGTTTCGTGAGTAGTCTGCTGTTCTTTAGTTATAGTTTCATGGCGTGTGTAGTGTATGGGCTCCTCTGTGGTACTATAGGGTTCTTGACGGCGTATGCATTTGTGAGGCGGATTTACGGGTAAGTCATCCAACATCTACTGGCTGTTCTTGTACTAACGATAAGCAGCGCTATAAAAGCTGATTAGAAGGTGCATGGATGGATATCCGGTGGCATTGTGTGATACATGCATAGGCGGAGCAACGGTGCCTTGATTTAAACAGGTTGGAAAATGTACTACGTTCATCTCCATGCATAATCTTGCCAGTGACTTCAAGTTCTTTTCACTAGACAAATACCTCACCCTCCCCTTTTGTACCTCCGTCCCAGGCTCCCTCTGCCAAAGCCGAAGAGTTGGGTGTTCAGCAACGCCTCACTCACTCCAGCCGATTGACAGCATACGTACTTCGTATTCTCGTTTGCGTTGAAGGTCTCTGATACAGTAGTCGTCCCAAGGGGGGCTGGCAAGTGCCATGATTTCGCGTTCATCATAACCTCATTAGAATCATTATCAAGTAGTCGATTTGCTGTGCGAGCTTATGTACAAATCCGAGTAATTTCTCGACAATACAACCATCCACACTCAGTATGCTGAAAAGCAACGCTACCCAATTGTGCCTTGCTAGGCCAGTGGTTACCAGATATCTTGTAAAGAGAAAGTCAAGAAGCTAAAGCTTCCGTTTTGGCTATATCACGAACGCCGCAAAATCGCACCATGCCGTACTTCAACGATTTTCTGGCTTCTGCGATGGCAATCCTCCCGGCAACGCGTGTCAAGATTCGCAGCGAGACAAAGCGAATTCTGCTCACTGTATGTTGCCATTCGCGTTGCTTGAATCTTCGATAATACCATCATGCCTATGCCCTGATATAATTTAGGATCACATTTCTCGCTCAGCTCTGTCTTTCGATGAGATTGATACGGAATTCAGATTTGCTGAATCCCAGTTGCGCAGCTCGCATCGCCATATGTCGTAAATAACAATCAAAGACCGCTTTAGGCTTGTCTCGCATGATCTTCTTCACTTCATCCCCTAAGTATGGGAGTGTGCATTCAACATGATCTTTGAGAATATTCACTCTTTTGTGCAGTTATCTGATGACGAGTTGGACATGGATTACATTGATGGAGCGTGTTGGTGGATGCCCCGGGTGGAGGCTGTGCTTGAGTCCTGCCTTCTCCACATGTTCGACAACCGTCAATCTTCTTGATCTATCGCATTCGGGACCGCAACTCCCGTTACCCACTGCCAACTGCACATGTATTTGAAGAGCTCGATTTGCTAGTGCACAATCTTAGCACATGAATGTTTGGGTTTTTCAATGTCAAGGAGTTATACAAGGCTTCCCTTAGATGTACTTTTCTCGACTAGAGTTTCATTATCGGTTAGAAAATATCAGCAAGTAGGGGCAACACTTTCAACTCCTTCCATTCATTGCTGATTTTCATGTCTGGCTATGATACAAGTTACACATACAACTAGCTTGCAATAAGGGAGATCTTACGGGGATGCAACCCAGAATTTCAAAACCGTCAGCTAGAGAAACTGCCACAGCAAGACTATTTTAATTCATGCAAGTCTGACAATTCTCTCTCTTCTTTGGTGCTGATTTTATAGGTCGTGGTGAAGCCATCAAGACTATTTCTGGACGTGCTCTTTTATCACACTGTAACCATTTTTCAACTTTTATTCGATCTATCCACAAGATTCATGAAGACATAGTCCAAAAGATGTCCGAGGCTTCGCCAAAAACATCTGTTATCGACCAGTGATCACATTTGCAATCCCTTCCAGTCTATCGTTGTATTCACACTGTTCGATTAAACGTCAACCGTCTTCACTTGCATCCTTTAACCTTCATTAATCTACCTACAAACCTTCATTCACAAGTGGACAGTGTTGCACAAACGATGAGCCGAGCCGTCCCAAAACCGCCAGAGCTTTCAATTACCTGGAGTTGCACTTCGTCATTCTTCTAGTTCATTCATGGTTGATGTAAAGTACATGACCTTTTATCGGAGTTGAACGGTGTTCCAAGCTTCATTCGATTCATCCAGGAGCCGCAGGTCAAAAACCTAGTCTCTTCCCGTTCATTGTTGAGATTCAGGACTTTCAGGTGGGGAAAAATCCTGGCTACTTTTTGTCTAGCCAGAAACATCAAAAGTCCCTTGTGCAGTTCCAAAAATCTCGACTAATGCTTTGAAGATTGTATATACTGTTTGTGTATAGTTCTCAAACTCAATTTGAAACGCCTTGAGATTTACTAGCTATTACACCAGACTTTACAAAAGTGTTAAGCTATACACCCAAGATGGACATTGGCGTTTTCTTTCTCAGCTTGAGAGTTGGAGCTATACAAGGCTTCGCTTAGATCTCCTTTTACGGCTAAGAGACCTGTTATCGACAAGACTGCTATTACCGACCCGGATGATGGACTAGCGGCCGCACCTCGTTCCTTCAGTCTATTGTTTATATTCTTTCCACCTTTTTTATATTCACGCAATTTAATCAGACGCGAGCTATCCTTCGACCTTCAATCGATCTGGCCACGCAACACTGAGCTGATTTCCCACCCACTGTTAACTATTCCGATCAACCATTGAGTTCAAGAAGCTCATAATGGCTTCCCCTGACTACACTGAGCTGTTTACGTTTCCAAATGGAGATGTGGAAATAGTTGTGAACTTCAAAGGCGAGACGATTAGAGGCAGAGTCAACTCCAACAATATGACCGCAGCCAGCAAGGTAAGTACGCTCGAATCCTGCGCAATACGAGAGTATCTGATTCATCCAGGTTTTCTCCTTGTTCATCAATCCCCCTTGGGTTATTAAGGAGCCCGAGATCGAGACCACGACCGCGAGTACCGACGGAGTTAGACCCGACCCTGCTCTCAAATGTATCGAATGCAGCGACGATGACGGCTACGCGCTCTTGGTCCTCCTGCGACTAATTCATATCCAACTCGGTGGTGTTCCGGATACCTTGCCCACGGATACACTCCTTAAAGTTGCTGCTCTCGTTGAGAAGTACGACTGCCGCAATTTAATTCATTCATGGGCTGCATTGTGGTGTGCCGAAGCTACTACCAAGGCGAAGGATGGGGATGCTGATACATGGCTCTACATCGCGTGGGCTTTTGGACGAAGAGAGCTCATGGAAGACATGGCTCGTAAGATTCTGCTAGAGGCGACGGTATCTGAGGCCGGTCAGTTAATGGTGTATGACAAGGAGAATGTGACGCAAGTCCGACAGATCCAAGAACTGCAACCATTCGGATTCGAGGGTAAGTTGACTATCTTCCCGGTTGGTCTGCAATGCTAACAAATCCACAGACAACGTCCGGGCCATCCGTCTACAAACAATACAAGATCTGTTAGATGTTGCCTACGCTCACGTGTCTCGCTTCGGTGGGCTCAAGCAAATCCCATGCGATGTCAAAGACAAGCACAGCGCTGATTGTGCATCTAATCGATACTGTGAGCAAGTCTACAAGCTCAGAAAGCTAGGCCTGTTCCCTCGTGTCACGGCCGATAGAGCCAATATTTCCATCGAAAAGCTTGCAGAGGAGGTCAAGAATATGGGCAAGAGAGATATCCCTTATAACAAGGGGCATGAGAAGTGCTTCAAGGGAACCTATGAACGGGATGTTGAGCGCATTATGAGCAACTTGGGTGATCCTGTTCTGGACAGCCACCGAACTCACACGGAGCCCAGACATCGCAAAGGTCCCGAAGATCCGTTGATGTCTTTAACTGAGAAGACCGAGAAGGAGAATGGCAAGGATTTCGAGGATGATGCGGACATGTACTTAATCGGACTGCTGCAGAGAACCAACCCGCTTACAGCCTAAGGTATAGTCGAGACTGTTCTCCTCTTGTTGGTGTACTATGAAGCATGATGACGGCCCTTTGGGCATTTTGATAGGTATGTGGACTAATTCACACCAATCAGGTTCTTCTGGCTGATATGTTACGAGCAGGCTTGACGACGACACTCAGGCGAACCTGAGATATGAAAGTGTTGCACGATTACTAGCTAGCATGCACTTGATGGCATAATGAATACCTGTTCTTGAAGCCCTCTTCGGAGATGGTAGCACGAGTGTTGTGAAGTTTACCTCGGGTAGGTCAATGCCCAGTGGTATACACCCAAGATTGTTATTGGGTCAGTTGCTTTCAAATTATGCACTGTTCATTTTGTCAACATCGGTTGTCGTGCACGTTGTTGCAATTTTAAGGCACACAGTTGTAGTGTTGGGTCAATAAATTGAAGGTTCTGTGCTACGTATCTCACGTTCCGTCATTCTGTTGCCTGTTGTTGTAAATTAAAGCGTGTGCTTGACTTCTTGGGTCATTTAAGTCCAGATCCTGTACAGCACATCATCGCACTGTCTTGTCATTATTACAATTCCGAAGCGTGCAATTGACGAGGAACAGTACCCTTCGGTGAGCTTGTACGTCATTTACATTTCGTCATCCATGCTTGGTAGTAAAACTACAACAACATAAAGTGCTTTTCCCTCAAACACTTCAAGGTGGAAATCAATTGCTGTGTCACGTGCGAGTCACTTCGAAACTCCCTAAAAGTTATTCTTGATGCTCATGCTACATTGTCGTTTCGCTCATACCTGTTTCTGAAGTTGGTATCTATCTTTTGCATGCAAACGCCGGAAAAAGCCAGACCCTTCGTTATTCGTTCCTTAGCCATGTTACACGCGGTCGCTCATTCAGTGGCATTACCCTCATCAGCATCAATGTGATCAAAATCGTCGTCATCTCCCGGACCATCGAAGAAATCATCATCCATGAAGTCCTCGACATCCTCAACCTGCTTACCCTTTCCCTTATCTTCCTTACCGCGGATTGGCAAGCTGGTGGACAGGGTTTGAGGGAAGTCCTCCTCAGACTTGACATCTCTACGATCAATATGATCTTCGGAATATCCATCCTCAACGCCAAGGCTACTATCAACGCCTGCCATCTCGGTACCATCATAGCTCAATGCATCCCAGTCCGCCAATGAAGACGCACGAGAACCCATGGTAGAGCCAGTGTGGAAAGCTGGACCAGGACCGGAAGGACCCTTCTCAGCGGCCGGAATGGCATCTTCGAAGACACCGCCAGTTCCGTCGTCAGTTCCACCAGCAAAGAGAGGCAGAAACTTGTATTCATCATCCGTCAGGCAAAGGAGCGTATCACAGGTAATAGACCACTCGTTTTCATCATTGTCAAGCATGCTTGCGCAAATCTTGACAAGATGGTCGTTGACGTTCTTCAAGAAAGTTGGAAGGCAGAAGAAGACTGAGGATTCGGTGATTCGCTCGTCAGCCGGGACTTGAGGAGTGTAGAGACATGCCGCATTGAGGGTTTCCCAGACATTCGGGGTTGGAGTAGGACGGGATTGCTCGACTGTACTGGGTTGCTTCTGAAAACCAGGTGGTTCAACGGCAGTGGACATCGGTGTAGCAGGGTACATGGGCTGATGTCCGCTTCCACGATACACCAATCCGTCATTTTCAGGCTCATCAGGATGGAGAGACCAGTCATCAAACTTCTCGGAAACAGAATCGATGGAAAGCTGAATTGGGACGTAACATTCGGGAGGGAAGTTGCCATCGTTGTAATTCTCGACCTTGATGACATCGAGGATCTGATCGTTGACAATCTTAGCGTAACGGACCAAAGTGTACGTGGTGACTTTGCGAATGCCATTCTCCTCGGCAATTCTTTGTTGCATGTCGGCGAAGGGGTGTTTATCTGGCAGCCAGTCATGAATCTGGTTGGTGGTACAGTGCAAGCCCCAGTCCAGATTGCGAATGATTTCCCAGAAGTAACGGGTCATCATGCGTTCCTTGTCTCTCAGAGAATCGTACACGGTTCCAAAGCTCATGCCGGAGCTGTGTTTGTAAGCCTCCAACTTACGATGCTCAGTAGCGCGCTTCAGTTGATGATTCTCCAATTGAGCAATGAAACACCAGAGAAGACGACCACGGACATAATGCAGAAGCTCGTTCTCCAGATTGATGATGCTTTGCTGCTTTGCGGTATAATCAGCTCCTGCAATCTTGATATTGTGGTCAAGCAGCTTCTTGAGCTTGGCAAACTCTGGCAAGTCGTGGAGCCACTTCATTTCAGGATCGTACAACTTGACAACAACAGCATCAACTCTACCAGCGAATTGTTGACCAGCGTGTTGGATGGTGTTTAGAGTATCCTCATCGATCGACTCCCGAACCCGACCAATTCGAGTCATGTGTGGTCGGTAGTTGAGGACTCGCTGCTGGATCTCACGGTCATCCTTCCAAGTTTGTTCAGTGCCAATCCTAAGAGCTTCTTCAGAAACTAGGACAGAGAAGGCAGTGCGAACAAGGCGAGGGCTTTGTAGCATCATACCAATTCGGATACAGGCTTCGGGTAGAGTTTCGATGATGCGACAGTTGGGATCGGCCCAAACCCAAGTGAAGATGAAATCCATCTGACCATCATGTTACTTAAGAACAATGGGAAGGAACAAAGATGACTTACAACAACGGAAGTGCACTCGAAGTGCTTGGCCAAGACAGCAAGGGTCCAGACTTTCGGCGCAGAATCAATACGAGGATCCTTGCCTTCAATGACCTGAAGCAAACGTTCAATTCCAGTGCGATGACGAATGGGGTCATAATCAAGAATGGGAGCCTCATCAGGTTCGGCAGCGCTCTTTTCGGAAGGACTGGTGTTGGAAGCCGCGCTATTGAGGACGAACGCAACAGCTTGAGCACGAGAAGTAGCTCCATGGCCACTGAGGTCTTGCGGTTGTGTTTGTACCGGATCTGGTCGTACAGTAGTTTCGTCTTTGCCTCCTACGAGATTGTCTGAAATATTGCATCGGGCAGCAGCATTTCGCCAGAGAAGAATACCAGTGGGGCATGATAGCTCGGAGGTCAATTCTAGAGCATCATCACCTTCCTCAGGAGGAGTCAAGTCAAGAACATACTTAATACCGATAGGCATGTTTCCAATGAGCTTGTTGCGGCGCTTGGCACGATGTTGGTACCACTCGTCCTCCAGCATATGCTTGAACTTTGAGGATCCGGTAGCGAGCAACTTCTCAGAGTGGACTCGGTGTCTATCTCTAATCTCGAAGCCAGTCGCATCATAGACCTTTGCCTCGTTGGGGTAGCGGATAATGACCAAGGTATCGCCGTGCTCTAGGAGTGCCTTGCTGTAGTTGACTGCGTTGTTGTCTCGCGCCGCCAGCTGCTCATTTTCCTTCTTGACTTGGGATGGTGGGGGACCATTGCTGAAAGCTCTCAGAGGACGATTCTCCGTGGGAGGGAGATCATCGAGAGGACGATTCTCATTGCGTCTAAGGGCTCTGTCTACGATACTGTGAGTACTTGCGAACAGCCAAGGCGATTGATACGTACCCCAGCCATTGGCGACAGGCTCAAGGTCAGCCAGAGCGTCAAGATTGTCCTCATCCATCTCCTTTCCTGATGTTAGCACGCGAGACTCGATGGTACAACTTTATGAACTTACAACTCCGTAGAATGGGCTCTTTGACGGGGAAAAAGGTCAGCAGAGCTAATCAAATCGCAATGGGAAGATACTTACATCCATGTTGATCGATCAGATCCAAGCAAACCTTGTGTTACACGAGATAACACGTCCAACTGCTTCGAGTTTCGTCAATCTTTCAAAGTTTTGGTAACACGCTTCGAAAGTGGATGGTGGGTGTTTGATGATGGAAGGTTTTTGAAAATCGCAAGAAATAAATCTTGGTGGGAGAGTCACAAGGCTGAGCTGTAAATCAGGCAACGACCCCTCTGGTCAGGACGCCGCAGCAACCTGACGCCCAAGTGACAGATTTCGAGACCGTTTAATGCACAATAGATGTCAACGTGCAGTTCAGAACAAAGAGACACGTTCACGAAGACGGTTTTGGGAAGATTCGAAGTTGATGTGAAGACAAACGGCGTGTTCAACAGTTATGTCGACGTGGGGTAAGGCTCTTGGATGCCTGCATAATTCAAGGTCATACCGGTGGCTGAGCCACAGCTTTGCATGCCGGGGCGTTTAGTGGCGGCTTTGCAGGGCTAGAATTCAATCACATGATAGATATTACATTGAGGTCTTGGGTTTGATATTGCTGCATTGACAGGTATGGAATTCGAATGTATAAATATTTTCATTGAAGAGACTATCAGACACCTCTGCTGCTGGAGGCGAAGACCTCTTCTTTAAATAGCTCTCGGCTTTAAAGGGGTATAGTGCCAGGCGAAACTGATAATCCGTTCCGTTGCCGTCGACGACCACGTGAGGACGTGACTGTAAACTACCTGCATCCTAGGTTTTTCCTCTGCCCCTCTCCAGCTGTTTTGAATGCTAGTCAATTGCTTCAGTGATCTTGCGGGTTTGCCAATGGTGAACGTCTGCAAAGAGAGTCTTCTTCAATTCGATCAAGCAGTCTCAACTCCGCCAATGATTTCGAGAAGGATGACTACTTCTGACATCACTCCTCTTCTCTCATCGAAATTCCCTCGCAATATTGCCCGTCCTAGCCTTAGTTCCGAATTCTAAGCGCAATGTCCCAATGCAAAGAGGCGTCTCATCATCGATCCTACTTCTATGTTGGCGGAGAGTACGTGAAGGCGGGCGGTGGCCATGTCATGGAGAATCAGATGTACGTTGAAAGACTTCTACCTGCGGATGTCACAAAACCATATCCCATTGTTTTCATTCATGGAGGTGCGCAAACAGGAACAGTAATATTCTCCCCTTGCAAGCAACCTCCAATTTCTGACTAGTTATAGAATTGGTTGAACAAACCAGACGGCGGGAGAGGCTGGGCTTCTTGGTTCCTTGAACAAGGATATGAAGTCTACATTGTGGACCAAGTACATACAGGTCGTTCAGCATGGTCACCCCAGAGCTCGTTCCCGCAAATAATGGCCCCAGTGGAGTACATCCAAGAGCATTTTACAGCTACAAAGAATTATCCTCTTTGGCCGCAGGCACACGGTCATACACAATGGCCAGGGGTAAGCCTAAGTTTGATATCCAGAAGAGATCAGAGTTGATCAGAGCAGACAGGAATGATGGGAGACCCGATTTTTGATGCCTTCTATGCTTCCCAGGCTCAATTTCTGGCGGATCCAGTTGAACAAGAACGAACAATGCGTCTGACTGGCATATCTTTGCTTGACAAGATTGGCGAATGTGTCTTGATCACGCATTCAAGAGGCGGATTACATGGCTGGGCATGGGCGGATGCACGACCAGCTCTTGTCAAGGTATTGATACAAGTCGAGCCTCGGGGTCCTCCTTTTCACGAAGCTATATTTTCTACCCGTTTTGTCCGACCGTGGGGATTGACTTCCATTCCTCTGACCTATGATCCATCACCGAAAGATGAGAAAGCTCCGTTGAGGACTAAGCTGCTGCCGGCGAGTTCAGAACAAGAAGTTGATTGTTATTTGCAAGACGAGCCTGCAAGGCAATTGGTAAATCTGAAGGAGATGCCCATCTTGGTTGTCACTGGAGCAGCAAGCTATCATGCTACGTACGATCATAGTATTATAGCTTTCCTCAGGCAGGCTTATTGTGAGAAGGTGGACCATATGAAATTGGGTGATATTGGTATACATGGGAATGGACACATGCTTTTTCTGGAGAAGAACAGCGACGATATCGCAGAAGCTCTAGAGAAGTGGATTGACAAAACTCTGAGTTATTGATGTATTTAGAATATCGAGTACTAGGTAAATATGACAGCAATATAACGTGAGCTTCGGTCAGCAGTGGATTCCTTATAGAATCTACCTCGATTTCTGCAACTTTCCAACATACAAATCATTGTCCATTGAATCTTTTCGTACATTCCGTCAATAATAAACTTCTCTTGCGAAACAAAAAGAAAGGAGGGAAAGGGGTCGGACGGACATTCAGGGGTTACCTTCTCCTCCCACAGCACTCGCTTCTGCTGTGGATGCTGGCCCCAGCGTGATCGGCGCACATCAAAAGCTTCAACACCTTCATCCCATCTCTGAAACCCCTCACAACAACAATGCCCCTCCCCACTCCCCGCAGAGCAGCATTGCTGCTTTGCCTCGCAGCAGTATGCGTCTATGCCGACAAGCACTCCTCCTCCATAGCCTCCATGAGCATGCCCGAGATCGAAGACCAGCTCCAAGTACGTGTCCTGCCTCCGATCGCGTGCCCACTTCTGTCCACATGCTGATTATAATCTACTTCAAGGAATGTCCTCTCGTGCAAGACCTCAATGCGTATAAAGTCGCGACCTCGCCCCAGACATCGAGTTTTACGTCTAGACTTTTCAATGTCCTATTCCCTGGCTCGCCGGCTGTCAATGCCCTCCTTGCTACGCTCTACATATCTGGGCCTCCGAATTTCCTCCTCGCGTTATGTCCGCCGAATATAGACCCCTCGTCGCTATCTGTTATGGTCGCGTTCGCCGTTGGTGGTTTGCTCGGTGATACGCTGTTCCATCTACTTCCTGAAATCTTTCTGGGAGAGGATAGTCCCGAGCATGTCAGATTCGTGATGGTGGAGCCCAACAGGAATCTGCTGCTGGGAGTCGCGATCATGGTCGGCTTTGTGACGTTCGTTGCTATGGATAAGGGGCTGAGGATTGCTACAGGAGGAGAAGGTAGCCATGATCATTCGCATGGGACGGTGGAGGTCGTGAAGCCAGTTGGGAATACCAGTGCATTGGATGCATCGCCTGCGAAGAGCACGAGGTCGAGGAAGAAGGAGACAAATGGGAATGCAAAGTTAGAGGCCGTGAAGGAGGAAAAGGAAAAGGAGATCAATGCCAGTGTCAAGCTGGCGGGGTATCTTAATCTGATGTGAGTGTTCTTAATAGGCTGTAAGGTATATGGACTAAGGATTCAAGTGCCGACTTCACGCATAATATCACAGATGGATTGGCTATGTCTGCCTCGTTCTATACCTCTCCAACGATTGGAGCGACTACGACTGTTGCAGTATTCTTCCACGAAATTCCACACGAAGTGGGAGACTTTGCTCTCCTGATCCAATCTGGCTTCTCGAAACGTGCTGCGATGGGAGCTCAATTCGTCACTGCTTTGGGTGCATTACTTGGCACGTTGATCGGTATTGCGGTGCAGGAATATGGCGGAAGTAGCAAGACGGGAGATGCGAGCAGATTCGATGGTCTTATGGGAACAAGTCTGTCGTGGGGTGACATGCTGCTACCTTTCACGGCAGGGACATTCCTGTACGTGGGTACTGTGGCAGTGATTCCAGAGCTGCTTGAGACCGGGAAGGATAGAGGATTAGAGTTGAGAAAGACCGCACAGCAGTTTATTGCTATGGCAGCTGGTGCTGGAATTATGCTTTAGTAAGTCCTAAGTTTGTTTGGTGCTTCTATGCTAACAGCACGTAGCATCTCTTGGTCATAGACAATAGACATAGAACTACACAGATATATTGGCCCGGAATAGTGTATAATACTTCAAGGATGGTAGGGGATCTGGAATTACACGAAAGCACATTTGGGTACGATGTGCGTGGCATAGCATGAATAAGATCAAAAGCTTCATACCCACTACACAGTTCATTCTGCTTGTAACTTCATGACAATTTCGTTTTTATCTCTACCTAGAATATAGATTTCTGACAGTGTCTAGGCTACGAGAGACATGATCGAGACAACTTCGCATCTTCCTTCTTGCATGATAAATTCAGCTTGCTTCCCATCTAAGCACCTTTAGCTCTATCGGTAACCTGCCTGACTATCTATACCTACAACACAACTTCTTGGATCTAGAAAACATCGAATAGTCTGATTCAAGTTGAGGTTAGCCAGACGTTATACTTACGTGGACGTTGCGGCGAAGTTATTCCTCAAAAATGATTTTCAAATATGAGTTTGTGATCGTGAATCGAAATCTTTATCTTGGTACACTCTTTTCGTACATTTTGAGGAGGAAAGTTATCAACAGCAACTGGGACATTGCATGCGTGTGTTGGGAGGAGGGACTTTACGTTTCGACTTCGAAATTTGCCCAACAAGACCATGCTTTCTGGGATAAATCTCAGCTTTACATCGCTCTAGCAGTCGTGGGACATTGCGATGCGTCAGCTGCTTGAAGTCGAAATGAAGAACGGTTGTGGGGTTTGATGGAAATCGAAAGAAGGACAGGAGCGAACGGTATGTCACATAGTATTACCCGCCATTGAAGTCACATACTGATTTGGAGATTATCACGATGATCAAGTACGTTGGAATTGAGTGTGTGAGTTGTGTTCATTGCAACAACTACACTTCCTCCACCAATCTCGAAATCCAAAAACTTTCTCCTGTGTCCTCATATCCAACTCTCAACCTCTTCCCGCCTCCGTTCGATATATATGCTCATGCATGGAGAACAGTCCCGAAAGACAGTTCCTTCTTCGCTCATTTGCTCTCTCCTGTCGTTGTTCGTGGATGTTCTTCTGCTGCCGATTTTTCGTCTGCTCAGTTTCCTCTTCCTAAGCGCGTGCCCGTTTGAGGTGCCGTTCCTTTATCATCTTCTTCTTCCTCCGTTCTCTCTGCCATCTTGGAAGTTGCTTTGGTTTTTTCCTAGGAGCATGCCTGGGGGCGCCTCCATGAAATTCACTTCCTCACTTTCCTCAGCTTCAATATGCTCATCTCGCGCCTGCGCTTCTATCGTCGCGGCCGCTTCTGTTGGAGCCACTTCCCTCAAGTGCCTCACCTTCACTATACTCATCTTCGCACTCCCCGGCTTCTGTCGTCGCCGCTTCTGTCTCGAGCTGTATCCTCAGTTCCTGCAACTCGGATAGACAGTCTTTTATGGTTATTCGTTCGGCCGGGTCTTCCTTCAACATGCTTCTGATGAGATACTTGGCTCGAGTGGGCGCGGGGCTTCTCCAGAGTCCGTTTAACTCAACGCGTCTGTCCACTTCGTCTATACATCTGTCCTTGAGTCGCTGCGTTTCTTCTTCGATCGACTTCTCACCGCGTCGGGCATTTCCCATGGCATCACGCATATGTATGCGATGGAGCCTTTCCCATTCATACTTGAAAGCAGAAGCCTCGAATATGATAGCGCCCAATGAGAAGACGTCGCAGGGTGGTCCCCTGATGGGTCTCGGAGGTTTACTTTTGGCTTCTGGTGCCATATCTGAATATATTAGTCTTAAGTCTCCAGTTTGCGCATCACTCAGAAGTCACTTACAGGAAGGAGTTCCGGGACTAAACAGTGAGTTAGCAGGGAAGAGTATAGCTTCAAGTGCTTGGGACTTACCAGCTTCTTATAAGATCTCCATCGCCGTCCAGAGCTTTTTGCTATTTCCGAAATCGGTGATCTTAAACGTTGCTCCGCCGTCGAAGACCAGGATGTTGTCAGGCTTCAGATCACAGTGGATGAGCTTCTTGGAGTGCTATCGACTGATTAGCATCTGTTAATTGCAAACAGTTTCGATAAGACTTACCAGATAAGCAACACCCTCTAGGAGCTGCCTCGTCATTTCGAGGACTTGCTCTTCGGATGGAGCCAGGCACTTTGCCATGTGCTCCGCGAGGTTTCCATCGGCCAATTCGAAGGCCATGAAAATGTACTTTTTGGCAGAGATGCAGTTCTGCAAAGTCATTACATTGGGATGACGGAAGGCATCAAGTTCCTCTACTTCTTGGAGCTCGCCTGCATATCTGCGGTCTCTCTGCGTCGGATTGACGGTGCGCCGGAATCTTGAGGCTTTGACCGCACACTTCTTACCAGTGTATCGATCAGTTGCCAAGACGCAGGTCGAGAATGCGCCTTGACCGAGCTCCTTTCCAAGGACATACTGCTGGCGGACTGCCCCTGGAACGTACCCGAACATAGGCTCTTCGGCCATGTTGCCGTACGGTTCGAAGTCCTTCCACTTCTTCCCTCCATTGGCAATTACCGCGCGACAGATTGCGTGGAAAGGTGCATGAGCCCACCTTTCCCTCCAAATTTCCATGGGGGACTGTGTACTTGCATCCTCAGTCATCCATCGAATTTGGTGGCTTGGGACTGTTTCCCCGTTGTCGTCAGCAGCATCCATCTTGGCGCCGAGTCCCCTTAGGGCAGTGACCATTTCTGTATGACCGTTGCTTGCTGCAATGATGACTGGGGTGGCTCCGTCGTAGCTTTTGCTCTCGATATTGGCGCCGGACAGGACGAGTCTTTTGGCAATGCCAATATGGCCATTGGCTGCAGCTAGAGCCAATGGTGTGTCTTCAGCAGAATCTCGCGAATCGACAGTGGCTCCCGAGTCAAGGAGAAGATAAACGGTGCTGAGATGTCCGTTCAAGGCGGCTGCAGCCAGTGGAGTCCGTTCATCGGAGCCAGCTTCTTCTAGAGTGCTGTTGTCATTCCCATGTAAGATGTAGTTCAAGACAAAGTCGAGTCCTTCCGATGCAGCGAAGGCTGTCGGTGAGACGATCTCTGGGAAACGTTGACTCCAGCCAGATCGTCGGTTTCGATCTATTGTCCCCTGCTGGACTTGCAAGAGACGTGGGAGAAAGTCCTTGCCCTGGAGGGTCCTGCACAACCATCTCATATCGCACTCCACAAGTATAGCTTCGGCGGCTTTTTTTAAGTGCCGGCTGAAGTCGTCGGCTGCGCTTTGTAAACCTGGAAACTTGTCCAGGAGTCGCAACAAACTTGCATCGTCTGTGCAAGGAGGATCGTTGGCAAAGGCGTTGATGAGGTACTTTGCATCAGCTTCGGCTTGAGCTGCATGCAAACGTTGACTCTCTTGCATTTGCATCTCTGGAGGAATACATTGCGTCCATTTCTCATCCTTCAGGAGCCATTCTTTGATTTCTGGCTCAACGAAGAATTTTCCACAGGGGTCATCTCCGAGACAGAAAGTGACAAAGCTGCCACATACTGCATTAAGTTTCTGCAATTGTTCGCGCTCGGTGTCTCTGTGGTCGAGAATTTCACTTTTCAAACCAGCCGAAATGGCATGTGCTAGTAACGCAATGTCGTTGGATTGGCTGAAAAGGGCCAAGAAGAGTACTCGTCGAGCAATGTTGGATCTGTCGAGGTGTCCGTTGACGATTTCAAAAACGGACTCGAGGATTTGCTCAGTCTTTCTGGCGTTGCAGTAGAGCTTAAGCCAAGATTCTGTGATGTTCTTTTCGGTGAAAGTACTATTGGCGTACTCGAACAGAGTGAGTCGAAGTTGGGCGAGCGCGAGGCTGAAAATGTAAGCGAGATTCGAGGTAGAGGGTTCCATTACTTACGAGCCATCACACTCTGGTGCGAGTCTACTTGCGATCGCAGTAGGAGTTCGGGAGTCCCTCTCGAAGGAGAAAGCTTTGCTGAGTCTGATTCCATAGGTGAGGAATTCTTCGATGTCCTCATAAGCTCCGTCTTGGCAGGAGTGAGAATCCATTTTGACTGTTGCTGATTTTGAGCGAGTTTTGTCGAAGAGTGCTAAGATGAATGTACTGAGTTTTCAAAGTTTGATGCAAGATCCGAGAAGTCTAGGTTAGCAGTTGTCAATTGAGTTTTGTCGAGATTTGCTGGACTGAATGTAAAGAGTTATAAGGTACAAGAGTTAGGAGGGTTTCAGAGTATCGAAGGATATGAAAGTCTTGATCAAAGATCTGAAAAGCCTGGGTAGTGATATGTTCGTCGGTGTTGTGATGGTTGTCGATTGCCTGTTGAGAAGTATCGATACAGATTCAAAACCGTGGGTGTGCGAGCACGAGAACAAGTACACAATGCCGCGGTCCAGATCAAAATATCACCAAGTGCCATCGTGAGTCGAATGTCCCCAAGAGTTTGGGACCCGGTGGTGATGGCTCCCGCAGTTTGACCATATCTGGCATGAGCATCTCCATCTTTGCGGGAGCACGAACTCGAGATGTTCAAGCTTGAGGTTTGGTGCCATATGGTGGATTGTTAATTGAACTGAGAAATCATATGAGGAAGGTGTACCTGCGAGCTATGGTACGTCGCTTCCTGACTTGATACTACCGTGGAACATTGTTTTCTCACCGCACACAACAGTTTTTCAAATAGCAAAGAGAATATACGGAATGTGAAAATCACGTCTTCATTTATATATGAACTACGCTCTACAATGTTACAGCTGCAATGGGATATAAAAAGAAAGGGGAGGAATGACAAGAAAGCTCTACAATGCGTACCCGCGGCGGTTCACGGGTCGCTAAACTCTAAATATTCGTGGAACTATCCTCCAAAGATGCCTCAGAATCGCGGGCTGAAAATAGGGGATACGATGAAGGAATGAAGGATTCATGATGGCGTCGTCGGAAAGTGATGTGCTCACCACTCGCTTCTAGCTATATTAGAATTAGATAGAACATTCTATCTGTCTTCCATAAGAACGTATAGCAGCGGCACACAACGAAGACGAAATTTGATGGTAAGAAGCAAGAGGATGCTCATATTATCTAAGCAATGCATTTTCAAAAGCAGATCGAATGATCCCAGAGAATTTCGTTTGTGAAGTGGTCAAACTTTCCGTCTTCCACCTGAAGTGGACGTTGCATTAAACATATTTTGAAGCGCCTAGAACAGTAGAATCCCAAAGACAATTCCTTGTCGTAACAGAATGCGGCTTCGAATGAGCCCGATGCCGAAGGAGGCTCGCATGATTTTGTATAGGTGCAGGAAAGAATTGACTTATGCCTCAAGGTATCTGGCTTGGAAATTGTCAATGGAAAGTATAGGACATCAGAATAGAAAAGAGACCATAGAGCGCAGTTGAAGAGAAGAAGCGGCTGTGAAAGTACCGTACAAAAGAAAGTATACAGTAGATGTACGAGGCTTTCGAGGGATGTCGTTGCTCCTTGTCCCATCTGACATCAAGGAAGGTCTTCTTGAAAGAAATCAGGCAGAGTAGACAACCAAATATATCTGGACATCACTCCCAAGCGAGCAGAAGGTCAGATATTCGTTCATGAATTATATAAACATACAAACCTCCTACCTAAGGACTCAACCTCTCAATCTTCCACTCCCCACCCTCCATCCTCACATACTGAAACCGATCATGCAACCTACTCTCCCTCCCCTGCCAAAACTCCACCATCTCCGGCATAACCCTCAACCCGCCCCAAAACCCCGGAACAGGAATCCTCTCCTCCCCCTCAAACCTCCCCTCAACCTCCCTCACCCACCCCTCCAACTGCCCCCTCCCCTCCCCCAAAACCTCACTCTGCCGACTCGCCCACGCTCCCACCCTACTCCCCCTAATCCTCGTATCGAAATAAACCTGGCTCTCCTCACTACTCAACCGCTCCACCATCCCCTCAACCCGAACCTGCCGCTCCATCTCCCGCCACCAGAACGTCAGACTCGCCCACTTGTTCCCCGCGATGTCCCGCGCCTTCTTACTCGTCCCGAAATTCGAATAGATGACAAATCCCTTCGAATCCAACTCTTTCAGATACACCATCCGCGCGCTCACTCGACCAGAAGGTAACGAGGCCGTCGACAAGCAAACAGTTTCCGGTTGATGCACGCCCGATTGCTGCGCGAGCGTGAACCAGGCGTGGAATTGCGTGAAGGGGTCGCGGGGATCGAGCTGCGAGATCTCGAGCGCGCCTTTGGTGTATTGGTCGGCTTGGGAGTGTGTTTTGTCGTTGGCGGGCGCGACTATAGTTTGTCATGTTAGCATGGTGGGGGTGGAGGGGTAGGAGGTAGGTACGGACATATTAATTTGGAGGTGTTTTGGGGTGGGTGGAGGGCCATTTTTAGGAGGCTGGGGCGGAGGAGGAGGGTGCGTGTTATACGCATGTATTGAGAGCTTGGGAAGTGTAATTGAAGATTTTTGGGAGCTGTTGTAGGGGTTGGAGAAAGTCAAGAGTCATCCGACGATTTGGTAGTGATCGGATAATCAGTTGTTCCGAAGTCGTGCATGGTCGGAAGACTTTCAATTGACCAATAGAATCGTGTTGATATTTCATTCATTCATTTCTCGTTTCTCGTATCTCGTTGTTCATCAATTTTATACTACTACATCTCTCATTCTCCATTTCAAATTGAAAATCGACTGCGATTTCATCAATCCGCGCCTTCCAAGCCGTTCTCGAAGTCCATTCCCGCTCCTCTCCTGAACAACTCTCTCTTGAACCTCAACCCTTGGACTCGATGCAGGAGCAGCACTGGCAGTATCAACCCTCAGCGCCGGCACAGGCGCGGGTCTGACACGCTCCGCAGGACGAGAAGGTCCGAATCCACCTCTCCATGGATCATGTTGCCAACCTCTACTAGTTGCCGCTCTCCTCCTTTCTTCGGCCTGTACCCATGCAAGTGCCATCATGGCATCGTATCCCAGTCGCTGAAGATCAGTCTCTCGTGCTTGTGTGACATATGCTTCGATGGGTGACTGTTGGATCTGTGCCAAGGGTGATGGTCGAGGTGGAGGTGGTGGGACCTCACGCTCGAATAAGGTTGAGGTGGTGCTGAAGCGATTGGAGACACGGTTGGGGTTGGCGGATAATGTAGCTGTAAGATGTGTGATGGTAGGATTTTCTAGGGCTGGTTGCACGGGTAATGGTTGGAGGAACTGTGTTGGTATTGGGGGTGGTGAAGCGGCTGAGGTGTATGGACGTGGAGAAGTTGGGGATGGAGGGTTGTTTTGTGACGACGCAGTACTTGTTGTCGTTGCTTCGGCTGCTGTTGAAGGACGAATAGTAGCACTGGACTTTCGTCTGAATAGTCGACGTGGAGGACTGGGGGGAGTCTCTTGTGAGGAAGTAGAGTCGGTAGACGATCGGATGTTGGCGCTTGACTTGCGCCTGAAGAGTCGATGCGGAATACTAGGAATGGTCTCTTGCGATGACGACGAAGGACTGGGGGAAGGAGGAGAAGATGAGGTTGATTCTGTAGATGAAGGACGAATGGTTGCACTTGACTTCCTTCTGAAGAGCTGCATCATGAAATGTATTTGAGTTGCAACGAGAAAATGGTTTTAACTGCGGCAATAGACAGTATTCAGATCACAAGATCAGAACTTGATATGAGAATAAGGTTGCAGAGGAAAGCAGACAAGAAAGGGAGACGAACAGCTTTATCTCAGATACTGCACTGCGATTACACCCTCACCGTTCTTCCCAACTCGCCCGCACATGCCAGACCTGCCTTGCAGGTGTTCATCCGCACGGCCTCGTTTTGCACGAAGCGGGATGGGAAACGCCCTAAGCACGGGTAACAAGCTGTCAAAATTTCACAATGGTCAATCAGCATGTTCATCCCCAACTTTTCTTGGAAGTTCTCCGAGCTTGATAACGACAAAGAGCTAACAGAACCAGGGTTCGGCTACTGGAGCGGTCCGAGAGAACCGTGCAGTGCAGGGCCTCGGACCGGAGAAACAAAGCTTCCCCTGTCAATGAGAACACGAGGGCTGGAAAGTGGAGGCTGTGATGGAAATTCAAGTAAAAGAGGAATTTTGATTTGTTCCCGGCAAAGGCCCGAGCTGATTGCGCTTTGATGGTTCGTGAGTAAGAGCAACAGTTTATACTGCGGGGGACGGAGGAAGAGCTGCGATAAGGGCGGGGAAAATCAGGGGTTTCTTGAGTTTCGAAACAATGTAACTGCATTAGTGTTGAAACATTTGTAAAGAGCTGCTCTGATTCGTGGTAAATGTCTAAGTGGAGTTAGAGGCGTAAATGAAGTACAGCCAACTTAGAAGAATGTTTGCAGTCGGTGAGGTAAAGGGTCTCTCGCTCGCTTGTGGAAAAGATGTGTCCAGCTGTGCAAGCGAGGGAGGAGTTGACATGAAGGCTCAGACCCTCATGCATGATCCAAGATGGGACTGAAAATGCGCAACAGCAAATTCGTGAACTCTAGGACCTAGACCATGTTTATGTCAGCAGAAGCCATTTCCATCCATGCCAAAATCACTGTTGCAATAGGGGCTGGTAGTTCTAATGCTCGTTTGTAGACACACTGCCGCTCAAGATCTTCCCATATGCAAGTTCAAAGTGCCTTCCCTGGCTACAGTCCCCGCCCAGCATTCCCCCCATACGCCATTGTATGCATGCGTGAGTATCATGAGCTATCAATCAAGACTTGGAGCCAATGTGATCAAGCTGAATCTGAGTTCGCCACCACCGGCCTCCTCTTCTCGTTTCAGGAATCTGCGGACACCCAGATCAAGAGCCTTCTCACTCAAGACATCTTCATCTGCCGCAAGAGTACCTCTCTCTAGTGGGCCTTTTCTTCGGCCGTCCATTTCCCACAGGTTATTTTTCTCGTCCTTAACAAAGCAAACGAAATGCAGGTCGATGTCGTCTTCGGCACCTGGCACATTGCTTTGCCCTTGGGTCGCAGCACCTTGGTGCGCTTTCTCTAAGGCTTGGGACTCGTATAGTAGGTCTGCTCGTTCGACTGGGCCGAGTGGTGTGGCATCCTTCACCAGCTTCTCAAGATCAGAATTGGATGCTAGGTGTTGTCAGCTTGGTGAGTTCTCCTAGCAGAACTTCTTAACGTACTGATATAGCCCCTCGAGCTTCCGTTGCTGACAGCATGTAATATTCCAATCAAACCACATGCATTTCGGATAGTCTGTTTGTACCAGATGATGGGCTCGCTCGCACCCTTGCCCTCATACTCCTTCTTCTCTTTGTCCTCCTCCACTCTGAAGGTCTCGTATGATTTGCTGACTGGAAATACGAGCAAGAGTGCTGTGGCAGGTCGGGGCACGAAGGCAAGAAGTTCGGGGTCGTCGATACTGAAGACGTCGTGGAAAGAGAGGTTGGGTGAAAGTCCAAGCTTGTGAACCAGGGAGGACATGACCTCTGGGTTGTTTTCTATGGAACTGAGTTAGATTCGACATGGAAGAGAGCTATTCAAGCATACCCAGAGGCACGAACGCCTTGCGAGTTTTGGGAACATCGGGGTCATCCTGAGTGATGGGAGCTTGTTCGGACAGCTGAGCCTCTGGGAGCTTCGTCATTTTGGGCAGCCTTTGAAGTACGGCGGCTGAATTGGCATACGATAAACGACCAGAGGTGAAGAGAAAAGACGATGAGCTCTCTGAAGGGTTCGAATCTATTTCGGATTTATTGTAAGCAAGTCTAGGCTGCTGAAGGCGCGTAATCCGCAAGTGCAAGGCTGGCGAAGAAAAGAGAAGCCTCCAGCTACTGGTAACCTTAGCTACCCCACACTCCACCAGCAAGTCCAGCACAGCCACCCAGCGGAATTACTCCGACGCCGACGCGATGCTACAATAATTTTAACTTCTACAACTTCCTTCCTTCTCTTGGCTTTCTTTCTTTCTTTCGTCTTTCACATTTTCTCATCCCATCCTCCTCCTCCCCTTCTTTTTCTCTTCGTCAATGTTGCATTCCTTCGCGAAACACTCAATCAAAAGTTTGCTCCCTTGTTGATCTTCCCGCACTGTACTCAGTCCTGTCCTGCCTCGTGTTCAGCAGCCAACCACTAAGGTTATCAATCTTCGAGTAACGAACGTATCAGCCCGTGTTGTCGACTGCATACATTTCATTCATCATTCTCCTTCTGTCTGCTTCCCTATCTCCGAGCCTCAATATCATCTGCCTTGGTCGCGAAACTATTATTGTCCTACTATATGCTATGGGTCATCTGGCCAACGCCTTTGTCATTTCTACTCGAAACTTAGACAGGTACGGGTCAGGCGAGAAGTACCGCCAAGGCGGCTCCCTTCAACCATTATATTTTCCTATCTATGCTTCTTACTTTGCTCGACTGTACATACAATACGGAGCTATACCAACTGCAATATTCCTGCACGTCTCGTCAAGTCACGGATTTCCGGACGGGATGCCGGTCGCACTCTTCGTGCCATTTTTATTTTTGGGAGCATATAAAGTTGGTGGCTTGCTGTTTAAGGATTTCTATATTGTTGCGATAATTGAGGATTTCTCGCATCTAGGCTATATGTGGATATCTGATGCGTCGGACATTTTCGTGCATACCGTCCCAACGCTGGGTGCGTCCGATCCCGTCTCATGCAGGTGCAACTCGTCGAGCTCAAAATTTGAGTCTCGAACAATGAGGTGCAGAACGAGTACGCAATATGGCCGACGGACATTCCCACCAACTGCATTTCCATATTCAATATTTCCCAATCTGGCTTGAATAGGCTAGCAATGTATCTCTGTTACCCCGTACATAAGTCTCTCGGCCTGGCTAAATGCCTCTATCAGGTCATGGTAAATTTACATAGAGGTGTAAATTACACAATCATCGACCAGTCTGGTGGCGTACCAAACAAAAGACACGTTCGGCGAGCAGCGGGAATTCTGATCCCACAGCGTCATGTCAACAATTACAATCCGTACCTGCTGCCCTTTACCGACTTACCCAGAGTTTGGTCCTGCACCCAAGTGGTCCAGAATAAGCTGGGATTTTCATATGCATGCCAGAGATTGTTGAGATGGGATGAAATGGAATTGATGAGATGGACACTGATTGTATTGATTATGATATATAAAGACGTGGCATCCCTCCTCTTCTGATCCACCCTTATCCTAACTCCAAGCATCACACAATACTCTGTGTTCTTCGCAAGCACCGCCGACATGTTTTTCTCCAAGCTTGCTATTGCCGCTGTTCTGGCTCTGACGAACTCGGTTGCCGCAGTAAGCACTGACACCATAGTATTGCTTTGACAAGCCTAATACAGTCAACTTTAGCAAGTCATTGTTACTGTTACAAATACAATCACAGTCGTGACGGTGACGGTAACCCCACTATCAACTTCTACGAAAACCACTTTTGTTACTGTTTCTGCACCTCCTCCAAGTACGTCCTGTTCCAATGTTGATGATTGCGATGACCAACCCACAGCAGCGCAACAACCAACAATAACATCAACATCGGTGGTGGTCGTCACAGTGGGTCCACCAGCCACGACCGCAGTTACTACCTGCCCTATTCCACTGTATTATCAGTGTGGAGGTCAAGGATGGAATGGATGTACATATTGCACTGCCGGAGCGAGCTGCGTTTCTTCGAATCGTAAGTGCCGATACCTATTCTTCCGAGAATTGATGCTGACAGCAGCAGCGTACTACTTCCAGTGCCAAAACAGCTCAGGGCCCAAAGTGGTCACTATCACATCTACGATATATCGGGGCTGAAGTTAAAATTAATAACAATGTCGGCGGCCTGTCTTGCATATTTCAATTCCGAAGGCCTGCTGAGGTATTGGATCCGATACTTTTGGGGAGCGCGATGGCTTGGGGGATGAAAAGGCTCAGGAGTAATTTGACCTTGGGACCACAGCACATTTATATTTTGTCTCTTCGCATAGATGGAATACGAGGTTAATTTTTCTACTGAACTCAAATATCGCAGTATGAAACAAGCATGGTTTCGGCCAAGTCGGTCTGAAAATTCGTTCCTGCATCCGATTCCGAATTTGCGTTTCCTGGGTTCGTTGGTCTTGGAAGTGCCCACCATTTAACCAGGAAAGCCCCGCTTTACCCCATGCACTCACATTCAATCCCCAGCAGTTCTAGTGAAGCGACTCGCTTGCTTAGCTTTGGCTTCTGTGTCATCACAACTCTATCCGATGAAACTGGTGTCATGATGGAGCATTAAACTTCTCGCGGGCGTTCGTTTTCAATTAGACTTTCCCCAGACATGAAGATGGGACGACTAAGATCTTGGTATCGGAAAGGAGGCGCTTTCCGTCGTCCGAGAGCTCGGTACTTATATATGATGGTTGTTCTTAGCTGCGCTGGTTCTGCAGACATCATTCATTCATTTCACGCTCATTTATCTCATTATTTAATGATCGACATTCATTTACAATGGGTTTGAAATTCGCTTTTACTTCTCTGGCAATGGCTACAGTTGCCATGGCTCAAAATTGTCCTTTGCAGTTCGATGGACGAGTCCCTGCTGGCAGTACGCCCGCTTCTTTTGACTTGGATACCAGTCCCTTTGGCACGAAATTTGTTTTTGGGCAGAGTGAGTCAACTATTTATGAGATTAGTACTCCTGCTCACAATTCCAGATCTCACAATGAGCCAAGTCGTCCAACTCCCAAACATCACCGGATCATTGGTACATCTCCACTTCGAATCTATCATCCAAATCTAACATCACAGTTCGACACAAACACCATCCCCGTCGAAGTAACCCTCTCAGACGCCTCCATCTTCGCCCCCTCCGCCACAAACATCCAAACCGGATTCCGCCGCGCCGAACTGCAGCCCGCCTCAAACAACGGCACTGATCCATCCACGCTCGGTCTCAAAACCCTCCACTTCTCCCTCCGCAAAGACACCGCGCGCCCCTTCAACCTCAGCCACGAGTACCAGCTCGTCTTTCTCGAAGATGCGGCCTTCAGCACTAATCAGTTCGTCCTGAAGACTGGCACGATTTCGGGCCAACCGGTGGGCCAAAATCCGGATCTTTTGGTGTTGCAGGGGAATGTTAATCAGGATCCGGTGGATAATCTTTTTAATGTCAGTTTTGCGCAGGATACGTGGCATAATTTTGGGGTGGTGTTGGATTTTGATAAAAAGTATTTCCCCTATTTTCTTTTTCTTGTCACTTCTATCGTGCTAACTGCAATCGATCCAGTACGACACAAGTCCTTTACTCCACGGATAATACCCCACTCGCGAATGTCACAGAACCAGTCTTCAATGATATCAGTGGACAGGGACAATTCCATTTCGGGGCCCTGAAGAAACCGACGGGGGACAATCTGACGGATATCACAAAGCAGGGATTCCAGGAGAGCGGCATTAATGAGGGCGTCATTTATGGTGGCATTTTCGAGGAGGATAGTACGGGTGGTTGCGTTAGTTTGAGCGCTGGGACAGCGAGTGCTGCGAATGCAACAGTCGCGAGGAGATGGAGGAGGTGAACATTGTGAAATTCTCGAATGAGGTGATGATTTTCGAGATTATGTACAATATACATCATCTAAGCCCCTCATCCCTCGTCACAGCCAAAAACGTCAAACTCCACAACTGCACAATATCACTCTCCGTTGCCCCCGTTCCCGGCGGCGGAGGCAGTGCCCCCAGATCAATATACTCAAACGTCCCATTCCCATAAGTCCAGCTCCAAACCTCGATGCTCAAATGCTCCTCATTCGCCTCAATACTATCCCAAAGCACATTATACGCTTCCTTCACATTGGCATACACACCTGTCCCGCAAAACTCCGGAATGGAGCTCGAATTGCATCGCGCGAGCTGGAGTTCAAGGCCACGGCCCATCATGGCGAGTTGCCATGACCAGACCACCGTCCCGTGATAAGCGGACGTCGTCCAGTTCGCGGCGTAGATTGGACCTCCTCCATAAGCGGGATTCGCAACAAGCATACCGACGTCCGTCATCAGACCGGCGGGGAATCGACGACGGATGTTGGTAGCGGTGGAGTTGAGGAACGAGGTTAGTTGGGCTTGATTCGTGGTGTTGAGTAGGAAGTGCCGGAAGCAGGAATCGGTGTTCATGACTGCTACTTGGGAGAGGTTGTCATTTCCGTCTAGAGAGAGGGCGTGGAACGTGACGTCTGCGTCGAGGAATGAGGTTTGGGGGTCTAGACTTGGGGTTCCGGATGTGTTGGCGTAGGTCTGGAGGAGAGATTTTGCTGAGGAGAGGGGAATGTTGATTTCGAAAAACTGGAGGGTGGAATCTTCCCATACTTGGGCGTAGGAGTCTATCAGGGTGGCGTTGAAATCTAGAATTCCGCCTCGGGATAGAGAAGCGATGGATCGGAGAGCTGCGGGTGTGAGGGCAGTGTTCACATCGAAGGGGATCCGTCCACCTCCGATACCATAGGTACTATCTCGCCATTCTCCCACGATCTGTCCGTCTTTCAGATGCATGAGGTTGTCTATTGTTTGGTTCCCTGGAGCGGCGAATGGTGCGGCGAGGGTGACGATCTTGTTTGCGTTGATCTTGGCGAGATCGAGATATGTCAGATTTGAATTCTCTGGGAAGAAGGACGCTGTTGTGCTGTAACTTGTTAGTCGATTCTCCCAATCGAGGAGGAGAACTATACCTGAGGAAGTCCGGAGTTCGAGCTGAACCCGTTGGGTTCTGTAGGAAGTATCGATCCATCAGAACTGGCAAGTAGTAATCCGAATCGATCTAGATATGTTAGTGGAGTTCTCCTTTTGGCATGCATGCTTACCATTTTGTAGTCGCACAACGGTGCCGTACTCGTGATGTTATTTTGTAAATTCATCCAAGTTGCATAGTCACTATGGAAGTTAGCAGGACACAATGTATGTCTTGAGAAGTTTACCCAATCGTCTCTTCGTGGCACACAGATCCATCGGTTCTGTTGATTCTCTCGAGAACACCTGCAATGACAGCCTCGATTGCCCCTCCTTTTCCCTCGCTTAGGACTGGCTCGAGAAGTAGAGCTGAAATCATCGAGTCTCTTCCAAAATATGTCAGGAAGCGCCAAGCACCGGCTGTGAGCTTGGATGTGTATGAGAGAGATGACAAAGATTCCGTCTGCATGGGAGATTGGGTGATCAGATTCGCTGAGGCAGGGCTCAGTACTTCCTGTGGAGTCAACTGGGTTAATTGAGGATAATCGAAGGATGCGTTGAATGTGTATGTTCCCGCTTCAAACGTTACTGTGCTATTATTCAACTGGACAGTTTGATTGCCACCGCTGATGAAAGAGATTGACGTGGTTGTGACATTATCAAGCCACAGTCTGCTGACCTCCACTCGATCCTGAGCACTGGAATACTTCACTGCATCTTGTATATCAGGGCGGAGCAAACTGGGTCCTTCAGTGAAATCTCGGATGGTTCTGATGCTCCCGAGAATGGCCACAGAAAGGACAGCCGAGCTGTTGAATTCAATCTCTGTCGAGATCCCAACGGTTGCATTACCGCCGTTACCATCGTCGAAAATTTGGCCAAGTGGGGTGCTGGAAGTGGAATTAAGGAGTTGAATGCCTAAGGTTCCGTTCACGCCATTCTCTGGTTGAAAGTAAAGGACTATGCCACTATTTCCAGCTGGCCAAGCCACAATAAGTCTTGGGGAGATAAGTGTTAAGTCGCTGTCTGGTTGTGGAGATGTGACAACTACCTGAGTTGCCGAATTACAATCAGAGTAGAAATAGTTTTCGTATGGTGGTGAGCTGAGATGTAATGTCCGCGCCTCCGTGGAACAATTCGAGGAAGTGCTGCTACTACTATTGGAGGGAGGATAGACAAGGTGGTCGTTGGTGCAGCTGAGAATCATAAGTCTTGCAAGTCGAGAGGCCAGAGATGCGACTCACGAGTACATGCTTGGAAGGTAGCAGTCAGGTCCGCATCTCAACGTCGGTTGTCCCGACAGTACTGGGCAAAGGAAGTTTGTGTCATAACATGTATACTTGAAGCAGTGAGAAACGAGTCGGTAATCGTGAAGAAGTTGCGTACCTTTGAGGGGTAATAGTAAGCATCCCCGCATGCTTGAAGACTTTCGTTTTGTGCATTCTGTCCTAGAGCTAGGCTTGAGAAGAACAATGTCAAGAGCCAATGACCCATATTCATGATCATTGCTGGAAGATATATTAGAGCGCAACAAAGTACAAGGATGCATGTTGAACAAGGCTTCAAATATGTTCCTGAAAATATGTGGGGTCGACGTCATTCGAGACGGGACGTGAATATGCAACGTTTCTTGCTGGCTTTTCGCCATTGCCAAGACGATCCGTCACCGGCCATGTCTGACTTGCTGTGTTCTTCAAATGGAGGGAAGTTTTGTGGAGAGTGCGGATTAGAATGCGGGGAAGAACAGAAAGTTGGAAAGCCATCCGAAGTCGTGAGTGGGGAAAAGTTTCTGGAAGGTCCAAGCGAAGCCTCCTGCATCCTCGATCTACGAGCCACGTGACGAGGTCGAATCGCCTCAAACTTCTCTTCTCATTATTCCTAATATACAGGATAGTACTGACCCGAATTTTCACCGCTGCAATGTATGTCAGGAAAATCAAATCAGCTCACGTTTGTGAGTTTGAGGGCGGACGATGGCAGTGAATTCGGGATTCAAGCCCTCCGGTCTGCCTTTTGCAGGTAGCTGAAGCCTGAATGGGCTTTCATGAAGGTATCCCAATTGACTTGCCTCAAACATGATATTCTTCGAGGTGGGGAGTATCAGCAACACGATACACCAACTTCTTCCCATGGACTTTTCCATCATACAATAATTGAAGTCCTTTGGCCACAGACTCGAGCCCCTTTTCTAGCACCACATACGGGTGAGGAGTCACTCTCCCTTGCTTTAATTGCCGTGCAATGTATCTATACATGCAGTAGGAAAATTCTCCGTCCAGAATTGCATCTTCCCGATTCCGATATCCATCAGGATCATGCTCGCCATAAGCTCCTGACACATACACTCGACTGACCACCATGTTTGATGGCCATACCACAGACTCCTCAGACGGATCAGTCATATTCATCCAAACCGTACCTTTTTTCGCTAAGCAAGGGAAGACATTCTCCCAAGTCTTGGTATCGCTGTGCGAAATGGCGTCGAACGCATGACGGAGTTCCTTCCCTTCCTTCTCCAAAATCTTCCTCACGTCTGCAACAACTGTGCCTTGCTTATAGTCAACGATATAGTCAGCAGCCTTAAAACTTTCAACCAGTTCCAGCGAGCTTGTCCCGGCAACAGCAATGATAGGTCCGACTCCCAAACTCTTGTTTTCTTTGACAAGCTTTGCCAATTTCAAAGCCCATGCTCCAACAGCACTTCCGGCACCATATATCAATAAAGCGCCGTACTTCGGCATGCTTTCGTGAAGGGTTTGCCACGGCAGAGGAAGCATTAGATGCTGAAACAGCGCAATAGCAGCAGTCATTGCTGTAAGCGGGATTGTAGAACCAGCCTCGAAGGATATGTTGGGTGGCAGATGGAAAGTTGAAACTTCTGGCTCGATTGCATACTCGGCATAGCTTCCATGAGGTTCTAACATGCGATGAAAGCCAGCGACACGATCACCCAACCGAAATTCTTGGACTTCGGCACCCACTGCATGAACGACTCCTGCGATATCGTCGCCTTCATTTGCACATCGCTCAGGGAAGATAGCAGGGACTTGCCAGTCCTTAGGGTTAGAAGATGTTGCAATAACCTTAATGCAGACTTGGTTCGGACCAGGAGTCGGTATGGGAGATTTAATTGCCACAGTCTTCACCGGCCTGAGAGACTGGACGCAAATCTCGTACATTTTGAGAATTGGCGATTTTGTGAGCGGGGTACAGCAATATACCTTGGGAGTATTCGGTTGAGAAGTTGTGCGTATAGTGATCAATTTGAGTTGGTGGGACAATCGTATCAAGTAAATCTGATTATGTGAGAAACCAGTGGTTTGGAGTGATGGTATATGACTCAGAATTAGCGATAATTACTCAGCGCACTGACGGTGATAAGCAACCTAAATGATGACAATTAATTATACTGACACTCACCGCAGTCGGAGAACAGATTTGTAAATATTCGGTGTTAAAGCAGTACAGTTTAGCCCCTGATTTTAGCGCACCATTGTAACTGGTTGGCTTCTGGAGAACCCCTTAAATAGCCGAGAGGTCGACCCCACCTCACTTCACATCTTCTGGTTACGTCGCGGACTGATCGTTCACAATACATGATTCTAAGAGAAGGTGTAGTTCTAATTGTTGAAATGAGATCATATGCACGTCTGCATATATATTCTGTTGAGAATTCACTGTTTTCTGGGTTATTAGGAAGGACAATTTTACATGCGGACGAAATCGTTCGGAGTGAGAAACTAACACAAGACGAAATTGAGGATTATAAGAGCTAGTTTTTCGTATTCATGTTCTTGATGTCTTCACATAATCAAACTTCAGACGTCTCGAATGGACGAAACGAACACACAAAAAAGCCTCCCCTCCAGAATGTTCCTTATCTCAACCATGCTCGCTGGTCCGTCCCAGTCTTGTTTCTTAGGCCATGTTCAGATTGCGACTGAAGAAATTACTTACCCATACTGCACGATGGGTATGCAATTGGAGCCGATGATTAATCTGATTTCTGTGGTAATATTCTGAAATCAACATTCAGTCTCACATCACTCTCGCTCCCAAAGCTTGAATAGGGGAGTCTCGCTTAAATTTGAGGAACAATCCCGTGATTGTGCGGAAGCCACAATCGACAATGTCTCATGAGTGAGATTTTGGGCACCATTTACATGTATGTCTTGCATTTGATTGCACAGGGCAAAAGCAATATGGTGCGGCTAATTTGTTGCAACGTCAACTCCATTTTTCTTCATCCCTAGTATCATGCCGTGCCCTTGCTAGCCTCCAGGCCACCCGGGACTTGGGCTTGCCATCACTACAATGGATGAATCCTCATCGTTCGGACATACAGCGACGCGAAGCATATCAGAGCCTGATCAACAGATAACGCCGTTTTCTGACACTGAGACCATCACCAAGATACATTCCATCATTGCTGCCGCTGAGATTGTTGAGGAAACGTCAGATCCCAGCGAGCAAATACTACACCAGTCTACGATATCTAGCCCATCAAGGCAGCAAATCGATCAAGATGAGGAATCGGAGATCTGGTACGATCTTTCACATATCTCACATGATCACCAGAATCCTGCTCCCGAAGGAAACGCAGAAGCGAGCAATGATATCGAGCAAGTTCCAATCATAGATGCAACCGAAGAAGTTGGACCGATCCATTCAAGTCCCCAAGGAACTGATGCACCACTAACCGAGGTCGAAGTGTGGGACCTAGTTGATAGCACGGGAAAACACGCCATCGCGACAGTGATTCAAGACGAGGGAATTCCAGATGAAAGTGCGATCATTGACGAAGAACCACTGGAAACCATAGCCGTCACAGTAGCAATCGGTGCTGCTTTAGATAACCAGACTGAGATCGAGGAACTTTCCGGTGAAGAGGGAGCCCCAGTTTGGGTCATCATCCTAGCTTTGACAGTCTGGTGCTGTTTCATTGTCATCCTCATTGGCATCACATGCTACCTGGCACACTCGATGAACTGGCATGGAGTTGAGATCTTCACGGCAGTCGCACTCCCACTACCTTCCAAAGCTTGGCTTGCATTCTTCCACCTACCAGAAGGACTCTCACTTACTCAAGCGAAAGGGGTCGACTTTGCCGCTGGAGCAGTCATAGCACCAGTATTCATCGGGGTCGCAAACTTTGTTTGGTTCAAGACTGGCAGGAAGCTTTCGCCAAAGATCGACCACACAAATGAAGTTCCCAATGAGGAGACTGGGATTTTCAACTTGAGCAAGCTTCTTGGTTTTATGAGAACGTCAAATCCAAGACTGGTACTGCTAGCTGTATTGCTGCTATCCTCAGCTCTCGCTTCCACTTTACTTTCCAACGTGCTTGGTTACAAAGCCATTCCTGCAGGTTCGGCCGAAGATGTAGGAGCAGAAACGCAAGAGCTCTTATACCAGATGGTCTATATTCCTGGAATACTCTTTCTCGCGCTCTGTGCCGTCACTTCTGCATCGACAGCCGCCTTGTCACTCGTTCTACTCGATTGGAGATCCGCATTATCGAAGAAGAATCAACTCCATCAAGCACGTGAACGTGGGGATGGAATTGCCACTGACGAGCATGATATTGGGTGTGAAAACGTAAACACACGAGCTCATGACTATGTGTCATTCCCAAGATTCCATACAAGTCGACGATTGTTCTCTCGTGGAGGCAGGGAGATCTTCAACTCCAGTCGGAGGAACACTTCGGGAGAAGGAGAAATGGAGCCATTACTGCAACGAACTCAGTCCCATGTCGGGAGCCTTGGATCTCCAGGATCTTGGAGACTTCCATCATTTAGATTTCCAACCTTCACATCGCGCAAAAAAGTCGGCGATATTGAAGGGTCTCGAGAAATTGCGACAGGATTTGTGGCAGATGTGCAAGAGAGTGAGCAGAATGAAGGGCAAAGAGCCTCCTTAGCCCTATGGACGCTACCACGGCTTACTTTTCCTGTTTGGCGGCGAACTCAATCATTACCCATGATGACACAGCAAGCAGAACTGCATGGAGACCAGAATCCTGCAGCCGCACCGCCAATCGAAGTCACAACACCAACTGTTCCAAATATGAAGCAGGGACGTAAGTTCTGGAAGTTCTTGACTTATGGAACATTGGCTGCTCAAGATGAGGCGATCGCCAATCAGAGCAGTGAGGGTAACATTGTCAGCGAGACTGGAGCGACTTCGGACATGATACCAGATATACGAGTACTTAATTCGCTGTGGAAATTGCCATTCCCAAGTGCATTTGCATGGCCTTCTGGGAGCTGGAGGTCTGAAAGGCGAACTCGTCAGCGAGAAGAAGCTTCGGATACAAGTTCACTGCTCTCGCAAGTGGAGCGTGAAGAAGTGACTCTTGCTCGGGTGGAGAGGACGCCATCTTTCTGGGTTGTTCCCAGCTCCACTGGACATTATGTAGCGCCTACGCCTAAAGTCACTTCAAAGGATCCGTCTCTTGAAGGAGAGCATAACAAAACGGTTTCGGTGAATGAACGCTTGGCTGATGGGAAGTCTTCGGAGCCTAGACCGGGTTGGAGCCTCCCTCGATCCAGCTTCTGGTCCATGACAAGATGGTCAACAGATGCAGAAACTTCCTTAGAAACTTTGCCCACTCATGCCGCAGAAGCCGGGCAGCACATAGTTACCGAATCGATAAACGATTCACAAAACACATCAATAACTTCTCGTCAAGCAAAGTCTCACCGAAAACAGTACTCACTAGATCCTTTCACCTGGTTCCCAAAATTCACTTTCCCTCTTGTTTTGGTTGACGTTCCACACCAGGTCGCCGAGCGACGCACGCTTTTGCCTGCTTTCGAAGAGACTTCTCCCAGCAACCAGTCGAAGAGCAAGACCAGGACCTTGACCGCATCTGAAGCTCTGAACATTGCTATTGGAAACGATTCAATGTCATCTACTAGCCGAAGCTCGGTGATGAAAGAGCAAATGATTCAGATTTCTTCCCAGGGCTACGACTCGACTGCAGAAGCAATGACTTACAACGCAGATGATGTTCTCAGAACGAGAAAAGGAAAGAGGGTAGACAACTCGCGGACTTCTGGCAAACGACCTTCACAGATGCCGGGAGTCGCTGTCCCACCACTTAAGCTCAATGTTCCACATCACCCAGTTGGGTGGAGTGTTCCATGGATACACTTGCCCCTATTCTCCAGGGATAGTGAGAGCGAAATGGAGGGAAGTAAGCTGATAGCGCCAATTCAAACACAATCCGACAACTTTGCATCATCATCTCTTGCTCCCTCTCCTTCAATACTTCCTTCACCCACAAAGAAAGGCAAAGAGACAGAACAACATGTGGATCAAGTTGAGTCGATGATTGAGCGGGTGCACGAACTAGACGCACCTGTAGTCATTCATGAACAATCAGTGGTCATGCAGCCAGCTAGAATCGACGAGGACGACGATGATATAGGACAGAAAGCAGCTCTGGGGGTCGGATGGGTGCCATGGGGCTCTCGTAGAATGAAGCCAGATGATGTAGAAACAGCAAGGACAACTGGAAAGAGCCGCGCTCGCAGCCTCACGCCAATGAGACAAGTCCCTCAAAAAAGTTGGTTAACACCGCATGGGTATGAGGAGGCGAGGAGTGGAATTCAAACTACTTCTCCGAATCCTAGTCCCAACAGAGAAGATCGCGGAAGTTGGAAAGGATGGACGTGGTGGGATGTAACATGGCCTCACGTCGTTGACGTTGACCAATCCGGATCACCTTCAACAACAGCCAGCCCTCGTCAAGTTTCTGCGACATCAACGACGTCAAGTAATGACTCAACCTCCCATGAAGTCGGTCCCCAGAAACGAACGCCTGATGCGAGAAGTCGTCCGACTTTCACGGGATCAAACGATTCATACCGTAAGAGGAGACCCCTATGGGGGCTTGGAAAAGCGTCATACCAATTGCCGCAACCTTCTCCGGTTTCGATCATGCTTCCCAAAAATCTATCTCCTAGACTATCGAATAGTAGATCAAAAAGTGAAGAATTTGTTGAACAGGCAGAACCAAGCGAAGCATCTTCAGAGGTTTGGTATTCAGGTGGGACTCAACTCTTAATCGAAGGTCCCAAAAGTCCAAAAGGAAAGAGACCAGCTAAGTACACGTCTCTCACTGAGTGGCCTTGGAGCCATGATCACCACTTTAAAGCGGACGAGGAGGATGCTGGTCCATCTTTTTGGGTGGACGAAGGTGAAGGTAGCAGGAGATCGAGAAAATGGGGCAATGGTCGAAGAAGAGCTTCCCACAGCAGCGAAAGAAGTGCGAGGAAACAGGGTGGTGAAGTTGATACCGAGCCATCGGTCGAGAATGTGAGCTTATGGTGAGAGTAATGTTTAGAATGTTTAGTACCATTTCTTGTACATATATCCAGGAAGCATGTCGTTGAAACAAAATTCATCTAAGACTGTAGTTTGGAAATCTGCGTTCTGTTTTATGAGGAAGAAAGTGTAGTGAAAACATAGTAGACGTGGCTCGGGGATTCTTCGGCAATGGCGGGGTAAAGGTGGGGTAAATTTATGCGCATATCAAAAGCTTCATGTCTTCCTTCAATCAACCGCGCAATCAAATCAGGAAAATCGCTCGAGTTCAATCGACCAGTCTCTTCGGTCTTTTTGTTTTTCATATCTCAATTGCCTGGACTCACGATGCCTTCCTCGACGTCTTCAGACCAAAGAACATTCACGAATTATGTTGCATACAGAGATCCAAACGCTCTGGGAGAACCACGAATTGGACACTTGTTCTTGGACGCCTCTCTCATACAACCCTTAAGCTTCTCATCTGGTACTCCCATCTCCAATCTGTACCAAGTTATCGAGATTGGCGAAAGCCAGATCATGCCATTTGGTGATACAATACCGCTCTCTTCCGTACAGCTGCTCCCACCAATCAGTGGCAGAGATGTTCTAGCTGTCGGCAAAAACTATTTCGAACATGCTGTAGAGTTCAATACTTCTGGGTACGATTCAAGCGACAAGGTTGATCAACCAACTCATCCTGTGATCTTCACCAAACGAGCCACCAGCATCATTGCTCATGGAGACACGATATATCCCCACCATGAATTCACTCAGACTCTGGATTATGAAGGAGAAATTGGGGTGATTGTAGGGAAAGGTGGGTTTAGGATCAGTGAAGAAGCTGCTATGGATCACGTATGGGGATACACGATCATCAATGATGTGACAGCACGAGAGAGACAGAGAGACCACAAGCAATTCTACATTGGCAAATCTGGAGATGCTTTCTGTCCTATGGTAAGTATATCCATTACATATTACTGTAGTCTAATTGAAAACAGGGCCCAATTGCCGTTCCTGCGACTTATCTTCCCAAAACGCTAAGAGTCCAGACGTCTGTGAATGGCGAGAAACGTCAAGATTCTACATCAGGTGATCTGATTTTCTCTGTCCCAATCCTCATCAAGACTTTGTCAGAAGGAACTACTTTACAACCTGGAGATGTGATCGCTACTGGTACACCAGCGGGCGTCGGATTTGGTCAGAAGCCTCCTGTGTTTCTCAAGCCGGGAGACAATATCGAGATTTCGGTGACTGGACTTGGGACATTGAGGAACGTCGTCGGGGACGGATCGGAGAACGGAACGGCAACCAGCACACCCATATCCCATATCCCTGTCAGCAATTTGTCGAAGACATGCGGTGGTGTTGGTCTGACTAGCCTGGGCTCGAAGAAGCTGTATTACCATCAATGCGGTAAAGCAGGAGCTTCTCCTATAATATTTATCCATGGACTTGGGGGTAGTTCGGAGAACTTCAAGCCTTTGATTTCGAAATTGAACCTCAGCAGGCACTATTCTCTTCATCTTCTGGACCTCGAAGGCCATGGACTTTCTCCAACCTCTGCCACTTCCGTCATTTCCATCTCCAGTTATGCGGCGGACGTGTATGCACTTGCTGAGCACGCTCGAATTAGGCAAGCAACCATCATCGCTCACAGCATGGGATGCTTGGTTGCTTTTTCGCTTGCCATCCAACACCCCGAGATCGTTTCTAAACTCATTCTCTTGGGACCGACGCCGTCGCCATTGTCACCTTCTGATCGCACTATTCGATTAGAGAGAGCTACATCTGTGAGAAAATCAGGAATGGGACCGGTAGCCGACTCAGCTGCAGAGACTCGAATGTCATTAAAAACCAAGTCAGAGAATCTGCTTGCGATTACCGCTGTTCGTATGTGCCTACTTGGCCAAGATCATGAGGGGTATGCGAAGGGGTGTATGGCATTGGCTAACGAGACCGAGGCTCTCCCCATTCATGGAATCAAAGCGAAGACGCTGATTGTGACTGGTGATGAAGACGTGGTATCCTCGCCTGGTGTCTGCGAGGACTACGGCTCAAAAATTCCGGACTCTAGGATCGAAATCTTGCCGCAGACTGGGCATTGGCATGTCTTCGAGGATCTGGTAGGAGTAGTAAATGCCATTGGGCCTTATTTGTCAGAGTGAATGACGAAAAGGGAAAGACACTCGATGAGGTCCAACCATAGCATTAGATTCTTACATCTGGTGCATTTACGATTAGAACTTTAAGCCTTATAGTGATCTTTATGACATCTCCAGCGGATGATCGACTCGGCTAAGTCAGGGGCTTGATAGGGGTTTCAGCGCTAACTCACAGGCTTTCCCTCCAGGAAGGTTGACTCTTGGGCGCTAGGCAGACTTCGGCGTTAGGCTGCGGGTGACGGAGGCGACCAACAAATCTCGAGTATTTCTCCCGTTCATTGTTTTTCTTTTCTCCCTCATATTTTCTCTTCGTCTTATCTTCCAGTGTTCCACATCCAGTCAACCCGAAACGAACAAACTGAAGGCTCGTGCACGACTCGGAGAATACAAATTCCTGACGAGAAGCCCTCAATCGCATTCAGTGGCCAGCCGCCAATTTTTTCAATTGATGGCTGATCAAAGACTCAAGATTGCCTCTTCCAAATCCCCCCAAACAAAGATTGAGGGCGCTTTACGTGCTACTTCGTTCTCGCCTGCATGCAGGGCCCTTGCATCAACTTTCCTGGACCTGCATATCCCGTGGCTTATCTCTGTTATGGATCAAGATCACTCGTGGTGTTCCACCCGAACAAGCCCGTCGATGTCACTCATTTAATATTTGGCTTCATGGCGCAGAAGCAAGACACAATTCAATGTTCGGGTACTGGGATACTCCAAAACTTCCCGAGCTGGATCTATTCCGAGCTGAGGGTCACTGCATCGGGAATATTTCAGGGGCATATGTCGATCAATGCCAACGAAAACTGGAGAGTGACATGCCGCTGAGCCTCAACTACCCAATTCATTTATGCTTATCTGATTACCCAGTCTCGGAAAATACTCCTGCATCCGAGAGATACTGTATGGTTTGCTTCAAATTTTCCCTCGAGCTCTCAAAGATCTTTTGAGTTCTTGATCAGGGCTAGTTGCCCAGGCGATTACAAGAATGCTCTTCACATCCTCGCCGAGTCAGTGTCACCACAGACCTTCAAGACCCCCAATAGATAAAAGGCGAACGCCACTTGTTGAACAACCTTTCGTCCACCCGTCAGACAAAAGCAAACATCCATGCGCTTTCAATGAACGCCTTCCGAGGCTGAAAAGGGAGCCATTGGCTTTTCTGCAATATCAATCATAATTTAAAACAATACTTCTTCCTCTTCCTCCTCTTCATCCTCTTGGCAAGACCTATCTTCCTCATATTTTTATCGCGTGCCAAGTTTTCCCTGTGCCACTCTTTTCCTGGGAACACAATACACTCGTTACTAAGTCAGTCACTCGTTCAAGATGAGGTGGTTCAAGGTTCTTGGACTGGTAGTCCTACCCGCTGTTAATGCAGTTGCTTCTACGGATTCCCTCCAGGATACGGTAAGCAATCATGTCCGATGGAGACTTTGGTGCTAATGTTCTTAGGATCCAGCAAACTCCGGATACCTCACAAATCACAACATCGATCCTGCAGCGGTTCCAAACTATACTCTCAAATGGAGGATGACCTACAACACCAACGAAGCTTTCTATGCCAAACCGTTAGTATGGACTCCGCCAGGTGGTACAGTCGAGCAGGTAATTACTGTGTCCAATCAGAACAATATCAGGATTCTTGATTCAACATCCGGCGCGACAATCAATTCGAGAACACTGGACCCTCCCTTCCTATCCTCTGATAGCATGTGTGGGGATATTCCAAACACGATCGGTATAATTAGCACACCTATCATCGATCCTGCCACCAATATAATGTATCTGATATCAAAGGGGTACATTGGAGGTATGTTCAAGAGGTTTGAATCATCAAGTTGAGGCTAATAGGAACAGGTGCTAGCAGTGGAGGTGCCATCAATGGTAAGCCAAGATACTCTTCACATCGAATCATGCTGACATCGATGAAGGACAGGATAAATTTTATGCTGTTCAGCTCCCAGGGCTCACTGATGTGCCTGGGTTCCCGACCATCATCAGTGGTAATGCCGACAACGACCCAACAAGATACTTCATTGCAGGCACTCTCAATCAAAGACCATCATTGAACGTCATTGGAAATACTATAATTGCTGGATTTGGTGGACATTGCGACAACTTCAACTATACTGGAATGGCTTTAGGTATAAGCAAAACCACGGGCGATATTACGGCAATGATGGCAATGATGGCAAGCCCAGGTGCTCCAAGTCCCCAACCACTTAACATCTTGACCCAGAACGGAGGCAAGGCTGGTATATGGCAATCCGGTACGGGTCTCGCCGTGGATAGCACTAATAGCAGAGTCTTCTTTGTCACTGGGTACGTCAATCGCCAATATATCTAGACTCTGCTGATATTTCAAAGCAACGGCATCGGAAATGGTGACAACGCTGCAGGTGCTCCAGCCAGTGGCAAAACCCATATTAGCACCCTTGAACAAGCGACTGTTGATGTTGGTGTGAGCGCCAACGGCGCATTTACCCAACAAGATTACTTTGCGCCCTACGAGTACGCATCTTTGAACGGTGGAGACAGAGATTTTGGATCATCAGGAGCTTGCCTTCTTGATCCATACTTTTCGGGTGGTGGTGTTAACCGCATTATCGTTGCAGGAGGAAAGACAGGAAAAATCTATGTTATGAACGCCGATAACTTGGGAGGATTCAATACAGCCGCTGGAGGTGGAGATGGAGGTAAGTTTGAGTGTTCGATGTTTGATATGATGCTAAGCCACGTCAAGTTCTTCAGACAATCCAACAGCCACTTGCTCTACTCAGCGGCGTAGCCAGTTACCCTGCTGAAGGTGGCTACATCTAGTAAGTTCTTCAGTTTAGAATCAGACTTATGATCTAACGAGTCCAGCTTCGCTCCTTCCGCCGGTCCCTTGTATGCGTACTCGTTTGGCATGTGTGGAGGAGTGCCTTGCTTCACGCTTGCTGGCCAAACTGCTATGATTTTTGCTGGTCGTGGAGCTCCAACAGTCACGAGCTTGAATGGAAAAGCCGGAAGTGGTATTGTAAGTTTGCTAGACATTGTTTGGGATTACGGTATTAATTCGTATTAGGTCTGGATGGCCGATGTCAATGATGGTATCGTTGCTTTCAATGCGGTGCCTGTCAATGGTGCCTTGGTCCAAATCACCTCTCCAGCCACTGGTCGATTACAGAAGATGCAACGTCCAGCTTTTGGAAATGCCGCTGTCTACTCCTCAGAAGTCAATGAGATTCTTGCAATTGGAGGAACTTCTACTGTCACAGAGCCTTCGTTGCAATGCGCTCCGAATTCAATTGCGTTCGGAAGTGTGGTTGACGGTACAACATCGGTCGTACAACTGACCTGCACTGTTGGTACCAACTCGATGACAATCAAAAGTGCGACTACTGGACTTCACATCTTCCAATACTCTGGACTGCCAACAGGAACTCTGGCTGCAGGTTCTTCGTTCACTATCCCGGTTACCATAAACCTTACCAGCGCGGCTCTGGAGAACACGAGGGTCATTGATGGCGTCCAAATTGTCCCTGGTACCGAGAGTTCGATCTTGAGTTTTGTGGACTCTCTGGGCTTTACCACCACAGTATCCCTCAGTGGAAAGGTCGTTGCTTCAGGTGGATTCCCTGTCATCACACCTTACACTTTGGAGTTCGGAAGCTCAACTGTGGGCCAGACTGTTGCCAAAACCTTCACGGTCACAAATGATGGTGCAGGAACTTTGGTTCTGACTTCTTTTGCCTGGACTGATCCTAAAGTAACAAATCCTCCTTCAAATTCTGTCGTACCGGGCGGTTCTACCATCATCGGAAAAGATTTTACATCCTCGGACTTCCCGGTCAATGGAGCCACAATTGCATCGGGCGCAACAATTACCATTGCTGTCAATTGGTCGCCAAGCGTTGCGGGAGTAGGGTCAGCTCTATTGACTTTCACCACCAATGGCGGAGTCACTGATATCATGTTCACGGGAACTGCAGCCGCGTGCACAACTTGCACCTCATCAAGTATGTTGGCTTCTCCATCTTCATCTTCTGCGAGCCCCTCTTCATTATCTCTTCTATCCTCCTCATCCTCGCTATCTGCAGCACAATCCTCATCTACGCTTGTGCTCTTAACGCCAACATCATCGTCCCTTCTTGTGTCCTGGTCATCCTCATTACCTGTACCGCAGTCCCCGTCCACGCTTCTGCTCTTAACGTCCACGTCGTCATCCTCTCTTGTATCCTCGTCATCCTCATTATCTGTACCACAATCTTCGTCCACGCTTGGACTCTTGACGTTCACATCGTCCTCTGTCACAGCACTGACGTCTTCTTCACTGCTCTCTATACCATCGTCTACTGGATCCTCCTCGATGTCCTCACTGTGGTCCTCAAGCGCATCGAGCAGCCTGAGACCGTCTTCTACACTGCCTTCTTCGATCATGTCTACCTCCTCGATTGTTTCATCTTCACTTGCTTCTTCCTCGCTGCAGCAGACTTTACAGTCAACAAGCACTTACATTGTCTCGACAGGGCTTTCCACGTCTACCAAGGGAACGTCAAGTTCTTCGTCCACAAAGCTTTCAACTAGCTCCACGAGCAAGATCTCAAGCTCTTCGTCGACAAAGCTGTCATCCAGTTCCTCCACAGCCAAGTCCTCAAGCTCATCATCCACCAAGCTTTCAACTAGCTCCTCCACAGCCAAATCGTCAAGTTTATCATCTACCAAACTTTCAACCAGCTCCTCCTCTGTCAAATCTACGACCTCCTCGAAGTCTTCATCGACTGTCGGCCCTTCAAGCGTGAAAGCCAGCACCACCAAGTCAACCTCAAGCTTCGTCACAATGACGAAGTCCTCATCAGTTACCGTTGCAACTCAAACTGGTGCATATAATTACTTGGGTTGTTACCAGGAAGTCAGCAATGGAAAGGTTCTTCCCCTTTTACTGGCCAACGACACGATCACTCCCCAAGTCTGCGAATCTCTTGTCTTGTCACTCGCAGCCAAGCCAACTCCAACCCACTATCCATACTACTATGTTGAATATCACAGAGAGTGCTATGCTGGTTCCAGCTTGAATTTCGGAACTGCTGGTGTGACCAGTGTAACTGGCGCACATGCTTGCACCGATGTCTGCAGTGGTTCCGTTGGAGCTACATCCACTGGAACGGCTTTCTGCGGTGGTTGGGCAATGTTCGATCTCTATGCTACAGGAGGATCCAGCTTACCATTTGTTCCCGCAACCACACAGAGTGTATAAATAGCGATTTTGTCGATAGCGAAGGCGTCATGTTTCCCAGCGGATGCACACAATTTTGAAGTTTTAATGTTTATTGAATTGTATATATTTGAAATTTGAAGGCAAGAAGTGGTGAATTGTTTGTGTTCCTCTTCGATATTGTTTGCCGTTTCAACTTGAGTTTCTGTTGCATGTCGCAGTTGTTGCACCTTCCAAATCGAGTAATTGTCACACGAGATGATTCATAATTCAATCCAACAAGAAATTGCTGCTGTCAGATGGCAAGCAATGCTATATAAATAGAGGGGTGACCCTGAAGATAGTATCTCGCTGATATTATTAGAAATCTTCCCCGCCGAATTTCCTCTTTGCTTCACCAACAAAACAAGTCAACCCATTGTCTCCAATTCTCCCAAATGATATCTGCGATTAACACAGAGCAAGTGCAATAAGAAATGAATGTGACTCTTCACATAAGGATTTGATAGTCTGTCTTTCGATATAAGTTCGGACTTTCTCTACTTTCTCACCAACCACCACTTCCCAGAAAGCGAACCAGCTCGACTCCTAGTCCTAGTAGAGGAAATTCCATGATAGTTCAAGTTGATGAAATTGTTGCACATCGCACTTCTTACGCCTTCCCAATGCAGCAGTACAATATCGATATAGAACTTGCCATTGTTTTAGGCGGATACCGGGTCGGAAAGCTCCCCATTCCCGAGGAACATGTTCGGTTTCACTTTCAGATGAAAACAGCGCCTACGAGAGGATTCACAGGGCGACCTCATCTTCTATTTCTCATATCTCTCTATAATTTGATGCCTATACTCGACGTGAGGTCTCAGAACTGGAGGTGCTATTACAAGATTTCCCGGATAGAAGGCGCACGTGATGTGATTCACTGCCAAGTGGCGTTCCTTGACTTGGCCAATCTCTGTCTGTAAACATCCTTTCCAGCAAATTTTATCAAATATGGATCCTTATTGTTTTTCAGAGTACTACGGAGCTCTCCGCAGCTGTATGGCACGGCACGGATGAAAGTATCGGCAGGACGCTCCGCTTCGCCTCCTTCCGAGGCTATCTGCAGCAATATATTTCAATCTCTCCATCCCGCTCTGACTTATGATCCCCCCTTCATCTGATCTAGATCATCATGCAATATCAAAGTACTGCTAAGAGGCTCTCCGGAAGTCCACCGCCGTGATCCATTCTTCCATTCGGAGATTTGTTTGCTCGGATGGATCTATTTTCGACCGAATGTATATTTAACTTCATTTTCAGCTGTGCTATCCAATAACTTCTCCAAGCATGGAGTCGCGATGCCGCGGAACTTCGGTCGCAAGGTCCATAGACCTGAACTAGACGAGACCATTCGCATTTCAGTCTCTCATCGTCCAAATGGTTAAGAAGTACCAAGGTACATTCAATTTCCAAGGCTCAGCGTTCTCTCTATCTTTGTCTTCGTTATGCTTATCACTACTGTCTTCGCGCTTCTCAGCTTCACCTCTTTTTGTGCTGCTCTTCCAACAGCAGATGCTGCAGACGCGCATCGAGATGTGAATCCTTTCGTTGGAAAACATTACTTCGCCAATTCCAATTACGCGAACGAACTCAACCAGACTGTAGCAGCTTTCCTCGCTAAGAACGATTCTCTGAACGCAGCAAGAACTCGCACAGTCCAGAAGACAGGAACTTTCGTACGGGTCACCACCGTCTCTGGCTTAAGTCTCATCAATCAGACTGTCTCTGAAGCCCGAAAAGAACAACGAAAAACGCACAAGAAGCAGATCATCGAGCTAGTTCTATACAACCTCCCTGACCGAGACTGCTCTGCTGGAGAATCCTCTGGGGAATTCAGCCTTGCAAACAATGGGCTGGAGTTGTACAAACATTCGTTCGTTGATCCGTATGCTGCAACTCTGAAAGCAGCTTGGGATCTTGACTTTGCTATCATTCTCGAGCCAGACAGTCTGGGGAACGTCATCACGAACCAGAATGTCCCACTGTGTGCGAATGCTTCATCCGCTTATGAAGAAGGAATTGCCTACGCCATCGCTAAACTTCAAGCTCCCAATATCGCGTTGTACATTGACGCAGCACACGGCGGATGGTTGGGTTGGGATGGTAATCTGCCGTTGGGTGAGCATTCTCTCTTCTCCAAGCAACATGTCCAATGATTCTTAGCTGCTGCCGAATTCTCCAAAGTCGTCACCCTAGCCTCAAACTTCACCGCCGGTGCCAAGATCCGCGGTTTCTCAACAGACGTCTCAAACTACAACCCCTACATTGCCAATCCACGCGCAAACTACACCCAATACTCCAACTCCTACGACGAACTGCACTACGCCGAAAGTCTCGCCCCGTACCTTACCAATGTTTCTCTTCCCGCGCACTTCATCATTGATCAAGGACGGAGCGGACTGCAGAATACGAGGACGACGTGGGGAGATTGGTGTAATGTCGAAGCGGGATTCGGGATCCGACCTACGACGAACACGAACAGCAGTTTGGTGGATAGTATTGTGTGGGTGAAGCCGGGTGGGGAGTCGGATGGTGCGTGTGGGCCGACGATTGATGGGGAGGCAGCGCCTGTTGCGGGGTTGTGGTGGGAGGCGTATGTGGAGGCTTTGGTGAAGAATGCTGAGCCGCCTTTGGCTCCTACTTGGGGGCGAGGGTGGCATTGAGGGCTTGTGTATGAGATATTGATACAATATTTAAGGTGCAAGTTGCACATTGGTTTTGGCTTTCTGGAAGAGTAGTATCAAATGCAGATTGACGAGAGGGAATGGAACTTACAATACAAATGGGTCACTTTGGATCAGGGAAACCACTTCAGAAAGCTTGGTACTGTCTCACTCATTCATTCCATCTTACATGATTTGTTGAAGTCAGCCAAAGCTAGAGATTCTGCCATCTTACCTTGCCTACTGACTTCACATGCTGTCTTTACATAGTACATAAAGGCTGACAGGCAGCCAATTGTGCAATAGTATATCTTCTTCACCCATACAAAGAGCAACCACCCCTCCAACAGACACCACAGCAATTGCTCTTCTTCTTCACGGCGACAAGTCTTCCACCACTTATCATGCTCCACGCTGACCTTCTCGCCGTGCATACTGACCACTTCCATCACTTCCACCTCGCCAAACACCAGAGCCCTTCTCTTTTGTATAACCTCCTGCTCTACCAGGACTCTGTATATCATAAGAGACACCTCCTTTAAAGCGAGGTTCCTCGTCGTATTGCAAAGCGGAGTACTCTTGACGAGCATAGTCAGGGTGTCGATGATAAGACAAGGGTCCTCGAGGGGTTCGACTCCTGGAATCCCGCATTCTATCAACGGGTACACAATTCGACGAAGTTGCACGAGGAGCTTGACTCTTAGGACCCGGATTCCTATCAGGACTAGGTGAGCGTCCGAGACGGCCGATCCTATCGGGATGTACAAGTTTGAATGATGATGGTCCGGATGGGGCTGCTTGGCCGTTGAGATTCCGAATCCTGTTCGGATGTATACGATTCGATGAGGTCGCGCAAAGGGCCTGACTCTTAAGAACCGGAGTCTTGTCAGGACTTGGTGAGCGTTCGAGAGAAAGATGACCAAGCCTGTCAGGATGTACGCGTCCATGATGCTCGGATCCTCTATCAGGAGATCTACTACGACGTCTCTGATCGTGAGAAGGTGACCTCTCCCAATACGATGGTTTGCGACGGGAAGCACGGCGCCACATAAGCTCTTCGTGCAACTCGTAGGTTGTGATTAAATTTGCCAATGTGACGGAGCTTCGGTAGGCGTCTTTGAGATCACCCCCGGCTTCCATCTCAGCGAGCCGGGACTCGAGCGAGGATATCAAGGAGGTGCGCAGACGTTGCATTGTAGATTCCTGATGTAGTGATCCGTTTGGTTGGGAAGCGAGATCTGGGGAGGCACACTCAAAGTCTGATCCTTCTTGAACCGCATCTTCTCTGGCCGTCCGCTCTTGGCTTCTGCTCTTCGAATCTCCTCGAACTTGTTCAGGCGAACCCAGGACATCTGGAATAGCACGTGGCGATGAGACTCGAGTGTTGTAGTCTTCCTCATCCTCCGACATGAAAATGCTCTCCGTAATAGCAACCGGGATATCTGGAACCTGAGATACTCGTGAATCAACACTCTCTTCCCTCTTCTCAGGCTTAAGATTCCACATCTCAGCCAATCTCTCCACGATATCAGGAGTAGGAGATGTTCTCATGGTAAGAAACCCACCATCTCCGTCCACTCTCGAACCATCAACACGCCCAGACATCAGCGATGAAGGAACAAAAGCAGCTGGAGCAAGACCCCCAAAATTCTCCTGGTACCAACCTCTGAACAACATTCTCGCAGCTTCGAAAGCTGCATCATCTTCCTGCTCCTCGACGATGACCTTCGCGTCTCCGAGAGACGCGGAAGTGGATGGTGATACAAAGGCTGATGCCTCGTCGCGCACCTCTGCAGGCTCGGAGAGTGAAGCTGAGGCTGGATCTGCGATTGGAGATTCCGGTGGTTTCGTTTCACCTTGCTCTGCTGCCAGGGCCTTCACTGCCAGCTGCTCTTGCTGCGAAAGCTCTGGCTGTATACTTTGCCCTAATCCACCGCTGGAGACATCTTCAGCGACGTCAGACTCCGGATTACGCGCCGTCAATGGTAGACGCGCGAGAGTTTGACCCATTGCGCGGTGTTGCGTTGTGCCGTGCGTTGTGTTGTTGTTTTGGTGAGGTGAGGTTGAAAGATCGCGAGATTTGGTATCTGGCGGAAGGAAAACACTTTCCCGGGCCAGATTTCTTTCGACAAGACTCGGCTTCGAATAAGTTTGAAGAGCAGGAAGCATGGATCAGATTCACAATTAAGCAAAGATCAAGAACAACGTTCTTCAAAATCACGAAAATCACGTGACAAAGATACATTCCATACCAATTCTGTTGACTTGGTTTACATCTACAAAATATGAGTGCCTCTGTGTTGGTATACATATATACAGTCTAATCCACCAGAGAAGATAAGTATAATCAAGAAATTTTTGCTCAAGAAATTTTCAAGAAACCGCAGACACCGACGCTGACAAAAATAGCAAGTCGATCACTAGATCATCTAACACTCATTCGATTCATACCATCCTCAACTCCATCCATGTCGACAGCCTTGCCCTTTCCTTTGCTGGCAGCACTAGCTACGCTGCTTCTTCTCCGCTCTTTCATTCGTCTCAATGCTTTGGTAGCCTCGCCCTCGCTCCTTGCCATCTGTTCATCGTGATTCAAAACCTTGCCATAGTTTATCCTTTCGCCAAAGTCTCCCACCACATCTTCATTCGATCTCTGATAGCCTGCCACCGGTGCTCTCTGACCGAGGCCGGGCAACATGCCTTCAGATCCGTAACCACTTTCTCGGAATAGTAGACCTTCTTCACCTTTGGCGGCTGGTCTCTCAGCACCGAACGCAGCACCTGCAGGGTCTTCATCACTTTCGTACGCCTCAATTGGAGAGCTCAAATCACCTAGTCCAGCGCCGATATACACAGGCTGTGTCCTGCCGTGAACATCCTCAAAGACAGGAGGGTGACGCCATACATATTCTGTCTTGGGATAACCTTCCTTGGTCGTGTACTCTTTCTTGCTAGAAAGTACAGGCTCGAGGATGTTCTTTGATCGAGAGCTAACTGATGCCCGTGAACCTGCTCTTGATCTTGTCTTGGGCTCCCCTCGTGCCAAACCAACTACCGGACCATCAGCACCATCATCCTCGTCGATATTTGTGTGAGAATAGATTGATTGGGAGAGAGATTGTGTCCTTGGCCTCCCATCTTTGACGACATTCCAGTCTCCATTTGACTTTCCTGTGATTGTATGTTTGGTATACTTATACAGTTCGTTCTCTGGTATCTCAATCAATGCTTTCCCATCATCGGACGGAACGTAGTGCTTCGTTGGAAGGATCTCGGTCTCGATTACAGGGAGTATGCGGTGGTAAACATCGTGCGTATGGATCTCTCGGGTGATTCTTTCTTCGCGAATCTCGTGTCGAGTTGGAGTAACATATTCGTGGGTCACGGCTATTGACGCATATTAGCAGCCGAATTACCAGTCTCTGAATCTGGGATAAGAGGCCAATTTTCTGGTGGGAATGATGGTGGCTGCATAATATCATGTGGGGAAACATGAAGCGGAGAAAGGACAGGTGCTGTGTATTGTGATGAATGCCCAGAACGCACTGACATGCGTGAGGTGGACAAGGGACGTGATATGTTGGGTCGGGGTCGATGAATAGATATGGTAGGAATAGGAGGTGGATATGTACCAGGTAATGTCTTAGTGGTGACATCCGTGTCCACCGTATTGCTCAAGTCAACTACTCCTTCCAGACTGATCGGTTCACTTCGCTCCTCAATCAGCATTCCTGCTCGTTTGTTGGTCGCGCTCGTTGGTGATCTGGTCGAAGAACGATCCGAAGAACTGGGAAAGGCAGAGTAGCTCCCCTTGGAGGCGTGTCCGTTCGTAGTGGTCGTGGTCTGACTTGCCGAAGACATGGTCCTCCGTCTTTGTTTGGCACTGGAGTTGGATTTTTGTCTCAAGTGAGTTGGCTGAGTGGCTCTTGGTAACTCCTCAGGAGTTGCCACTGGTGGAGGCTCCTTCAATGTCCTAGATGGTACAGCAGCAGGTTGCACGTTTTCTGGCACAGAAGCAATTCGAGGTGCGGCAGCGGATGGCTTGAAGACTTTCGAAAGACCAGACTGTTTAGGGGAAGGAACAACAGGAGGTGGTTCTCTCAGCGTTCGTCGTCCTCGATCAGGAGTAGCACCTGGTCGGCGAAGGGTTTCATGCATACTCGAGTCTTGTATAGAAGATGCAGACAAGGGTGATAATGCTCTTCCACTTCGATTGTGGGCGAGATCCCCATTTGTGGAACGATCATCGTCACGACCACCATTAGTGGAATAGGAATATACTGATGGCGAGTCGGTTCGTAGAGGGTACGGCACGCCGGGTCTTGATGCAGTAGCCGTAGCAGTAGATCGAACAGAGGCAGCTTTTGCGTGACGAAGGGGGCGAGTATGAGGCTGAATGTCGTCACTGGGGCCAACATCATCATGGCCTAGAACGTGGCCTAAAGCGGAGGAAGTCCTCGAATGGCTGCCATCTGACCCTCCCAGGCCAGACCTCTTCTTGGGGGAATATACCGTTCTCAGGTAACTGAACTCTGGGGAGTTCAGGACCAATCGGGGTTCCCGCTCTTTGGATTTGGAACCAGCTATATTACGATCGGCCACATCCTCGCCATAATTCCTCACCCCTGATGCCTTTGTGCGGTGCTGTGAAGTTTCTCGAGAGGGTCTAATATTCGAATGTGCTTCCAGCAGATCCACATGTGATTTATGTGATGCATGCGAATCACTTCTATTGTGACGTGCAAATGGAGGGACGAATGCATCATTGTACTGTTCTGCCTCTACGCCTTTCCGGGGCTGATATGTCTGCACCTCGCGCGGAGGCTTGGGAGTCGTGCTTCTTACTGAAGGATTTGGTACCGGAGGAGTAGGAGGAGGTTCGACGGTGCTGTTGCGGAGAGAGTTTCGTCTGCTAGAGCTGCTGAAGAAGCTGGGCGGGGATTTCATAGAGAAACCTGATCGTGTCCTTCCATTGCTATTGCCGTTCACGTTTGCACTGCCATTGCTGTTCACGCTTCCAAGTCCCCTTCGATGGCCATCATTTGGCGCGGTTCGTGGTCTTTCGATAGGATCTTCGCGATATCGTGGGACATTTGGAGCTGCTGCAACAGCTGATTGTCTCCGAGTGTCCCTCTTTGCCCTGGAACGCTGAATCTCCTCCAGGACATTGGGACCATTGCCTGCAACCGGATATGATCCCTTGACTGGCGGATCTCTGGCAACAGCAGCATCGTAGGATTGACCTCTAATGTTGGAATTGCCGTTGGACTTGCCAAAGAACAAATTTCTGAGTCGCGACATCGCGACCGCAATGGCCAGTATCGCACCCAGGGTAAGACAAACCCCAGCCGTCAGCCGGGCAGGCGAGCGCGGGGGATCCACGAGATGCCTGCAATTCGCTGGGGATCCACGACGCAGATGTCGGAGATTTTTATGATGGCATGGTCATGTTGTTGTGACGAGGGCGATGGAGATGGGATGGACGGAATTATGTTGTTCGTTGCACGCGAAGGAACAACAGAGAAGAGATTTAATGTTCGTTCCGGTTCTGGTGCCCTCGACGGCGTCGTCCTCGCCAGGGGATTTTCGTCTGTGACAGGCAAAGCGGAAGCTGAATTTACCCCTTTCAGCTCAAGTGTTTGTTGCGTGTTTGCTAGCCGTGTCCATCCACCGCCATTTCGTCCATGTCGGGTATGGATTGGAGGGGCCGTAGAGACGCAGGTGCAAAGTGCAGTGCAGTGCAGTGCAGTTGCAGCAATCACATTACAATAAAAATGACGGTTGAGTTTTCACTTCCTCGTTTCGGTGATAGCATCACGGGCGGCGTGTCCTTGTGCGGTGGTTTCGCAGCAGGGACCAGCTCCAAAGCGAGCTGCTGCACTCAGGGGTGACCTTCATATCTCGGGATTGTCCCTCTCGACTATTGGCTTCGGCCCAGGAAAATTCCTGATAACGCAGCAGAACCCCAGCAGATTTACGAAGTATGCAGTGGGCTATTGTCTCATTCACAGAGAGCTGTAGTAAGCTCCATCGTCGATTCACTCCTTATTGTACAGCATGTGCATTGACAGAGGCCTCCATCAGCTCCTCTGCTGAGTCTAGAATACCCCTCTGCTTGCCTCACTTCTTAGGTAGGCAATGAGGCTCGAATCTTTTCATACCTATCCTATTTTGCTTTCACACCTCGGTTGCTCTTCCTCGGAGCGTCTTGGCTCTTCGAAATTCTTTAGATCTAGATCATTTGAGACGGCTTGAACAACATGTACAGTCATTGGCTGCACAGATGCATTTATCTGCTTCCGGCTTAGACTTGTCTCCCGCTCCAAGTAGAGCGGGGTTGAGGCAAATGGCTGCCACTGCTCAAGCTGTCTAAAGTCTTTAGTGCGGCTTCATGCATCGACGACCGTTCTTCTGACGTACGCATTAACTTTACAACTCATCGAGATTTATTCACGTTTAACCATATCCAACGATTTATCAACCATTCAAGTAAACGCCGTGACCAGCGTCATCACCGTTGGCCCGAGATCTCAGAGACGGGATCCATCAGAAGGAAGAAGGAAAAGGAAAGTCCATAGCTACGAATGTGGCGTCCCTTCATCAGATTTCTTGATTTCCTGCTATTTATCTACATCAAACTCGTTTCAGCCTGGGTGCTACGTGGACATGTGAGCTATCAACATAACGGAAGACGTTCCTGCGGAAGTCTGGGCTTTACTTGCCGTGCAGCGGAGATGCCTGTCCCGCAGACGGGAAGCCATGATGCAGTCTTATCTCTGGTGGCAATTTCGACACCGGGATCGAAATGTCAACATCGAAATCTAATCTCGCATGATCGATTTTCTGTTGCTTCTGGATTCATTCCCCAGGCGGGAAGTTGGGATCCTGCAGCAAGCTGAATCAAGCTCTTTCCAGGGCCCAAAAAGTTTTAAGCTCAGGCTCAAAACAGCAAGCTTAATCCATCTCGTTTAAATCCTCGCGATGATCTTGTCTATACTTTCAAGGTATTATATTGAGCCTGGTTTACATCCTCCCAATGATTGGTTACCGATTTTAGTGAGAAGGCCTTCGCATCATAGCTTTACGCCAGTCATGCAAGTCATTCGAAAATTCCAAGCTTTCAAGAGACCCTGCTTCCCGGACAACCAGATATCCGGTATATGGGATTCCAAGTCTGGTGGAGAAGGTTGACATCGGTCTGTCCGTCGCAGAAATGCCTGTCAAGCTGAAGCCTTCATCCAAGTCGATGTTGATCTAGATGTCGAGCTTGCTTCAAGCGAGGCTCTTCGACATCATCCGATCCACCCAACCATCTTCTTTCTCCACATGCTTCCTTACTATCAATATGCACAGCCACACATTTTAACCTCTGTCGTTCTCATCAACGGAAACTAACATAGCACTACTGTATGCAGGGCTTCGACGACGACCGTCATTGATGATGTAGCTCCTCGGATATCCCGCCGCATGAGGGGTCTTGCTAGCTACGTAACTGTTAAGAGTTCAGTTACTATGTATATTATGCTTCGCAGCTCAAGCACTTCCATTTTGTTTCTCATACCATTCTATACCCCTCAAACCGTTATCTATCACCAAACAAACACAACATCAATCAAAATGGAGAAAGCAAAGGCAGCCGTTGGCAACTTCCTCTCTAAGGATGGAAAGCATGATACTACTGTCCACGAGGTAAGTCCTTCACGCAACACTGCAACTTCAATTCCTAACACCGAACAGACCGTCAACCCAGCCGTTCAGCAAGAACACGTCACTCCCACCAGACACGAAAATGTCACCACCGCAGTAGACCGTGAGGTCCACCAAGATCACCATCACACCTCCGTCCAACCCATCTTGCACAAGGAAGTCCTCCCAGAACAACACACCCACCAAATGGGCGGCGTCGAGCACCGCAACATCAAGCACGGTAACGACTCTCACGTCAAGGACCGCCTCGCAGCCGAGGCAGCCCAATTCAAGAACACCCGCGAGGTCGGTGAGACACAACACACCAGCGCTGCCGCCCCATCTGTTGCAGGTGAACACGTTCACCACCACGTGCACGAGAACATTCAACCCGTCGTCCAAAAGGAGACCGTTCAGCCATCCGTCGTCCACACCACCGTTCCCATCCACGAAGTTCACCAGAACGAGGCCAAGCACCACACTGCTACCTCTCTGCCACCTGTGAGCATGGCCGAGTTCAACAAGCAAGGTGGATCTCTCACTGGTCGTGAGGAGCGCACCGATGCTTTCGGAGGTGAGCCGAGATCTGTTGGCGGTACCTTGGGAGGTGCCGGTGCTCGTGGCACTACTTCTTTGACTGAGAATGATACCACAAGATCGGGTCACCACTCTGGTAACCACCTCGGATCTACAGGCACGACTGGTACTACTGGATCAGGATTGGGAAGCTCAACAACTGGTACATCAGGTACCTCTGGTTATGATTCCACTGGAACCAAGACTAAGCCAAGCATGATGGATAAGTTGAACCCAAAGAAGGATGCTGATGGTGACGGAAAAGCTGGATTCATGTCCTAAGTGCGAGGATTGGTTATTGTAATTTGTACATAGAGATGCTTTCACGGCGATATCATTCATGAAAAATGTATAATACTTGAACTTTTCAAAATACATTGCTCTTCATACAAAGTGAAGGCTATTCCAGGTCGTGAAATCATATGCGCAGTTTGCACAGCCGACAGTATCAGAACTCGTTTCAATAACTCTTCATCTGAGAGTCCTCACAATCCATTATTTCTCCTAGTCAAGATCTCGGCATCTCGGTACTCACACTTGACCTACCCCATCACCACAACTCTCAAAGCTCCACTCCCAATCCCGCTCCAAGCTCCCCGACACATCCGAAAGCCTTTTATCAACACCTCCGAGATTCAAGCATCATCTTTTCTTTTTCAAAGTGACGCACTTTCGGAAGCCCATGGTGTCGATGTGCAACAAAGGTTGGCGAGGCTAGATGAGATGCATTTTGGGAGCAGAAGAAGGAAGTAATGTTTGGTTTCGGTTGTGGATTGTGACGTCGTGGTGGCCTGGAACTGATGAGAACTTGCTTTCGGATAGCGGGCAGAGAAGGTTTGGGAAGAGGGGGTTGAGGCAAGGTTTTAAAGTTAGGTAGGAGAGGGGGAGGATAGCGCATGGCAGTGGAAGGCAGTGAGGATATGCACGTGATAGATTGATTATCCTTCGTCCCCGAGACATCGAGATCCGCCGTGAGTCTAAAAATTTGGTCAAACATGCATAAATCGATACGTATCCCAATACCTTCAAGCCCCAATTCTCAATATCTCTCAAGCAAAAACCTCACGTGAGCCATGCCCTGCCCACCGAAGCGAACACACTAATCCATAGGAACACCACAATTAGCTTTCTCTTAATCAATAAATAAAACATACATTTTCGACACTGTATCTGAACGAACCCTACTTCCATGGAAGAAGCAAGTAGCTTGTTGCCCATGCAGCCACCAACCTGGAAGTAGGAGGTCTGCAAGGCTAGTCACGTGCATTGATCAAGTCTTCTATTTTTGATTGCATGATATCTGCTTCATTTTGTATAAATCTAGTCAAGCATAAACTCAGCATGTCTTCCCTGGAGGAGCATCTACGTCTTTCTGGTGGGTTATCCCATTTCATCATCATGTCAAGAATATCAATGTATATATCACGATTCTCAGATCACTAGAGGTAGGGGGAGGGCTATTGGCCAGGACGGACTTTCGAGCGAGCCTCGTGTTATCTATCAAGAAACCTGTTGCCGTCGGATTGGCTGTATGCTTGAGAGCGCCCAGAGAGCCTTGCCATGCGAAATGACGACCGGTAATCGAATGTTCAAAACATCAGCACTCCCCCGGGCCCCGCACCTCGTCTCGACGGGCCCTAGCTTCTCTACACTACGTTCAATACAATTTCGCTCAAGTTCAATGATAAGTGTACAGAGCATAGATTACGACTCACAAGCGGATCTATTTGATTTGAAGATTGAGCCGGCAACGGCAATCAATTTACCGTTACAATGGCGGTACCAGGCTACTCGCTCAACGACCTGATCCAAGGAATCAATTTTGTGGTCGACGCTCTCTCCGCTCTAAAAGAGGACGGAGGCGCATCATCTGAATATCAGCAAACCATTCAAGAGATGAATAGTCTCGAACAGATACTGCGTAGCATACAGAGGATCACGCCGACAGAGACAAACACATCATACTTCCGCCTTATCCACACCCAAGCGAGTGAGCTGGAGGCGACCATCAGATGTTTTGTGAGCAGCACCGAAAAGTATAATGAAGCTCTTGGACATAGATCGAAACGGAGAGATGGAGTACTGCGGAAGCTTCAGTGGCATTTCGTCGAATCATCTACGGTGAAAGCCTTAAAATCAAAGCTGTCGTTCCATCTTCAAATTATCGATATGCTCTGGCAACTTTTACAATTGTGAGTATAGGCCTAAACCGGGGGAATAGGGCCATTTACTAACTTCCTCGCAGTGATTACTTGGCTACATATGAAGTCTCGAGGAAAGTCGACCATGATATGCTGTCAAGCAACTCAACGCAACTATTGTCAATCTGCAATAAAATCCACACCTCACAGATTAGCAGCAATTCATTGCTTCACAATCAAAATGCGACAGCGGCCCTTACATCGGCCACGTTCATCGAAAAGCTTGACGAGCAAATCAGGCTATCCAAGGACATATTAAACGCGCTAGCAGGACTGGAGAATACCTCAGTGGAGGTTTCAAAAGCAGATCGATCTCGGTGTAATCTTGATACCGAGACCAACCCAACGGCCTCTTTCCATGTCAATCAAACTAGGATATCCTTGGAACATCTTGGAGTCATCGCCAACAAATCCTTCCTGGAGCTGTGCAATATTCTTGACATGCAGGTCGAATTGCGAAACGAAATCAAGTGCCTTGCGGAAAAGGTCGAGAGTCTTGCGGAAAAGGTTGAGTGTAATGAAGAGCGTGGTACCTCGCTGAGAGCCATGTCGAGTAACTTGATGAACCAAGCGGGTTTATTAGGTCAAGAAATCTTCAGAAGGCAAGTACTTGGCATCTTCTTTCTAGCTAGCGAGCAAACGCAGCTAACATCGAGTCCGTAGACTTTACAGGATGACTTGCAACGTCACGAAAAATACGTGCCATCAGGTGGGGCTCTTATCAGCAATGAACCCTCTCAATGCAATAGGAGTTGTCAATCCTTGGTCAACTGCGCTGTTCATAAACTTGAAGCTAGCAATTCCTCGATCTCCGTTCAGCATATCTAGGGCCGATAGCATTCACTTTCTTGACGCCACAGGCACCTCACGCTTGCTTCCTTACATTGATTTTCAACATTATAGAGTGAGTGGAAGAAGACATTCGGATTTCATGCTTTTGTGCTAATTTACAAAAGACTTTCGTCACCATGTTGGAGGAAACTTATAGAAATACTCCTACAGGGCGCTACGTTTTCCGACGAAGATACTACTTGGTTGGAACTGGATCAAAAGACGGAGAAATTATCACCAAAGATACTTGGAGCAATCACGTCCACCCAGGAATTGGAATCGCCATGAACATCATCCTATCGCATGCCAAATTTAATAGGGCAGAATGCCCAAAGTGTAAGAGCGTCAAGACTCACATAGAAGATGAGGGTCCCTACGGCTGGTAAGCTTATTCCCTTGAGGTTTTCGCATCTTGAAAGATTCTGATAGCTTTCTGGCATAGCACTTCGTGTGGATTGATAGTCTATTCAAGAAATGCCGAAAGCCGACCAAAACGAGATCTCTGCGAAGACCAGTCAAGCAACCTTCACTCAAGTCAACAAAAGAGACCTCTGAAGTACCACAGATTCTACCAAGACCTAGCCGTTCTAGGCTTCGGCCCTGATAGATATGAAGATGAGATGCTTGAAGAGAGGGACATTAAATACTTCAAGCGTCTGAGCATACGATTCGCAAGTGATGAACACAAGCCCAACCTAGGTAAGCGTCAAGGCGGGGCCTGTATCGAATTTGCTCGTTGACACAAAAGAGCAGGCATATCTAACAACGCGCTTGCTTTACATTGCAAGTGGGCTGCCTGCAAAGCAAATGGCTTTGGAAATGTGTGGAACTTGGAGCTTCATATCTACGACAAACACACTTCAATCAATACCAGCAATCCGTCATGTCGATGGATGGACTGTACGAGCAAGAAAGTTTCAATAACAGATGCATATGCATTACGGATACATCTTCAGAGCCACTTATATCCGGCCTTTGGTGAGAAGAACCGCAGAGATACAACGAAGACAAATTCCGAAAATCGAGTGCGAGGATTGCTTAGGAGTGCCGGGTTGTACTACCCATTGACTCATGTTGATCATTTGTTGAAGTAAATGTATATTTGCGATTCAGGGGAGCCTCGCTTAAAATACTTGACTGCAGAATGCGCCTATCTGGGTTTTGCATGTTGCATTTTGGTCAGAGTGCTCGAGGATGACGAGGAAATTAGACAGATATAGGATGATTCATAGTTTGATCCAAGGTGTTGTTGTATGGACATGGTCCACGCGTGGCTGGTCGGACATGAACAGACAGCTGCGTTGGAGGACGAAACTTTTTCACCTTTACCAGCAAGACTGCATCCACTCTTTCATTGAGAGGCTGAGATCTCCGAGGAGGGAAAGTTTGAAAATCGCTCAGGCTTTGTATCCAATCTTGATTTGGTATTCTTCCCTGCCGAGCGTGCCGAGTCTGCAAATCATCAATCACTCTCTTCACAACATCCATAGCGGCCCATAAGCACTGGGTGCCCAAGGAGCCGCAAAGGTACATACTGAAGTCAGTCTTAAGCTGATTGAATCGGGACCGTCCCATCCGGTCACGAATTCCAAACCAGATCTGGCAAGATAAGCCCTGGTCCACTCAACTCTGCATGCTCTCTGCGAGCTCCGTTGCTTTTCGTCTCTCATCATTCTCACCATTTGACAAATGGTAAATTTCTGTTAGTCATAGGAAATGGAAATACATGTGATTTCCTGACTTAAGATGTTCGGATCCAGGAGATGCCTTGCATTGAATAGGTCCTCCACAGACTGGGCTGAGCTGAATGTGCCTCAAAGCCCGGATGTCTACAAGCTGAGTTCTACCAAGTTAAGGTGGAGGCTCTATGATCGAAGGTGAATGATCATCTAAAGTTTTATCTAATTGAGCCTTTTGGAGAAATCGCCAACCCGCTCGAACCCCGAAATGACGATGTCGAGGTCACATCGCTCTTTTCTACCACATCCCATTCTTGTACTTCCGTACCATCTTCACAGCATGGAGCAAGATCATTTGTTCAGGAGTCGAAGACATCCTCTACTGACACCATCCCGAATAAACCAAGACCCCAGCTCGAAACTACCTGACGATCACAAGCTGTCAAGTTGCACCTTGTCCAAAAGCATTTTGATCGTCGTAGAACAACGAGACATGAGAGGTCCAACACACATTAAGGTAGACCCAATGATCCTGCCCAGAAAGTATGGAAACTCCCCGAGCAAGCCAAGAAGGTTTGGCGCAAATGTGGAAATGCGGGGTGGATGATCCCAGTGGTGATCCCATCTGCCAAGGAGCATCTTCAGAAGCGAATGCAACTCTGGATGGAGATTCAACGTACAACGAACTTTCTCTATACTTAGCAAACTCTTTAACTTCCCAAGGTGCATACCTTCCCCTCTTCTGCGGCTGGATGAGTTGTCCCAAGACGGTCCACAAAGTTCCCGGAATAGTCTGACATTCCCGAATTGTCATCTTCCAAGATCTCAATTGGACTTAAATCTCCTTGACATACGAAAGAGGTACTCGCACCGCATCATAGAGTTTTGGATTGGTGTGTTGTGGACGATGCTGAATGGATATATTTTAGGTAAGGAAGGCTTGGGGCTGAATGTGGGGTAAGCATTAGCTTCACTTTTAAGCTTATGCTTATTTCATCGTTGATTCTGTGCAGCATCGGAAATCACGGGTTTCTCGAGCGAAAATTGCTGTGGCCTGATTATTCTGTGATGAAAAGTCATTGGCATAACCTTGTTGGTGCGTGGAATGCTTCACGCCTATGGCCTTCCGTCAGTCAGCACTTTCCAACAATGGCCCGTCAGAACAGCAGCAATGAGAGGTTGAGGCTCATCATAACTCACTCATATATGCATAGTCTATATTCGCGATCCAATCTGCTGTTGCCAAAGACAATAAAGTATGGCGATCTGATCCCGCCCAGAAGCCAAAGAAAACATTTGAGATGGTCGAAAGTATATGCACTTTTGAAGATCAACAGAGTTGGCACTTCGTATCTGCACTCTTTGTTGTCGATCAGCAGTTTGGCAATCATCTTTCCGCGCCGTAGACGTCGTTGAGAATGTCTGAAGCGCTGAAGATGACCTTCATGATCTCCGATATCGAGCAGCCTGAGTCTATAAAAGCACCTTGAACTCCTGCTCAAATGTTCTTTCCCATCACCAACAATTCAAACTTTCAAGATAATCATAATCAACAACTTCAAAATGCAGCTCACATCCATCCTCACTCTCGCCATCTTGGCTCTGGGCATTTCAGCTCATCCGAGCATGGAATCCAGAAACAGCGCTCCTAGCTGCTCAGGCGAACGGGTCTGGAACGACGCCGACAAACAGTGCGAATGCACCCCAGACAAGTCCTGGGACCAGGGCAAGCAAAAATGCTGCCATCCTCCCATGCCACAACCCCAATGCCCTCAAGGACAAAACCCATACTGCTCCAAATCCCAGAACCAATGGTGCCCATACGGTACATCTCCCCCCTCTCACTCGTCGGAATAAGAAACTAACAGCCCCCAAGATAAGAATAACGACTACTGCGAGGACAACGGCTACAACTCCGCCTGGTGCTGCGTCAAAGGTCAAGAGCCGCCAAAGATGGGCCAGATGTACCCACCCAACCCACCAGTCTGCAAAGATAAGCAAAAGTACTGTCCAGACCAGAAGCAATGCGTGTGCCCGAAACCCATGTATTGGAAGGACCAGGACCAGAAGTGTCATTATCCTGCTAAGCCAAAGCCTTCTTGTCCCGTTCTGCAGCAGCCATATTGTGGGAAGGGGAAGGATCATTGGTGTGCTTATGGTGAGTTTCGTTGAGATGAAGGAGAATATGGTGGCTAATGCGAGGTAGATGCTAATAACCAGGACTGTGAGGATGATGGAACTTGCCACACTTGGTGTTCTAGCCCGTTGACGGTTCAGGGGATGGTGAATTCTATTTTTGATCTTTTGTGAGGGGTACTTTTCTCGGAGCGTGTGGACACTCATTTGGTAACGGGACTCGATGACTATGGATTACTTCACGTGTGTACAGTACATAATAAGGAAAAGCGTTTTGTTTCTCGCGCATTGATGACTTCATTGGTGGTCCCAAACTATTGATGCCGCGTGATATGGCTCCGTCTTGCCGGTGGTGTATCACTGTTGTCCAGAACCTTCTGCTTTATCAGGTAAAGGCGCGACAAAAGACCCAAGTTGGTCACTAGGTAGACAACCAACACTTGATTGGTCATCTGTAGATCGAAATCCCAAATCAAAATTCGCTTGTTGACCAGAACCTTGTTAACCAGAACCTTGCTAATCTTCACGGGCCCATGCAACATAAAAGAATACACCCAAACCCCGAACAAAACTGTGCTGGTCCTTGAAAACTCCAAGAAAGTTCGTCAAGCGAACGAACGGGGTATATTCAAACAAGCAATAGCAACTAAATACCGATCCCAGATCTATGTACCTCAACTCCCACACCAAAACCTGAATTACAATGAGCTCCCTTTGGAGATATATCGTCGAATTATGTCGCCTTCCGGGGTATCTCTATCAGTCAAAACATCTTCTCCCATCAGCACCTCTTCTTTCTGACCTAGTTTCTCAATATTCCTATCCATCTTGGCGAAATCAACCTCACTTGTCGTCCTCGCCATTCCGATATTCTTTGGCTTCCGACGAGATTTCTCCTTCTCCTTGCCTTTGCCTTTTATCGATGGAGGGTCGTTTTCCACAGAGCTGTTGCCTGCTGTCCTCATGCCTCTGAATTCCTTGACAACTTCAGCGAATCCTTCCTCCAAAGTCTTCATTCGCGCTAGCATCAGCCGTCCCATCATGCCGTCGGTATCCTCACCCTTCTCTGCAGCTCGATTATATGCTTTCAACCCACCGGTCGCCATAGCTAGTTGAGTTGCAAACGAGCTGGGAACACCGCCCAACATACCTGGAGCATTGTTCTCCAGCCCAATTTCAGACATTCCCATGTCAAAACTTGATCTCCTGTGACGAACCTGCCGAGTCCTACTGCCAGTGGCCAGTTGAGAATCTAAATTAAAATTGGGAACCGATTGGAAGTTCTGTCGCGCGGGCATGATCGGTCTTGCTTTCGTTTGGGCATAAATTGAATTCTTTGGCGTCCGATGTCCAGTAGGTGTATGAGCTCTCGTATTGACATTCGAGTGATGCTTCGCCGTCAGAGGTCGAGATCTGGGTGGCGATGCAGAAGAATTTCGATCTGCAACCGGATTGTACAGGATGGTGTTGCTTGATAGGTTGCGACCATGTCCTCGGCGTCGAGGTGGAGATTTCGGCGGTACTACAAGATTGGACTCGAATCGTTGCTTGCGGGACGAGACAGAAGACGGAACGACTGTGTCAGGGCGGGTGGCCGTTGGGGTCGCGAAGTAGCTTCCTGTATTATCGGCACTGGTTGCTCGACTTCGAGTATGTGTTGTTGCCTTATCAAGCGTAAACCCTTCATCGTCGTCGTGGGTATTCAGTTCATCATCGCCATCCTCATCTGAATGATCATCCACATTTTCAGGGGTTGCTGGGTTGTCCTGATCGCCATGATCGAAGCCACCATGTGACATGAATTCGGCAGGATCGCTGGCAACTGATCTTGTCCCAGAGATACCACGATGTCTCAACATCGTAGCTTTTCTAGCCTGCCGCCTCATCTCTAGTCGATCAACAATCGAACGATCTTGCTCTTGAGGTGGACTTGCTACACCACTATGATGATCCATCCAATTGCTAACAACATTCTCAGTCTGCCGACGCTCGATACTTCTGCGAGTGCTTCGCAAAGTATCGGGCCTCGGTGCGAGTCTAAATACTTCTTCCAAAGCTTTGTCTTTCTGAAAGCCAGCGACTGATTCTTGACGTAGTCGAGCATTGGGACTGAATAGCGCAGTCTTGGTATCTTGGAAAGAAATAATTCTTCTTCTGCCCCGAGGGTTGTTCTCGATGAGATCTGCAGGATCAAAGACGGTCCGAGCAAGAAAGATTCTCTCATAGATATAGATACCGAAGAGTAAAGGGAAATGGCTGATCTTGATAATCGTCCGATTGGTCTTGACGAATAGTCGGAATGGAAGACAGAACCTCAAAGGGGTCAGCATCCAAGCAAAGATGTTGCTCGGTGCAACGTATGAGAATAGAGCATCATTCTTGACCATTGAGATTGTGTTGACAGCAAAAACAAATTGATGTTCCTGATCCGCATTTGACACGATTGCCATAAAGGAATTAGTCAAGACTGTGATCAGAATGGTGACAATCAAGAAGTGACAAATAAACAGAAATAGTACAAGCAGAGCTCTTCCCAATCCATTGTAGGTCTCCCACGCTTCCCATGCAGCGGGTGTAAATCCCATCAAAATTTGAAAGATTTTATATGCCACTTCTGCTGCGTCGTATTGCCCTTCACCAAATGACAACGTAAATGCGACAAAAAATCCGCTGCAAGCAATCAGCACCAACACGAAAACAGCTACAAGATCGATGGCCATTAATCGGAAAGCAATCAATAGCTGAGAGAAATATCGATAATGGTCCAGCACACTGAATAGTCGTGGGAATAACAGGATCGCATTAGTAGCGAGGACATCGTACGCCATACTGTTCCAACCATGCCGCCCTTCTCCAACAAGAAATAGGCCGTATAAACGCATGCAATAGTATATGGTGAGAAGTAGAAGGATGCCTAGATCGAAAGCATTCCAAAAGCTCATGATGTACAGACTGAAGCCTTGCTCATTGAAGCCGACGACCTCGTCCAGCATAAAGCCAAAACTCCAAAACCAGAAAACGACCTCCAGGGTTGTAATTCCCGTCGAGCGCTGACTTAGGACGGCGATGAAAAGGCCAAGAAGTATAGCAAGAGAGCAAGTCGAGAAGAATTGTCTGTATCGTGGAACCCGTAATCTAGAGAGCTTGAACAGCGAAGCGTCTCGTGGATCATAGAGCGTGACGGTTCTTCGCACCTGAGTCGAGAATTGTGGCGGCGGCTCCTTATCTGGAGATGTGTGGCCTCGATTGGCCGTTCCATAACCAGTATTTTGGCCTGGAACTGTCAAAAAGGGTGTGCTCTCGTTTCGTCTTCGGTATTCTTGCATCTGCGGCTCAGGTTGTCGACGATGTAGATTGTCTGCTGCTGAATGAAATACTATAGTACCAGCCCAGATGGCCTCGAGTTGTTGGACAACAAGAGGATGTGCAAGGAATCGTTTTGCAGACGCTCTAATAGCCACTTCCAATGTCGATATTCGTGCAGCCACAGGTCGAGGTCGAACTTGTCCATTGGGTGAGACAGGAGCAGAGAGTCCTTGCAGCGGATAAAAATCATACGACAAGGCATCGATCAGTTCTCGTGTATTGTATTCCTTCAACAGTTTGATTGCAAGCAATTCGCAGACCAAAGCTCTCGTCCTACTGTTGCCAGCATTTCCTGGGTTTGCCTGGCTTTCTTTCTGGAACTGCAAGCAATTGGCCATCAAGGCATATAACGTCGCTCGGGAGAAGTGTGATGTTCGAATCTGCTGCTGCATCGGTTTGACCAGGAATTGAGAGACCTGGGGCGATCGAAGCTGGTCCCAGGTCAATGTAGTTTCGGTTCGAGGGAGGACAATCAATCGTATCGCATGCGTGAGGTTATAGACAGGTAGAGCATCTGCTGAAGTTAGCAACGAGGCTGTGAATAGCATCGACGACATACCAAGATGGGCAGCGGAGAAGATGGGCAGTAGAGGAGAATCTTCTGCGCCATCTTCCTCATCTAGGTCTTCCTCCCCATCCTCCTCTTCCTCATCAGACTCCTCGTCTTCGCCATCATCTTCTGTAAAATCTGCAGTGGCGTGTCGTCGTTGTTCGTAAGGCGTGGTGAAAACAGAAGTTTCCTCGACGTGTCGGCGATTCTTCTTGGGCCGCAGCAATGAAGACAACATTTTGTTGTAGAAATGGAAATTGAAAATCGAAAACCGTTCCTTCCTCCTCCCAAAGCCCTATTGTCCCTGACTGACAAGCACCTAATTGTTGTGGCTGGTGTGGAAGTTCCGATCAGACATTGTGCGAGACAAGGCGGCAATAAATAATAAATAAATCACGTCGGGATCTGGCTCATCTTCGGCTCCGTCGATCACAACACAATAAACGGGAAGGAAGAGAAGTGGGAATACCCTCACAATTTCCTGGTCAAGTATGACTGGATGTTGCTTATCTTTAAGGTTGAACACATGACTCTGATAATGGCAAAAATGGTGACGGAGTTCTAGGATTGTTGGTGCAACCATCATGAGTCGAGGGCAAACTCGCATGCGGAGTGCAGCTGAGATGGCTGCACGAGCTGCAGATCCAATCAAGACACCACCAATGAGACATACGGAATCTTCACACGCCTCACCTCTTCTCTCACCGCTGAACACCGCCGGGAAGATAATGTCAGGTTAGTCATGCAGGAAGATGCATGTGATGGGAATAGATAATTGACAGAGCAGGGACAATTAATTATCTTCGAATATTCGTGGATAGATCGGACAATAGCTTCAGTGTTGAATGTGCGTCGTCGTCGGCGTTGCGATTGGCCTCCCGCTGTTTGGGACACTGTGCCGAGGCTGACATGCAAGGCTACTTACCTGCACTGAACGGCTTACTTCTCTTGTCTGACCACCACCGCCCAGAAAGAGGGAAAAGACTATTGAATGAAATGGGAGATAGTGATGACTGCAATAATCAGTTCTGACATTGTATAAATTGGGAACTATGTGTGAATGAGGAAGGTATCAAGACCGCATCAATCACCAGTGATACAGCAGTATATTTCGAGTCAAGCACTTCAGATCCCTACTCTTGCAGTATCAGATGCAAGGCTAGAAAGCCAATTCTTTAAGATCGTCAACGGCTGCCGACCGGCAGGAAAACGGTGTGCTCTGCATTTGGGAGGGACTTGGATCTCCTCCAAACAAAATATTATAAAGCACAAGGGATAGTGCCCCAAATGAATCCGAATTGTCGAGCTGATGGCGGTATATCATAAGGACCGGGTTCAGATGCAAGGCTAAGTCCCGTTTCGATGCGGGCTACCTTGCTTTTGCCGTGTCTGCCCCTCATCACTCACGAAGTTCTACCTCGACATCGCCAAAAATGGCGTATGTGATGAAGCCTGTATCGAGTGTCACTCCATGTAAGTTGGGAATCGGTTTGTAAAAAAAAAAAAAACTCATGAATTCACCACCAAGAATACAAAATGGCATTTCAAGCCCCTGCAGCACTTTAACCGGATCAAGTATAGCGTTTTACGGAACAACAGTTAATCCGCTGCCCACTAATTTTTCTTTACTATCCGCCTCGAAGGTGCGAAAATTCTGTTCCTCTTTCTGCACTTTACTGTGTACGCAAAGAGCATACATACTTTGATGATCTGAAAACTCGAGCCTACAATAGCAGCAATTGATATTGTCTGTGGCTCTAGAGGTTTTCTACCTCGTCCCTTCCCGCGTGGACCTTGTCCCGCGTCTTCTCTCCCTCTTCGTCCATTAGAAACTCAGCCGCACCGACTAGGACATTCTCCTTTGGTTTTTCCACTTGGGGTTTTCGCTATATTCCGCCTTTCAAGGACCTCAATTGATATATGAACACATCGATCATTACTTGGAAACAAGCTGCAATCATGGCTTCTACGGTATACCCGCCCGTTACCGCCCAATACGCAGAGGGGGAAAGCTTGATTGCCCTCGAGCTTCAAGATGGTGTCGTATACCAAGGATACAGTTTTGGAGCAGAAAAGAAGAGTGTTGCAGGAGAATTGGTCTTCCAAACGGGCATGGTGGGGTACCCAGAATCTGTAACGGACCCCTCATACCGAGGCCAAATCTTGGTCATTACATTCCCTTTGGTTGGCAACTATGGTGTCCCATCTCGAGAGACTCTGGATGAGCTCCTCAAAGATCTGCCAGCACACTTCGAAGCCTCGCAGATTCACATTGCTGGTCTTGTTGTGGCCTCTTACTCGGGCGAAGACTTCTCGCACTTCCTTGCAACATCTTCTCTCGGAACATGGCTGAAGGAGGAAGGTGTTCCTGCCATGTATGGTGTGGATACCCGAGCATTGACAAAGAGAATTCGAGAAGAAGGTAGCATGCTTGGACGCATGCTGGTTCAGAAGCAAACCCTGACCAACGGTTTGACTAATGGACACACCAATGGCACATCTGCGATCATTTCGAACAGCTGGAGATCTTCTTTCGAGACAATCGACTGGGTAAATCCAAACACAAAGAACCTCGTTGCAGATGGTAAGTTTTCATGCAAAACCCTAAATTCTGGGTTGACATTTCTATGTAGTTTCGATCAAAAAGCCCAAATTATATTCCCCAAATCCCGCGAATGCCTTGAAACACCCTTCTGGTAGCCCTGTACGTGTGCTGTGCTTGGATGTTGGATTAAAATACAATCAATTGCGGTGCCTGTTGAAGAGAGGTGTAGAAGTACTCGTCTGCCCCTGGAACTACGACTTCCCAGCCCTTGCCGGCAAGGACTATGATGGATTGTTCATTTCCAATGGTCCTGGAGATCCTGCCTTGATGGCCGAGACTGTCAAGCATATTGCATCTGCCATTCAAGAGAACAGAACGCCAATCTTTGGTATTTGTCTTGGTCACCAATTGCTGGCTAGAGCCGCAGGAGCAAGGACGTCGAAGATGAAATTTGGAAACCGTGGGCATAATATCCCTTGTACGAACATGTTGACTGGAAAATGTCACATTACATCGCAGAATCATGGTTTTGCTGTCGATGCAGATTCCCTGCCGGCTGAATGGACAGAGTTGTTCGTAAATGCCAATGATGGAAGCAATGAAGGCATTCGCCACATCAATAGACCTTACTTCAGTGTACAATTCCATCCGGAGAGCACCCCCGGCCCTAGGGATACCGAGTTCCTCTTTGATGTCTTCATCAACACGATCACGGACACTCTGAAAGACACCGGACTTCTCACAGCGCCTGTCCATTTCCCAGGTGGTGATGCCGCTGAGACTGAGAGACTACATCCCAAGATTGATGTCAAGAAAGTACTGGTTCTCGGCTCTGGTGGTCTCTCTATCGGTCAAGCTGGAGAGTTTGATTACTCTGGAAGTCAAGCAATCAAGGCTCTGAAGGAAGAGGGAATCTTTACCGTGTTAATAAACCCCAATATCGCAACTATACAAACATCGAAAGGCTTGGCTGACAAGGTTTACTTCCTGCCCGTTACAGCCGAGTTTGTGCGGAAAGTCATTATCCACGAACGCCCAGATGCAATTTATGTGACCTTTGGTGGTCAAACTGCACTTCAGGTCGGTATCCAGCTCAAGGACGAATTTGAAGAACTCGGGGTAAAGGTGCTTGGTACCCCAATCGAAACCATCATCACTACTGAGGATCGAGAACTGTTTGCTCGCAGCATGGAATCGATTGGCGAAAAGTGCGCGAAATCTGCTTCTGCCAGTACTACCGAGGAAGCCATGCGAGTGGTCAAAGGCATTGGATTCCCTGTCATCGTCCGGGCTGCATATGCTCTCGGTGGTCTCGGCAGTGGATTTGCAGACAATGAGAAGGAATTGATTGCTCTCTGCAACAAGGCATTTGCAGCCAGTCCACAAGTTCTAATTGAACGTAGTATGAAGGGTTGGAAGGAGATTGAATACGAAGTGGTACGAGACGCTCGAGATAACTGCATCACTGTATGCAACATGGAGAACTTCGATCCTCTGGGCATTCACACTGGCGACTCGATTGTGGTCGCTCCATCCCAAACACTCTCCGATGAAGACTACAACATGCTACGAACCACGGCAGTCAATGTCATTCGCCATCTCGGTGTTGTCGGAGAATGCAACATTCAATATGCCCTCAATCCGTTCTCTCGAGAATACTGTATCATCGAAGTCAATGCAAGATTGTCTAGATCGTCTGCATTGGCATCAAAGGCTACAGGATACCCGTTGGCGTTCATTGCTGCCAAGCTCGGTCTGGGGATCCATCTCAATAAGATCTCCAATTCCGTCACCAAGGTCACCTGTGCTTGTTTTGAGCCTTCACTTGATTACGTTGTGGTCAAGATGCCGAGATGGGATCTGAAGAAATTCACCCGTGTCTCTACGCAACTCGGCTCGTCCATGAAGAGTGTTGGTGAAGTCATGAGCATTGGCAGAACATTTGAAGAAGCTATACAGAAGGCAATTCGTGCCATTGATTTCCACAACCTTGGCTTCAACGACACAAAAGCTCTGATGTCCATTGATGATGAGCTTCAAACCCCTTCGGACCAACGTCTGTTCGCTATTGCCAACGCCATGCATTCGGGCTACTCTGTCAACAAGATCTGGGAAATGACAAAGATTGACAAGTGGTTCTTGAGCAGGTTGAAGGGTCTGAGTGATTTTGGCAAGATGATGACCAAATTCAATGCAAGCACGATCACAACGAACCTCCTTCGCCAGGCAAAACAACTCGGTTTCTGCGATCGCCAGCTGGCTAAATTCTGGAGCTCGAACGAACTTGCTGTGCGGCGACTGAGAGTTGAAGCTGGAATTGTTCCTGTCGTGAAGCAGATTGATACGGTCGCGGCCGAGTTTCCCTGCACGACAAACTACCTCTACTTGACGTACAATGGGTCTGAGAATGATATTTCATTCAACGACCATGGTGTGATGGTTTTAGGATCTGGTGTTGTAAGTCCTCTAGTCCTAGGAGATATTTCCGTCTCCAGTGCCATAAAGAGTGCTCTTGAGATGATTGCATGGCCCCTGCATTTTCCCTCAAGACAGTGCTGACTTTGGGAATCAACAGTATCGTATCGGCAGCTCTGTAGAATTTGGTAAGGCAATCCAGCTCCTTTTCTGTTGCGGATTCAAGAGCCAAGTTCTTCGGTCTTACTTTTCGGAGCAGATTCGGCTCTTCAGCTCTGCCCATCCTGAAAAATTCCTAGAAACTCATGCTGACTTTGCACTAGACTGGTGTTCTGTGCGTGCAATCAGAACTCTTCGTGAGACCGGATTCAAGACAGTCATGGTCAACTACAATCCCGAGACAGTGAGTACTGACTACGACGAAGCCGATCGACTCTACTTTGAGAACATCAACTTGGAAACAATCCTCGACATCTACCAACTTGAAAACTCCAGCGGTGTTCTCATTGCTATGGGCGGTCAGACACCAAACAATATCGCCCTACCTCTTCATCGCCTCAACATTAAAGTCCTCGGCACATCTCCCGAAATGATCGATACAGCGGAGAACCGTTACAAGTTCTCCAGAATGTTGGATCGGATTGGAGTTGATCAGCCAACATGGAAGGAATTGACCAGCTTCGAGGAAGCCAAAGTCTTCTGCAAGAAAGTGTCCTATCCCGTTTTAGTTCGACCTTCATACGTTCTATCTGGCGCAGCCATGAACACTGTTTATTCGGAGGCAGATTTGGAAGCATATCTTGCTCAAGCTGCAGAGGTCTCTAGAGAACATCCAGTTGTCATCACCAAATACATCGAGAACGCCAAAGAAATCGAGATGGATGCAGTTGCCAGAGATGGATCTATGGTCGGACATTTCATCTCGGAGCATGTGGAGAATGCTGGAGTACACTCTGGTGATGCTACATTGATTCTACCGCCCCAAGATCTTGAGCCAACCACAATTCAACGAATTGAGGAAGCTACACGCAAGATTGGCGAAGCTCTGAATGTTACTGGCCCTTTCAACATTCAGTTCATTGCCAAGGACAACGATATCAAGGTCATCGAATGTAACGTTCGAGCATCTCGTTCGTTCCCGTTCGTCTCGAAGGTCATGGGAGTTGATTTGATCGAGATGGCGACGAAAGCAAGTAGGTGGAAATCTCCATTCTGAATTGCTGTTTCCCTATATGAGCGCTCTGGGAGCCAAGAGACGTGGAGCTGAAACATCTCATAAACGGAGACCATCCACTTATTGGCTCTGCGGCGGCTCCCGGCTCCCAGAGCATCTCACTTCCTTTTCCGCTTTTTACTACGCTAATTCGTTGCAGTCATGGGCGTTCCATTTGTGGAATACCCACCCACAGAATTGCCACCCAATTGTGTCGGTGTCAAGGTCCCACAATTCAGTTTCTCACGTCTCTCCGGTGCTGATCCGGTTCTTGGTGTTGAAATGGCATCGACTGGAGAAGTCGCCTGCTTTGGCATTGACAAATATGAAGCCTATATCAAAGCTCTGATCTCGACCGGATTCAAGCTGCCAAACCGCAACATTCTTCTGTCCATTGGATCTTACAAAGACAAGAAGGAGATGCTACCATCGGTGGTTAAGCTCAATCGCATGGGATACAAGCTATTCGCCACTGCCGGTACTGCCGATTTCCTGCAGGAACACGACGTACCGGTTCAGTATCTCGAGATTCTCGGACCAGATGAGGATGATCAAAAATCGGAATACTCCTTGACTCAGCATCTTGCAAACAACATGATTGACTTGTACATCAATCTCCCTTCTAGCAATCGCTATAGACGTCCGGCAAATTACATGAGCAAAGGTTATCAAACACGAAGAATGGCCGTGGACTATCAAACTCCATTAGTGACCAATGTCAAGAATGCGAAGATTCTCATCGAGGCCATTGCACGCCATTTCGATCTCGAGATTAGCGCTATCGATGGTCAGACCAGTCACCGAACTGTGGTGCTCCCAGGTTTGATCAACATTGCGGCTTTTGTACCTGGTATTGCAGTCGCAGGCAATCACGACTTCCAAACTGTTACTCGAGCATCGATTGCCGCTGGCTTCACTATGATTCGAACCATGCCTCTTGGTCTTGAAGGTTCCGTGACAGACGCTCGCGCTTTGAAGACAGCCCAGAAGAATGCCAAGCGTGCTGCTTGTGACTACAACTTCTCTGTTGCGGCAACTTCTGCCAACGCCGATCAGATCAGCCAAGTCACTGGTGAAGTCGGATCTCTCTTTATCCCTTTCAATCATCTAGCAGATAACATCAGCAAGGTTGCCGCTGTCACTGCTCATTTCGAGGCATGGCCAAACTTCAAGCCAATCGTGACGGATGCAAAGATGACTGATCTTGCTTCGATTTTTCTTCTAGCAAGTCTCCACAACAGAAAGATCCACGTCAACAGTGCCACTACCAAGGATGACATCAAATTGATTGCTCTGTCCAAAGCCAAGGGCCTGAGGGTTACTTGTGATGTTGCCGTCTATTCGCTGTTCTTATCTCAAAGCGACTTCCCTGAAGCCAAATTCTTGCCTACTACCGAAGACCAGGCTGCTCTTTGGGAGCATATGAGTATCATCGATGTTTTCTCTGTCGGTAGCTTGCCATACCAGCTCGCTCATGCTGTCAAGCAACCGCCAAATGCAGCAGTCGGAATTGCCGATACTCTACCACTCCTCTTTACGGCTGTTGCAGATGGGAGACTTACTGTGGATGATATCAAAGCCCGCCTTCACGATAACCCCAAGGACATCTTTGAGCTCCACGACCAGGTTGGCGCTTCCGTTGAGGTTGAAATCGATCGGCCATATACATTTGCTCCTGTTGGCGTTTGGTCACCCTTCACTGGCAAGAAGACACACGGCGCCGTTCAGCGAGTCATCTTCCAGGATAAGACAGCTTGCCTAGACGGCGAACCTTCCGCCGACTTGATCGAAGGCAAGGACATGTCCTCGCACTTGATTGACGCTCATCTGGCGACTCCACTATCACCAGTCGTGAAGCCAGTGCTTGGCTCTCCCGCACTGGGACCAAGACCGGAGAGTTCTCATGGCTTCCATGGCCGCCGTCAATCGATGATTGGGGCCCCTGCAATGCGTCCTGCCAATCGTTCACGATTTTTGGATGGAGCTACTCAATCACCACAGCGATCCAGTACCGAGGATTTCGGGTCTATCTTATACCACCAGCCAACCATCTCCCCATCCCTGCAATCGCTTCTTGCCCAATCACCATTTAAGAATCAGCATGTCCTATCTGTGAACCAGTTTACTCGCCAAGATCTTCACTTGCTGTTCACTGTCGCTCAAGAAATGCGTTTGGGAGTTCAGCGAGAAGGTGTGCTCTCAATTTTGAAAGGCCGAGTTCTGATGACACTTTTCTATGAGCCATCCACTCGAACTTCTGCTTCGTTTGATGCAGCTATGCAACGACTTGGTGGTCGTACGGTTGCGATTGCGACAAACCATTCCAGCACGCAAAAGGGTGAATCTCTGGCTGACTCTATTCGGACACTTGGTTGTTACGGTGATGCAATCGTTCTTCGTCACCCCGATGAGAGCAGTGCTGCAACTGCGGCTAAGTTCTCTCCCGTTCCAATTCTCAATGGAGGCAATGGCAGCAAGGAACATCCTACACAAGCGTTCCTCGATCTATTCACCATTCGTGAGGAACTCGGTACTGTTACTGGTCTCACAATTACATTCACCGGTGATCTTAGATATGGTCGCACTGTTCACTCTTTGGTCAAGTTGCTGCAACACTACGATGTCAGCATCCAGCTGGTATCTCCCAAAGCATTGGCCATTCCAAGCGAGATTAGGGAATTGATCAAGTCCAAGCCTGGTCAGCTCTTGATTGAGACGACTGAGCTGACACCGGAGATCGTCGCTCGTAGTGACGTTCTCTACTGTACTCGGGTCCAGAAGGAGAGATTCGAGGACTTGGACGAGTATGAGAGATTGAAGGATAGTTTCATTGTCGATAACAAGACCTTGAAGAATGCCAAGAGCACGATGATTGTCATGCATCCTCTGCCTAGAAACAAGGAGATTGGTGAAGAGGTGGACTTTGATCAGAGGGCGGCATATTTCAGACAGGTAAGCATCATCTTCATGTTTCCAAAACAAAGCTAACGAAATCCAGATGAGATATGGTTTGTATACCCGAATGGCTTTGTTGGCTTTGGTTTTAGCTCCTTAAGTTTTGCTTTGATGGTGTTTTCAGCGAAGGAAAAGTTTGTGTTTAGGAATAAAATTACTAGACCGTATAGCCTCTAGGCCGTAGATGAGAAATGATTGTAGAACGAATTATTTTTGGTGTAAGGCGTCCGTGTGGGTTGTGTATGCAGGTGCTTAGGTGTGTGCGTACGTTGTGTTTGTGGTTACTGTATGTATTTATGTAGACTACGTCTGTATATAGCGAGTGTATGCTCATCAATTTATCGCAATCATCGGTTTCCATTCCCCCGCAACCAACAAGTCAGACAACGAATCCATAAAGTCCATCATAATGTCAAATACCCGGTCTTTTTCCTACTGGCACCAGCCCCGTGGATCATGGAGCTTGGCGATTTTACTGAATCGGGCATCTCGAGACAAAGTGGTTACGGTGGTTGAGGGCTGTCGACTGGATTGTCGACGTGGTTGTGTGGAGCAGGGTAGACATGGGATCCTTTGAGGTGAAGGTGGATTGATGAGTGCTGGAGATGGTGAGTGAAGATTCGAGTGGAAAATTTGGATGATACTTACGATTGTTCTTGCTGGTTGTGGATAGGGGAGCCTGCATCAGACAAATGGAGAGCAGAGTTTGCTGATTCTGGGTCTTGGCACTTTTGAATGGTCGCCATGATGGTTGAGATTGTGATGGAAATCGCAGGCTTAGAAGAAGTGCTTAATCAATTATAAATTGTGGAATTGTACAGATACGATGGAAGATAACAGCAGCATCTTGGAGTATGGGGGACATAGATATATACACATTGTGTTCCGCTTCAAAGGTCCCGAGGCCCATCGTTGACTCTGATCACTATTCACGAACTCGAAGCAATGCATGCAATAAAAAGTTATTGGCTTCCCCGCAAGAGTCTCAATGCAGAGCCTCATGTGAAGAACTTTGATTCGCAACCTCGCAAGTGAAGATGAAGTTATCGCCAGATTCGAGACTTGCAACCCAGAAGTTCGGCTTCCAACGTCAGCATATGGGACAGGGATGTCCCTACGACAGATCCAATCAATTCCCCCTACTCGGCTGCAGCCACCAAACCGTGCCCCGTCAGATTTCGCCTTGCTGTGCCACTTATCATGGAAGCGAGCCGAGTTCCAGGGGTCTCGAAATGCGACCACGAGGGAACGCGCCTCGCCAGCCAATCCCCATTGAACGAACCGACCAATCCCACTTCGTCAATGTCCAAAAATGGAAGCCTGAAGCTTGAGGGTCCTTGCAATGAGGCTGATGCTTCGTGGCAGAGCAGCTAGATGTTGTCCGTACGAGGGCGATGTGTTTGATGACTGCTCGTAAGGACATCGAGAAGAAGTTATAAGAAATGGAGAAGTTCTTGGATTCTAATCATCAGACAGCCCTTCGACTCTGCAGCTTTTCCAGAGACAACATTTTACGCTCTTCACCCTTCCATTAACGGACTTTTTCGACAGGACAAAATGTCTTCAACATGTAAAGGTCAGTATCATGAAGTCAATAGAATTCCAGACTTCTCTAACACAAATCAGATGTCACTGCTCCAAACACGATGTGGAATTTCTGCCCATCGGTTGGTCCCGCCTATCTCTTCGCAATTCTCTTCGCCTTGACTACCATCACGCATCTTGGCCAAGCAATCTACTACAAGAAAGCATACTGCTGGGTGATCATTCTATCGGGTCTTGCACAGACACTTTGCTACATCTTCAGAGTTTTGAGTATCTTGAATCCCGAGGTTTTTGGAGACTATGCGGCTTGGTTCATCTTGATTCTGGTAAGTCTATCATCTAGGAGGTTGTCTTTTTCTAACCACAACAGATTGCACCGCTCTTCACCAATGCGTTCGTATATATGGTGATGGGAAGGATGGTCTGGAACTACATCTCTTCTGCAAAGATTTATCGCATCACCGCATGGCGATTTGGAACTTTTTTCGTGATACTTGACGTCTGGTAAGAAATCTCTCGGGGAAAGGGATGAACTTAAGCTGATTTGGAAAGTGCTTTGCTCGTCCAAATTGTCGGAGCTGCCTCTGCAAGCGGGAACAACGAAGCAAACAACAAGGTGTTAGACGGGCTTCATATCTATATGGTTGGAGTGGGAATCCAGCAAGCCTTCATCCTGCTGTTCTTCGTGTTCGCCATCAAATTTCATCGCACTTATCTTGCGGAAAGTCGTCAGCAGAAGAAGGGAAACTCTCCTTTGGTTCTACTATACGTCATGTATGCAGCTTTGGCTCTGATCACTGTAAGTTCTCCGAATCTAGTCTCAGCCATCTACTGATGATATCAGCTGCGTATCATCTTCCGACTCTGCGAATACGCTCAAGGACTGAACAGCAAGATCCCAAATCACGAAGCGTTCCAATACTGTCTCGACTCACTTCCAATGTTGATTGCACTGGTACTCTTCAATATTGTACACCCCGGACGAGTGATGGCAGGGAAAGAGAGCAGCATTCCCGGCAGGAAAGAGAGGAAATACAAGCACGTTTCCAATAAGGCAGAGCGAGAAAGTCTCGGGGAGAATATGCAGGTTTTGGGAGCATAGGAATATTGTCAGCATGAACGAGTAATACCAATGATCAAGCTTTGCGAGGCGTCAGACGGGGAATTAGTTAGGTATTTTGGTGTAATTTAGAGTTCTTACTGTTATTGTAGCGTAGAAATAGTGCATTCAACCCCTGAGGTTGCAGTCATCAACCCTGTGACACAGGTGGCTGAAGCGCCTTAAAGATCCCTGAAATCCCAGCGCTGGAGCCTGGCTCGAAATTTACTGCGGCGCGGCGTTGTTGTACTTTCTTCCTTAACCTTGTTTCAAATACCCCACCAAAACACTTACTTTCTTCTTTACTGAACATAGAGAAATCTACTCCAAGGCTCGTCTTCATTCTTGATAGCAAATATTGCTCGAATTATTATTTCTGGAAGCCCTACTAATCTTCCACTCGGCCGCCTCGAAGAATGCCCCGAGTCGCGCGAGGTCAGAGGAAGCGAGCGTACAAACCAAAAACTAGGACTGGCTGTAGAACATGCAAGTAAGTTTGAATACCTCTTGATTGTCCATGCTGACCCATGCAGAGGTGAGAGCTTCCACCGAGTCAGGAATTGTGCTCATGATATAAAGTACGACATGTCAAATGTGGAGAAGAACGACCCTCGTGCGATAAGTGTACGTCTACGGGTCGAACATGCGATGGCTATGATTTTACAGCCGAAGAACCATCATCAAGTCGCTCAAGCAGTACTCATTCTTTAGTCCCTACATTGGGAACTTCGCCATCATCAAGTATCGTTGCTAACGACCGCGAGCAACGATCGTTTCACTTCTTCCGCCAGACGACTGTAGCTCATCTATCGGGATGCTTTAGCGAAGATGTCTGGGACAATCTCGTTCTTCAAACATCCCATCACGAACCTGCGATCAGACATGCAATCATTGCTCTGGGCTCCCTGCACGAAAGATACGTGACCCATGCTGCCTTGATCAATAGGCAAGATGCGTTAGATGATTTCGCTCTCCAGCAGTACAATCTGGCTATTCGATCTCTGATGGAACCATTGTCGAGAAAGAAGCGGCTGAGTGTGGACGTGTGTTTGGTGGCTTGTATATTGTTTGCTAGCTTTGAGGTAGGTTCTTCTCTGATATCGTCGTTGAAGCATGCTGTAGGAGTCTTCAATCACATAATATCTCGACCAAAGATGAATGGCAGATGCGAAACCCCTTTCCTCCAAAAACAGACGAGTTAAACTGACGAGGACCAGAGTATGCAAGGCAGCTACGGCCCTGCCATTGCACATATCAGGAGCGGAAATAAAATTCTTCACGAACTGCAATACGACGAGACAAATAAGGAATATTCTCATCACACCCTGGAGGTCTCTCGGAATCCATACGTACCCACAAATGTTGTGGAAGATCTCTTCCTTCGCCTCGATTTTCAAGCTACGCAGGTATGTTCCCAACTCTTATGCTAGACCCTGCTGAAATAGATAGATGGTTGGTGAACACAGTTGGGAATTTTACGGAAAGTCAAGTAGGACACTACAAAAACTTACCCCTCCTCGCACTTTCACCGCTCTGTCGATGGCACGAGAGCAGTTCATTCTGTGCTGGCACCGCTGCTCTTTCCTCCTACACGAGCTCGATCAAAATCTCGAGTCGCCTGACATCATGGCGCTGTTCGCCACCTGGCAAAAGACGTCGTCCGGTATCGTCGACGCCTGGAATGCTGCATTTGAGTCCTTCCTTGAGGAGAACGAAGACAAACTGTCAGAAAATGAGAAAAGGGGCGCAGCAATCATGAAGATCTTGAAGGCAACTGGTTTCATGGCACTTCGTAACGCCCATCCTACAGCCCATGATCAGGTGAAGTGGGATCAGTTTCGCGATCAGTATGAGGAGATCGTGGATCTCGCTGAAGGAATCATTAGCTCCAGTGCTGGAATACCGCAGTTTTCACTGGACATGGGAATCGTTGGCCCTCTGTATGAAGTCACTGCTCGGTGTCGAGATCCATTCGTTCGAAGGAGGGCGATATCGTTGTTGAAGTCTGCACAGCGGCAGGAAGGAGTTTGGAATTCTTTCTTGACAGCTACAGTAGCCGAAAGAGTTGTGCAGATTGAGGAAGGAGGGCTGGGAGAGGTGAATTGCTGCGAAGACATTCCTGACTGGGCAAGGATTTCCAGTGTTGCTCCCACCTTTGATCATATGGGAAGAAGGGCGATTCTGAGGTACACACGACCAGGAAGTAAGCATAGTATGGTGAGGCAACCGTATGAGGAAGTGATTGAATGGTAATAGGGTATCAAACTACAAAACAATCTTTGAAACTTCAGGGTCTGCCGCAGCGAGGATCTCAACTACCTCCTTCCACACCTCAGCCTGAATCTCCTTTGCTTCCTCTGTCTTGAAAAATGGCGCAGAAACCCTGACATGTTAGCTTGATTACTTGAGACTAGGTGGGAAACTCACTTCTCATATTCGTCATCTGTCAAGTATGGACGTCTGAATGTTCCATGCTGCTCTGGAGTGGTCTTTGCAGCTACGACAAGGGACCTAGCACCAACATCTGCAGGTACAGCTTTGAGAGCCAAAGCCATGTATGCTTTCGCAACACACTGCATACCCCAAACACCACCTCCAAAGCTGCGAGCGATGCCGGTCTGGACGATTCCAGGGCATACGGTGTTGACAATGGGCGATATCCTAACGATTAGTGGACGTTCACGAAAGAGGAGAGGGCGCTTACTTTCCACCAGCAGATGCGATCTTGTCCATTGCGTTGACGCAATAATGAAGCATCAGTTTGGAAATACCATACGCGTCGCGACCAGACATGAAATTTTCTTCCTTGCTCCAGAACGTGATGATATCTTTTCTTGGCCATTTGGAGAGGTCATTTTCCCAGTGAGAGCCTGAGCCGACAAAAAGCAAATGCGATTGCTCTGGTTTTGATCTCATCCATTGGATGAGCAGAAGTCCAAGTAAAGTGGTTGAGAGGACGTTGACTTGGATGTTGGCGAACCATCCTTCAGGGGATGGCTTCCAAACGAATTCTTGGACTCCGCAGTTCTGGGTGGTCAGCGATGGCAGCGAAGTGAACGTGAGTACTTACAAGCAGAATGATATCAAAATGTCTGTTCTCCTTCTTGAATGTGTTGACGAAAGTTTTGACTCCTTCGAAAGTGTCCATGTCCAGGATCATCACATCGACTAGCTTTCCTGTACGACTCTCGATGTCGAGTTTTGCCTGCTCGCCTTTCGCGGCAGTGCGGGCGGTGATGGTGACACTTGCTCCATGCTGGAGGTAATGAACCGTTGCTTCAAGACCAAGTCCGCTTGTCGCACCCGTGATGAGAACAGTTTCGCCTTCGAACGAGAGATCAGCTGGCAGAGTATCGGATTTTAAGCCGCCTCCTAGGATGTTTCGTGCAAAGGTTGACATCGTGACCGAGGTGAAAACGATTGAAAATCTACTGCTGCAAACGGAGTAGAACGTGAAATTAGAGATAACGAGTGCTATGTCTGGAGTCTTAAAGGGATGGAGGTAACAAAATGTTGATGGATTTAAAGACGTAGATCCGTGATGATTGAGGATGCAAACGCATTCGGCGGGTTTTGGTTGAGGCTAAGTGCCGGCAGGTCATGCAGGATGCTCCTTCCGAATTACACGCATGATGCAACGAACACTAATTTGATGACCAATTCACGTTCCACCAAAGAAACAATTGAGAGTACACATTTGACGAGAAGTAGGCTGATTTGAGGTCCTGAGATTGGTCGAGATGATCTTGGTACCTAGGTAGAGATGCTCGGCTCGGCTCGCACGTGTTTTGGCCCCCTTTTCCTTCACGCCGAAGTACCAAGGCGGCGCTGACATTCGATCGGGGCCAGTCATAGCATAAACTGCACTCATGCGCACTTCCTTCATTAGCAATAATGTTTCTCCTACGGGCGAAATTGCCTGATATCTCCGCGATGAGAAGACAGCACTGGGAAGAGAAAACCCTCCACGAGCTTTCAAGCCAGACTGTAAAATGCTTGCGAATTTCGAAATCAGATTCATTATTATTCCTCGTCCAATATACAATCGGACACTCATCATCCAGACTCATTCAACTCGACAATTCGCATCTTCTGTCGGAGAACTCTCCCAAGATCTAAAGAAATATGCCACTCCTCTGCAATGATCTTTCCGTGGCCTGCTCTGCACCGACAGTCCCAAAATAGTAAGGCTAATGAGATTGTTAAGATGGCTGTGCGAAGGTCAGACTGTCAGTGTACGGGTTTGCTGTGTAACGTCACTTTGTTAGCATGATATGTCGAAAGGAAGATGGAGTATTCGTACCAAGCATTTCTAGCATATCATTCCAACCTAGCGACCGGCCTGACATAACAACAAGCCGGCTGCCTAGTCAGATTGTCATGGGAATTGTACTTGCTTTGAGCTTTTGGAAGCTGAAGGAAACGGAAACTCAAGACTAGCATGACGATCAAGAGCCTCATTTCCAGCATCGCGATCCGTTTACCGAAGCAACCTCTCTTCCCAGTTGAAAATGGGAGGGAGAGCCCAGCATCAGGGTCAAAGTTACCCATGCTATCCAACCATCGCTCAGGTATGAATTTTTCAAATGAAGAGTTCCAGTTTTGGACCCCCGGCAATTGAGAACAGAGAGGTTGCTTGAAGTTTGGTCCCAGCTGCTTCTCCACCTCGAAGATATCTTGATTGATCATGGAACCTGGTGGAGGCTGGGTTATCAGGAGGATCGGGGTGAATGCTGGAACGTGATGGCCCATGATTTCACAATCTGTGAGCGTCTCTCGGAAGAGTACAGGACCAGTACATGCCATTCGTAGAATTTCCGCGAGGACTGCGTCGAGGTAAGGAATCTCAGCCTGTGCGATATTCAAGCCGCTCGGCAGATTGGACTTGGTGGCATCCGGGAAAGCTTGCTTCAAAGCAATGTGTAGTTGTTCCTGAACTTCTTGATGATCTGCTAGGTACTTCAGTCCCCAAGCGGTCGTGGTTGCTGTAGTCTCGTGACCAGTGATCAAAAGCTCTAAAATCTCGTCGATCAATGCGACATCCGACACAGTATCGTCTTGTTGTTTTAAAACTTCGCTGAGTCCACACCGAATTGTTGGGATGTTGGCTTTCAGATGTTCTCGGGTATTATAGACAATGGAGTTGAGCGTTGCATGTGTTCTCGTCTTGGCAAGACGGAAACGAGGGATCCTGTTTATGACGAACTTGTAGATGCGTGGCGTGATACCAGTCACTACCCAAAGCAGTCCCGTCATGAGGGTCCTGAAGTCCTGAAAGAAGAAGGGGAATGAAGGGCTCTGCACGGTGCTAGTATTTGGATCTCCCTTCTCCTGTATGTATGAAATGCTAGCACCAGCAAGCCCTAGATCACGGCCAAGGAGAACTTTCCACATGCTCTCGAGAGTAGTTCGACATATATCGTCATATGCTGCGAAGGATGAACCGTCCGTCATTTGAGCTTTGATTGTCCAAAGCTCTATCGATCTTCGAATTGCTGCCTCGAAAGCAGGTGTTGCAACGGTGTCTAGGAAATCTGGGGTAAGCATGCAATTCCATAGTCGCCGCTGTCGCTTGAATGAAAGCGTCGTTTGCATGCCTGTCGTGGCATTCGGAACAACTGTGTTGAACCAGAATTGAATGAGCGTGGCCCGGTCGATCTCATGGACTCTCTTTACGATAATGTCTTTGATTTGGCGAAGGTCCGAAATGAGCAGTACGGGAGTTCTGGTTGAGAACGAAGGAACCATAATTTGAACGATGGACGATCTATGCTTTATGCATTGTGAAGAGAGCCAATCGAAAGTGGATCCAGCTCTGATGCTGTGGGCACCAAGCGAGAGAAGGTCTCCACATGGCATCCATCTTGTCAGGCGACTGTAGGGGATACCAGGCAAAGGTTTCGGAACAAGAATTCTGTTCAAGAGCCAGAGGAAAGCAACGATAGCCAGAGGGATGTAAACAACTGCAAGTATCGTGGTGAACATGTTTGTTGTGTTGGTAACTTGAGAAGGGCACAAGGGCTTGTGCACCTCTGTTCGTTATGTACCTCGACCCGCTACTCTGAATGACAGAGGGATTCGACCAAATACACTTCCAGACGCGTATCGAAGGATTTTCGGAGTCTCGTGCACCTCTTTTCACGACAGTCGACTACTCATAGGTCAACAACGTATCTACAGCCGAAACTTGCAGAAGAGTAAGTTTAGTGCCGCTTAATGCGACCTATCAGTTACTCATTGAGCTGATGCACTCGACCGTGCCGGACTGCGAGGCACATTGGGTTCACATTGGCGAAAACCAACACCACAACTGACGTATCTTCGTGATATGACTAGGAAATAACAGCATAGCTATTCTCAAGCTTGTTTTCATGACCAAGAATCTTCCACTGTTAATACAGGATGGTGGCGAATTCGCATCATAGAGACTTGAAAGTGAATATCTTAGTGACTGTTGTTGCGAGTTCGTACTTCATAGCCAATGAGCATCAGAACGGTAGGACTTGAGCGTAGGATTCAGCTTCGGGTGGCTTACCCATGACTGATGTGAGATGAAATCTGACTATTTGAGTTCCCCCGCAGTCCTGACGGCGTGGTGATAAGAAATCTTGGCCGTGAGGAGTCTCAACTGAGCTTGTGCCACTATGCTCTAAAGAGCTGCAAAAGAATCCTTGCTTCCTCCTACAAAGATGTCGAGCTATTTCCACCCACTGAAGGAAGGCTTAGAAGAGAGTCGAGTTCCAAGGGGAGATAGAGAAATTTGAGAGCACGGGGGACGTCATGTTGCAAGTAAATCCAATGAAGGCAAGGCAATCGACAGATCAAGCTCTGCAAAAGAAAGGCTGGTGCCGCGGAAGAGCAGACACGCAGATTATCCACAGCCCGCGCAAAAGCGCACAGACGCCCGGGCACAGACAATGTAGACTTTTTCGATACGGCAGCTTTACTCGCTAGAGTCGCTCTTGTGCAGAAGATTGTGTCTTTGTGGTCAGGTCTTTTGGAGCTTCACCTTATCCTGCCTCCCCAAGGCGCTCGTGGGTGGGTTCAATGATACGGATTTTGTCGAAGCAAGTAAAGCTGAAAGAAGGATTGTTGCAGCGGACTCGAATAACAAAGCGGTGGTCGGGTCGGATCTAGGGAGAAGCAGAATTCTTTCGTCGGAGGAATCTGGTTCTGTGGAACAACTCGTTTAGGGAATGAAGCGGATAATTCAACTTTCTCGAGCTGCTGGGTTTGTTGCTATGCTCCCGTTTTGCTAACGTTGTAGAGAAGGTTCAATGATGACAGGTAATTGCTGTGAGGTTGGCTGAACTGCATCTCCCGTCATTACTGTGTAGCAGCACGTGAGAGAGCTTCAATAGGTACCTAGGTACCTAGGTAACCTAGGGGGGTGTTTTTAAGACCTTGAAGAACATGAGGTGAGCTTGGAAGTTCTTTTAATCCGGAGCAGCAATCTCACTTCTTGAAGGAGGATTATTTCATCAGATCACGTGCATCACATAAAGAAAGACCTGGCAGTCGCCATATGAGCCTGAATTATATTGCGGAATGACAATTTACTTCTTGATCTTGATTCACACTAGATGATAGATGTTCTCACTTCTGTTGCGATGATTTTATCGCTAATCCCCGCTTCTCTCCTTTGTGCAATTTCATGCAGAGAGCACATCATCTCCGACAACCCCAAGCCCAAGCATTTATCTCACCAATGCCCTTCAAAGATAGAATTTGAAGCGCCAATGGTGGAAGAAGCTATTCCTCATCGTCTTAGTGTTGCACTTCAGCATCTCGAGGCTTTCCAACCCCCAATCAGTAATCACTATGGACTCACTGGAGAGTGCGAATGATCTGCTTGTGCCGATATCCGTTTATCTTTAATGTTTTACTGAACATTGAAATCAAAATGAACTTGAACATGGTCTGAGGATTGAACAGCACTCAGACGGAGATCGGTCAAGGTACTTATCTCCGTGCTGAAAGCTGTTTTGAGAGGTCCAATCTTCAATGTCGTTATCGTGTGGATGGATTTCTGCAATGATCTAGCTCCCATATGGATGGCAAGGCAAAATTCGGACCATCACTTCCTGCTGACGCCATTTATTCCTTGTAGAAGTTGGAATATATAGATCGATGATTCTCCTTACTTTCTTCATTAGCCATCATCCCCGAATAGCAAACAACGAACTCCAGCAGCGTACCTCCTTTAGCAATACATCAACATGGCTCCATCTGTACAGCAACTTCCCGAGGATATCCCAGCCCCAAGTCTTGAGAAGCTTGGGATCACAAATGATGCTCCTGAGGAAGTTCTCCAAGAAGCTCCAAAGCAAGCTCCAAAGCAAGCTCCAAAGGAAGTCCCTAATGTGAAGAGACAAATCGATCTCGAGGGAGGAAAGACTGATGCCAAGGTGATTATCTCAAAACATCCCACCTTTGAACTTTCTGACCAATTAGTATCCTCAATACCTTCCAACTTGGAATCATGGCCAGAAGTACCCTCCCTTGGAGCCCTTCACCCATGTTGAGCATGGCAAGGGTGCCGACGCCACCTTCAAAGATCTGCTTCCAGAAGGCAGTAAAATTCAGAAGCTTACTCCGAGCATTGGATCTGAGGTCACAGGCGTTCAACTGAGCAAGCTCACCGCTGCTGGAAAAGATCAATTGGCCCTTCTCGTGGCTCAGCGTAAGGTTGTGGCATTCCGTGACCAAGATTTTGCAGACCTTCCGCTCCAAGAGGCTCTCGACTTCGGTGGATACTTCGGCCGACATCACATTCATCCTACTAGCGGAAGCCCAGAGGGCTTTCCTGAATTGCACATCGTCCACCGATACGGCGCTACCGGCAGCGAATTCGAAGCCTTCCTGGCTAATCGCAACAGCACTGTGAGCTGGCATTCTGATGTTACTTACGAGGCACAAACTCCTGGAACCACGTTCTTGTATATCTTCGACACGCCTGAGACTGGTGGGGACACCCTGTTTGCCAATCAAGTCGAAGCATACAACCGTCTGTCAGAGCCGCTGAAGGAGAGATTGCATGGGCTGAAAGCAGTGCATTCTGGATTCGAGCAAGCTCAGTTCAGCAGAGATCGAGATGGTGTGGTGAGGAGAGAGCCTGTCAAGAACGAGCACCCTCTCGTGAGAACTCACCCTGCTACAGGCGAGAAAGCACTCTTTGTGAACACTGGTTGTGAGTATTACCACTCGATCTAATGAAATAGACTAACAATGAAAGTCACTCGCAGCATCGTGGGGCTGAAGAAAGAGGAGTCCGAAGCACTCTTAGCCTTCTTGTTCAATCATATCAGCAGAGGTATTGACTACCAAGCTCGTGTGAGATGGGCGCCGAAGACGGTGGTGGTGTGGGATGTGAGTGTTGTATGTTCCCTGAATGCAGGTTGCTGACTATGATAGAATCGTGTGACTGTCCATTCTGCGACGGCCGATTGGAGAACTGGTGAACGTCGCCACTTGGCAAGAATCACTCCTCAAGCTGAAGTCCCATTTGAGACCCCATACGTTAAGGGTGATGTGGAGACGAAGGCTTGAGATTGACGTCGACGTTTGACCTTTGGGAGCGGCAAGCTCAATTAAGCCCGATCGCCTGAGATTTTAAGCGACCGCGCAGAGACATGATTTTTGCATGAGATAACGGCAATGGGACAGAAAGTAGAATGAATCTTTTCTTCCGAACACAAATAGCGCTTCAAACAAGAGCAGTGATCCAGATGACCCATTCAACATGCAGCGAGACTCCAGAAACCAGGTAGGGGAATTCGATAAGTGTGCAATATCATGGTGTGTGTAGGCTTTTGGAAGCTGATCAGATCTTCCAACGGGTATGTATCTGATGTACAGTACAAGTCGTCGAAAATGGGACGATGAGGGTTGTGAAGCGGAGTTTGATGACATAAGCCGACCACCACAACGATCTGCAACTCGCAACTTTCACGACCTCAAGAATCGCAAGAATTCTGCCTTCGGACCTGCACCTTCAAGGTAATCCCAAAGAAACCCTTACTTTCGCCGCGGCTATGCTGAGAATGGCAAAATGGAACGAAGGGGAGGCAGTGGTTTGCAGTGAGGTGTCACGGTGAGGGACGTCTTGTTGACGCAAGATCGATTCTTGTAAACAGAGCAGGTCAGTACAAATTGGATGAAGACGGGATGCAGGCCAGATATAGCTAACCATCAATCAGTATTGTTCGTCTTTCCCCTTGACGCAATGCCATTCGTGCTCAATTCGAAACCTCTTTCCTGCGAAGACCAGCCACTCCTCTCTCGATTCCTCGATCCTTTTCCTCCTCCGCGGCTATGAATCGAATCCTCTATTCCTCATTCGTTTCCTTCTTTCTTGTACAGACCCGGTCCATCACGGTCTGCTTACCATACACTCGTCTCCATCCTCCAATGCTTATAAGGTTACCTATCGCTGGAGGGTCCCGCTTGATGATGATATAAACCTCCGACGCATTTGACTCATGGGGAAAAGGTCCTTCAATGATCGTTCCTTCGTCAGTCAAAGTAGTCTTGGAAAATAGCTCGAACTGTCTATTTCCGTGGCTTATGCTTTCCTTACACTGAAGCCAGGATACCTGCATTTCAGGACGCAAGATGGTGTAGTCAACTACAAGTGTTAGCAGATTCGGTACCAAGTTAGGTGCTTACGTCTATCTTGCAAAGGAGTGCGCCAGACAACCGCCTTAGGAGCCCTGAATTGGCCGGCCGTCTTAATATGGTGGACTAGATGGACAATCTCTTCGTGTTTGAATGGCTGCCCTTTTTCGAGCCGCTGCGAAGCAATCTCGAGACAAGTATCCAGGCATGCATCCAGAGCGCGGAACGCAAATTGTTCTGCGTTTTCCCGAAACCTTGGAGCTGGGATATCCGCCCATGGAGATACAGTTGGGCTTTTCACAGGAGGTGCGCTTTGAGGTGAGTCCGCCATACTTGTCTGATGGAAAGGGCTGCCCTGTTCGGATGCGATCATGGTATGCAGAAAACTTCCAGTGTTCGTTCGGAAGCTCCTAGGCTCTTGGATTAAATATCCCTGAAGAACCTTTTCGGAAGAACGATAAGCTATCCCCAAATCACAGTATACAGGCACCAGCGCACGAGAAGCTTCATGGACTTTGTTCAGTGGATGGCAGCTTCTTTGAACCTCCCGATAGAGAAGAAAGATTCATCATGCAAGCAACCGTGTGATGTGAAGGTCATAAAGGTTGACTTCTAATCACGGAACTGTAGCTACAAAGGTAGTGCTGACATCTCTGCAGGTTGTGTAGAAATTGAAACTCCTCTCAGCCTCCTCGTTGTCCAGAAGCGCTTCAAATAAATCCACTGTGCATCCTCATCCTCTTTGCACGAATCCGAAATCATCCACCATCCAGCATCTTCTGTGTCGAGGGCCTCCCACCGCCCTTCGAACGGCGCACTTTGCGAACTCCATATCTCCAAGCAGTATTATTCTGACCATGTCAGAGCAAACAGATACTGCCGAAGTATGAGAACGAGTTGGAGTTGTTGAAGCTTGCTCAGAAAACAATCTGCACCAAGGAAAGGTTGGAGATAAAGAGAGCCAGAGTATTCAACGTCTGAATTGCTGCGATGTATGAAATTGATTCGCTCCAGTGCATTGCAATATCTGCTGGCAGATTTACGAAGCACACATCGACTTTGATTTCCAAATTGTCTCGAGACTTGGGACGAACGGCAAATCGCAAGTTTCGACCCCCTTTGTTGACTCAGCGCATTCTCCACAGCCAGGCTATCTTTAGCATTCCTTCCAGTGCACGGAAGCTGATAGCGGTTCTCGAAGAAACGGCGCCACAGGCTCTGGCCGTTCAGCTCTAACGTCGATTTTCTGCATGCCCGTGTTTATTCTTTAGTCTGATTACAATCGGAAATATTGGTTCTTCCCTCGCACGGGATTGACACATCATTGGTGGAGAAATCTTGGCATTCTCCCCGCATCACCCTCCCCGCATCGGAGTACTGGGGTAAATACCTTTGGACCCCCCACCTTGCATTAGTGTCAGGGCAATCGGGTCCAACGGCAAGGTTTATATCGATATTTTCTGCACCGTTCAAATATACTCGTCACCTTGATGGGAGTGGATGACCACTTCAGCACCGAAAGAAAACGGTTCGTCTGAAGCTTTACGATCTCGCCACGACCATGATCCTCGCCAGCCACATGGCCAATAATTCCAACAGAGCGGCTCGCTGGGACCAGGAGCTCGAGTTTTTCCGGCCCTTGTCTTGATATTATCCATACAGGTGGGATATATGTTCTACTTTGTAGCTCGTTGTATTGTCAATCTTGGTCTTCATCTTTGTTTGAGAATAAGTCTCAATGATGCGTTCTCTGGCTGCACTACTCTTGTTTGTCGGCGTCTCGTTGGCTACTCAATGCGTTAATGATGCTTGCCTTCAAACTTTTGAAGAGTTTGAAGTCATTGCAACAGCATATTGTGTGCTCTACAAGGAGATTGAAGGCTTTGCCGAACTCCCAAGTTTCATGGGACCCTGGGCAAATCAACCAGCCAGCATCTCGAGTGCATGTTCCTGTCTCACTGCCACATCGTCAAAGTCAACTAGTTCCAGCATTTCAAGTATGTCACTGCCCACCGATCCGACATTTCCTAACGATTTCTAGCCAGCTCGAAATGCGTGGCAACACCTACTACAGTGCTCTCAACTGTGACCTCAAAATCTACTGTAGTCTCATACAGTACCGTATTGTCAACAATCGTTGAAACAGCTAGCCCATCTACTGTAACACTTTACAGCACAGTCTTGTCGACACTGGTCGACTCTATCACGCAGACTATCACGGCTCCTGCCTCAACAGTTACCTCAATATCAGAAGTCCTCACGACGGTCACTGATTACAGCACGTCGTCTGTAACAGACACAATCACCATCTCTGCCAGCGTTTCATCAAGTTCAACAAGTCAATCGAGCTTTTTGAATAGCTCAAGCACCACGTGTAAGTTTACCAAAGCTTTCATAACATCGCTTCTGACATCGATGCAGCTATTTCGGCCTCTTCCAGCATTTCAAGCACGTCAAGTAAGTCTGAACAATCCAACCTATGAATTGACTGACAAGTACTCAGCTATTACTTCCACCCCTCTCAGCTCCTCCTCTTCAACCCCATGCACATGCACCGCGTATTCTCAAATTGCTCCAGCCGTGGCAGCCTGCACACAAATCACACTGCAAGATATCAGTGTCCCCACGAATAGCAGCATAAATCTGGCGAGCTTGAAAGCTGGCTCTACAGTCACATTCGCTGGAACTACAACTTTTGCGTTCACGAATTCCTCCACATTCAATCCAATCACGCTTGGAGGCTCTGGAGTCACGATCTTGGGTGCTCCTGGTTCAGTTTTGGATGGAAATGGACAGGCATATTGGGACGGGCAAGGGTCCAATGGCGGGGTACCAAAGTGAGTGTTTTTCTCAAATCCAAACTCGTACGCTGACTCTTGTAGGCCCGATCACTTCATCGTGGTCAATAAAATGACTGCTAACTCAGTCATCCGGGATCTTTATATCCAGAATTATCCTGTTCACTGTTTCAGTATCTCCAGTTGCAGTAATCTGCTAATTACTAATATCCAACTCAACAACACGGCTGGCAATGCACCCAATGCATTCAGCGGGGGCCTTGCAGCTGCCCACAATACAGATGGATTTGACATCTCAACGACTAACAATATGGTTTTGTCTGACAGTACAGTCTACAATCAGGATGATTGTGTCGCTATTACCAGTGGAAATGAAATCACTGTCACAAATCTGTACTGCAGCGGAGGTCATGGTCTGTCGATCGGGTCTGTTGGTGGGAAGAGTAACAACAATGTTACGAATATCCTGTAAGGTGATCAACTTTGTGTACAGGACAGCGCTGACAAAATCTAGCTTCACTGATAGCACTGTGACCGATTCTCAGAATGGAGCACGGATTAAATCGAACTACAACACCACAGGGTTCATTTCGAACGTCACGTACTCAAACATTGCAGTCAGCGGAATCTCTGTTTACGGCATCGATGTTCAACAGGATTATCTGAACGGAGGACCAACAGGTACGTAGTAAAAGCAGTTCCCAACCAAAATACCCCACTTCCACATTCAGTTCTCAATCTGAAGACGTGCTGACTTTCTGATATAGGAATCCCAAGCAATGGCGTCATAATCACAGATCTAACTTTCCAAAATGTGACTGGTACCGCGATCGCAGGAGCTGAGGATTATTACATCCTATGTGGACAAGGAAGTTGTAGCGACTTCACTTTTACGGATGTTAGCATCGTGGGAGGTACGGTTGCAGACAGCTGCAATTATCCTCCATCTGGATGTCCCGGCTCTTCGTCTACAACTTCGAGTGTTGTTTATTCGAGCACATTGAGCAGTACAACCTCGACAATTCTCTCAACCAGCACTTCGTCAGTCTTGACACAGAGCTCCCCAACGAGCACACCCTCACCCACTTCGACATCTGCTTGGGCACGGACATCTCCTTCAGCGGGTGCGGTGGTTGTGGATGCGACTGGAGCTACTGCAGGCTCCTACTCTACCGTCCAAGAGGGGGTAAATGCGCTTTCACTTACTGCTACAACACCTCAAAACCTCTTCATCTACCCAGGAACTTACAGGGAACAAGTCTACATTCCAGCACTGAAGTCAAATCTCACAGTTCAGGGCTACACCATTGATGGAAGTTCATATACTGAGAACACGGCTACGATAACTTATGATCTCGCTCTCCTCAATACCACCAGCGATGATCTGACAGCAACAATCCGACAATGGAACCCCAACACCAAGTTCTACAATTTGAACATTGCCAATACGTTTGGTCATGTGAGCACCAATGGCCAGAACTTAGCTTTGTCCGCTCATACAGGCAACCAAGGCTACTATGGAATGCAACTTTGGGGTTATCAAGATACCCTCCTCGCCAACACGGGCAATCAGTTGTACTCCAAGAGCTTGATCGTCGGAGCAATTGATTTCATTTTTGGACAAACTGCAACGGCTTGGTTGGACCAGGTTGACATTCGCACCATTGCTACCGGATGTGTAACTGCTTCTGGAAGAGCATCTGCCAGCAATCCGTCTTGGTATGTTATAAACAATTCGACAGTGGCGGGAATCAATAGCAGCATTGAAGCGGGCATAAACTATCTCGGTCGACCCTGGGAGTAAGTATTCCCTCCACACTGATCGTCTCATGCTGATTTCGCAGATCATTTGCACGCGTTGTCTTCCAAAATACCGACCTCAGCAATGTCATTGCACCAGCAGGGTGGCGGCCATGGAGCACCGCGGTTAATGGCACAACGAATACCGAGAACGTAACTTTCGCTGAGTACGATAATTACGGAGCGGGAAGTATTCTCGAAGAGGGTCCCAGAGCTAGTTTCAGTGAGCAGTTAACGGAGCGAATTGCGATTGAGACGGTTCTTGGTGATGCCTGGATGGATGAATGGTGGGTAGATGGATCATTCATGGTGTAGTGGTAGCCATCAAGTATCTATTATTTCCACCTCAGTTTCCGAGACAGGTTGATCGAGTGCCCATTGAATCCACGGTTGCCACTCTTCTCCAAGGGCATGTCTAACGTTGTCCAACATCCCTGTCCCCAATCCCTTCGAGTACCAGTGGTGATTATTTCTCTTTAACAGAACGCAAAAATGCGCCAAGATAACTAGTGCTCGAGGATCTCTTTCGTACACCAGCTCCATGTATTCTTGACTCACACGACCTGCCCACATGTGAATTGATGACTTGATGGAGCGGATTCCGGATGATTCATTCGAGAATGCTGACGTATCCCGTAATTCTTTCAATGCTTCCCTGCAAATTTCAACCTTTCGATCGTCAGTTGAATTTGGGAACAACCCTTCAAGCTTCCCGAAGTGTTCATCTTCAGGTGGATCAATAGCAAGATCTGAGCCAGGGGGAAGCGAATCCAACAAGTCATGAAATTGCCCTTTTAAAAGCTCATTCCAATGGTTCATAAGTAATCCCATCAATCCCCTCATCGTCTGAAACCAATGTGGATGATCATCGTTCTTGGTCGGGATCCTGCACCGATCTATCTTCTCTCCAGCGAAGTGTTCAGGGGATGCCATGACATAATAAACTATAGAGCCAGCAAAGGCAAAAATGGCGTCGATTGTCTCTGGTTTTGGGTTGATCAAGGTGGCTCGGAATGAGGGAAGAGCTGCAGATTCCCGTGACAAAGCCAGGCTGTAAAATTCATCTTTGCGATTCGGGAGAAGAGAGGCTAGATGCAGTGCCGAGACAGCTTGAATTCCGGAAAGTAGGAACGGATATTCGAGGCCCATTTGTAGCATGCCGACTTTCCAGACTCTCGGCGTGCGATTGTCGGCGAGGGACAGGTATAAAGTGGTTGAATAGTGGTGAAGAAGTTCATTGGTCTGAGGACTGAAGGTCGAGGGCGATAGTTCTGGCGTGAGACTAGGTGAATAGGAAGAAGTAGACGAGGCGATGATGAGACTGCGAGACGATGAGGTCATTGGAGTAAGAAAGTCAAGGCTACATTGTATCTTGTTCTTAGTGCAATTGGCACAGGATGGCTTTCCTTCATCACACTAGGGAGTTGTTAGCATTTGCTTCTATTGAGAAAGGGACTAACAGACTTTCACACGCCGACGTTTACATTGAGTGCACCCTGTCCTCGTCTTTTTGTGAGATCTCCGGGTTTCACCCATGGAAGCCGAGCTCTGAAGTATGGAGGAGGTGTGTCAGTGCTTTTGCCAAGGAATTGGAGACGTGATGCAGCAGTGGAAGCAATGTATGAATTGGGGTAAGGCTGAGGTGAAGCGTCGTCACATTTGGATTGCACTGTCGGACTTTCATGAACTTCCGAAGTACCCCTTTTCAGAAAATCTGATCACGTGAATGAAAGTGGCTTACATCAGCTCCTAGATTTAGAGCAGGGCAAAATTCCTCAAAGCTTTGCAAACAGGTACATCGACCATGTACTCTCCACAAGAATCACCCCATCATGCCGATTTGAGGGCTGAGCATCGAGAGCTGATCTCTGTTCAATTCCGAAAGAAGCACTGCGACACTTTTGAATCTCGAACTCGACTACCCTTCCTACAAGAAATGACCAGAGTCACGCTCGCGCGAGACGACTGATGAGTTCCTTCAAATCTACGAAGTCTGAACTACGATTGCAAGAGATAACCTGGAGCATGCTCTCAAGAACGCAGGCATCGAGGATTATCTGGACGGGCAGGGAAGCAGTGGACGGTGGCCGATGGGTCACGGCAGATTCTTGAGTGAAGAATGGCAAATCCGTGTCTGAGTAGGGGATATCCGCCTGGCAGTGACACCGAGATGTGTGGAATTCTCAGTCTCCATTGGGAAGTCCAGAGAGGAGAATTGGCAGACCTCTGCGGAGTAGTGTCAATCGAGGCACGATCAATGTTGCTCTGGTTCTGGTGCATCGCAATATCTGCCGTCAGGGTTACGAAGCGCGAGAAGCACACGAGGAGTCCGTCCATACATTACATTCTACCATTCTCCAATACATGGAGTGTGCAACAGCTTGGGAACAATAGCTCTGAGACTGGGAAGGACTAGGAGATTCAAATGGTGTTGGGCTGGTGCATATCACAAGGGAGACACTGAGGCAGATGAAAATGCTGGATTTCGAAGGTCAACGCTGTGATGATGCAGCTAGTCAAAGAAACAATTTTGCTATACAATGAAGGCAAGTAAGAATACATATCCCCTCCCGAAAAAAGCTCACAATCCATGCATATATCTTACACTCATACTTCTAGGTCTAAAGAGTTTGACTTCTTCAGTCATCCTCCAGTTCAGCAGCCTCAAGAGCAAGCTGCTGCTTCTTGATCTCAAGCAATCTCTTCTTCTTCTCTGCTGGTGTCAAGGTCTTTGTGGTCGACGCTGCAGCCTTCGGTGCTGAAGTGGCAGCTTTTGGTGTAGCCTTCGGTGCGGCAACTTTCTTTGGCACAGTCTTCTTCACAGCAGGCTTTGCTGTCGAAGCTTGTGGTACATATGTCTGTGCTGGGGCAGGTTGATAAGAGGCCGCGGTACCTGTCTTGATCGGCTCTCCCCATGCATTGAGTTTTTGTTGTGGAGCTTGTTGACCACCGAGTCCGCCTCCAGATCCGACCTATTGAAGGGAAAGATTAGTCTTCGTTTGCTATCAGCAAAGAGAGATTCCTTACGATCGGAAGTCCGTCAGCCACGCCTCCTACAGTTTGCAAGAGCGGTGATGTGATTCCACCGACGATGGGAAGCCCCTTGGTAGTATCATCAACTGTGCCTAACAGTCTGTGAATAGTCAGTCAACGCTCAAGAAGTTGGATGACCCGACATACCCGCCAACCAAACCCTTGTTTCCGTTGCCTCCACCGCCACCGCCGCCGAGTAGCCCTGCCATTATGATATTATTTTGGTATTTGGGGGTGTAAAGTGCGTTTTGGATTTGTGGCTGGGTAGACGCGATGTAACTCAAGATATGAAGAACGGAGAATATGTCCACGATCGTTGCTTGATTATATACAACTCCGCACGGAATCAAGATCAGGTTTCGCTTATTTAATGATCATAAGTTCAGGGGTTGATTCGCTTGGGAATTGTCTGTGGCACAGATGACGTAGCGCGCCCAGGATTCGCAGGGATTTTGCTCGCTGGCGGGGTGAAATGGGATTTAGAGGTTTGGATGATTGAGGTCAGTAGCCACTGGAGCTCAGCTGAGCTGGGATTTGTCCTGCAGATAAGAATGTGTGCATGAGGGCATGCTGATCATGATGATGATGCGGGGGGTTGCAGTCTTCACCATGTGAATATGATGCAAAAGTATGATCGCGATGGATATCCAGTGGAGAGGGTTCCATTTACGGCAAAACACATTCTGTAGGCAGAGAGTCTCTAGCGTATACTCCCCAGCCACACAACTGCAGACAGACAAGGATGCCGATGTTCGAGATCTGGACAGTCTTTTGGGTCACAATATCATACTATCAGAGTGTTCGATCAGTTTCGGCGGCAACTGTTTGGACATGTTAGCATAATTTTGTCAGAGTATCATCCTTGAGAAAGTTCGAGCGTCATACTCAGCAAAAGACCGCCGGTTACTTCTCAGGTGCCAAGGTCGTCCGAATGTGATTCGTGGCAGCAAGCTCGACCCGCCTATATGTGTGGACGTCCATAGTCCTGGTGATGCGATCGATTCTTGCAGGAGCATCAAAGTCCTTGAGTTGTTGATTCATTACAGCGAGCTTAGCATTAAGCGTTTCCGGTCTCCAATTTTTGGGTAGCCATCTATATTTGGCAGACTAGGCAGATTTCGAATGCTTTGCTTTCGATAAGGTTGCATTCATTGCAGAGGTTGAAAAGTGTCTGATTCGGCCTGCTATACCATCATTCTGCCCAGCCTGATGCTACATGCTCGTCTGCTGGGGAATTCTCGCGGATGCTGCAGCTGCGTCGCGGAATCATTGTTCGTTCGTTGTGTTGGCTGCCGGTCTCAGAAAAACCTACGACAATCGTTCGCAGGGAGGGATCGGCTGCATCCATGGACTGGGCCATTCAATTATCGAGACAAAAAAGATCTCATTTGAGAGTATGAGGCAGTATGTCGTCGATGGCATGCTGTTAAAAGAAGGTTGTCTCGGCCGCGATTAGCCTTATTGTAGTGAGAAATGGTTTGTTCCGAGTCTAGGCCTTCCTCGGACATCCACATCAAAAATCTCCACTTCCGACCAACTTTCAGCAACAACACGGAGCCCATATGTAGTGGTACTTCGACAGAACAGCATTGTAGCATTGTCAGATAATGCTCAAGACTCCCAATACACTTCTTTAAAAACTTACCGCTGAAGTACGACCTATTGGATGGAACATACGCGCATATCTTCGATCACCAGACCCTCTTTGACCATGGAACTCTCTTAGTCTCTTGCCACTGGACTATCTTACTTTTACTTGAAGAGAAGACAACCTATGCTCTTTGAAGTACTCAGTTGTTGATGGACTTTGAATTTTGGTCTATGTGCTCTCTTTAAATTGAAACGGCATATGTTTGAGGTTATACTTTTGACGAGGTAACACAAGATCACTACATACTTCACGGACACTAGACGAATCTTCACGGACTTGCGCAACGTTATTCACATACGTGGAATATCCCTCATTATGATACATACTGCGAGTGTAAGAGAGCTAGTTATAAGCGAGCGGACGATTAATGTTTTCGAGGTGAGAACCACGTTAGCGCATTATTAAGCGGTAAAGCACGTGATGCGCACTGTGAAAACCATTAAAGCTGCGTAAACCGCACTTGCTGAGCATCAATTACAAAAGAATGCAATCCCCAACTACATTTCTCATGGCATCAGAGATGGAAGCAGATGAAGGTAAGGCGCAGTGGGAGGAGAATCTTCAATATTACTGTACAAAATCCACTGGAGAGATCAATCACGATTGGGACTTCACCATCGTCTGCAACTCGAAGCACTTCGTCGTCACAGTATTGCCTGGTCCTCTTCCAGAAGACCCAACAACCTCTCTTCTTACCCGGTACAGTAAGGCATTTGTCGAAGATGACGATGAGAAAATTCAGGAGGCCCAAGACGAAATCTTGGACCTAGTCTTCGATGCTGGGTGGCAGAAATTCAGAGCGATAGCACCACCTATCCCAAAAGGAGACTCATCTCCCAGGATATCCACGAAGAATCTCCATTCCGACCTCAATCCAGAAACATTCTATTTCCGCCTCGTTGTGACCGAAGGACATGCAGAGATAGTGCAAACGCCTCCTCACCCACCACAATTTAATTCCTTCTATCTGAATCTGAAGGACAACACGCTAGACTTGCCCCGCTACTCTTCTCGAGATATCACGGTAACGAGCAAGCTGATGGGCTTGGGATATATCGCCAAAGTATTAATAAGCGGACTTGACATGTGCTGCAAGATTGGCACGACACAATCCTTTAAAGCAGTGCAGCGCGAATACGATTGCTTGCGACAGATCACGATATCGAAAAGTGCAGCCTCTATTCCAGCGCCGAAGCTACTTGGGTTGGTTGTTGATGATAATGGGGTCGTTCTTGGGATTTTAGAGGAATTTATTGCGAACAAAGGAAGGTTGAGTGATGTGATCAAGAATGAGGCTGGGGTTTCTGAGAGAAGAGCAAAGTGGGTGGAGCAGATTCGAAAGGCTGTTGCGCTCTTGCATGAGATTGACGTGGTGTGGGGGGATGGAAAGGCGGAGAATGTTCTTGTTGGGAGTGAGAGTGATGATTGTTTTTTGGTTGATTTTGGAGGCAGCTATACGGATGGGTGGGTGGACAGGACCTTGATGGAAACTCGTGCTGGAGATGATCAGGCTGTGGAGAAGATTGCTAAGTTCTTGGATGATGGAGTCCGTCCTTGAAGTAACTTTGTCATGTGGTGGAGGGACTTGCGACTAGATAACCGCCCTCCCACGAACACAACATCCCTCCTTGCAGATCTAATGGGTTCAAGAAATGCTGATCTCAACGACACTCGTCCAAAGAACAAACCCAGGAGCTCGGCATCTATTTTAGTGATGAGGCGCCACCTCTGCTGAAGCACCAGCAGCAGCGTTTGCTACTGTCTTGACTTCCTTCTGAGAAATCAGCTCAACTCTTCCAAGACCCCGCTAACAGCAGTCCCCAGTACTGGCTTGACCTCGACAGCCAGCACAAATCCTCTTAGACGACGTCATCAGCAGTCTTCCGTGCCGAGTTACAGCTTCGAGAACAAAGGCCAGCTCCGTTGTCAGCAATCTTTGGTCTCCACCCCGAAAAGAGAAGCCAGCTCAGCTCCACCGTCATCCGCAGCCTCTCCTACCGACTTGTAGTTTCGAGAAAGGAAGTCGACTCGAGCCTCACCACAAGGCATCATCCGCCTGAGGTGCTGCCTTGACTCCAACATCCTCGAGAACTGAAGCCAGCTCTGTCACCAAATTGGTGCCGACTTGGCCTTAGCTAAAGGCAGATCCATCTGCGCCTAGACACCACCGCCGACACCTCAATTCCGTCAAGAGCTTGCTCGAGCCATGCCCAAACGCTACCAGCAGCAGCTTTGGTGCTGGTTTGGCGCCAGGAGCTCCAAGATCGTATCCTCCAGAGAGTCAAGAAAGCGATGAGGATGAAACAGGTCAAGAAAATGACGTGCCATACCACGAACGAGAAGAGATCAGGACTCATATTCAACGTGATCCTCCACCTCAGGCCGATTCAGGCGAGGATTTGTTCGATGAAGATTACGAGGAGGAAGATCCCTCGACCGAGCCGACAGATGTCCTACCTACCAGCAGCAGAGTCCAACGTTCGAGAATTGAGCGGAGAATTGCGAAAGAGCCTCTTCCACGGTCAGGGCCGCATTACTCTTCTGATGCTACATCCGATATCACATCTTCTGACCATGGAGCGAGCCTTGCTGAGAACACGTCGAAACGCTATGCTTACATGGCAATTGATTGCGCACGCTTTGAGCAGAGCGCCGAAAAGTCCAGTTGCCAATCTCCCCGATGCTGCACACAAGTCAATCTATGAAACGGTGTGTGCAAGCGAAGTGAGCTCGCTCTTGCAGGACGGATGGGTTCAGGGCGGTGTGCTTTGTGTAGCAGGGAAGCAGGAAGAACATATCAATGTCAAGTGGAGCTTTGGACGAATTGGCAGGATCATGGATGGCTGTATTCCGATGAAGAGGACTAGCTAGACTATGCAACATCATGACAACAATCCACGCCCCTGAATCCTTCTCTGATTTGTGTTCGATTGCCTTGTCTGCCAATCCGTAACTTGCCTTCGAGTTTTTGCCATCGTTCTTTGGTCTATCTCCCCTCTCCAATCCTCTTCCTTCTCCAATCCATTGTCTTGCCCCTCAATTGCTTCTTGCAGGACGATCTACCCTCAGCACCGTGTGTTGTCGGTCTGCGAACCGGCGGCAACCACCTCCCAATGTCCTATCTGCTGCACCATGTGTTTGTGTGGAGGTGTGGAGGTGTGGAGGAAGGAATTGTAGAGCTGAAAGGGAGGTTCTGGTGCATTTCACTATGATGCATGTTAGATCAAGGTCGGACAACTTGGTTGTCACGACCACGTGCACGTGAGCTCGCTGAGTCACCTCGGTGGACTCTGGGTCACGTGGTGGAGCACTGAGGAGCGGGCGGAGCTCCTAGGAGCTCCTGCGCTCCATCTCGACCCACCACTAGAAGAGCAGTATATATAACTGGCACTTCTGCCATAGATAGGAGCTTTGTGCTCAACTTCGTTAATGTTCTTGACTTCAAATACAATTGCCTTATCTTACTTCATTTACCATACAAACCCACGTAACCTCACACAGGGTGAGGGCAAAGACGTAACATTGGTGTTAAATTGTACTAAGGAGTAGTAGTAGTAGAGATGATAAAATTGCTTATTATATTAAAATTATATTTAAAGGAATTCTATCAGCATTTTATAGATAAATCCTTCCTTTCTTTTAATTACAATTATGTTACGTCTCTGCCCTCACCCTCCCTCTAGCGATTCGACTTATTGCGGCGCACTATGCGGCTCCGCAGGCGAAATGACCCCGGATCAGGGGGGGGGGGGGGGTGGCACGGGCCAGTGAACCGCAATAAGTGCACCGCACTATGTGTTTCCTCCAATAGCGTCCCCGAGGCAGGAGGAGGGCCGTGGACGCGTACTGGGCAGCGAGGGATCGAGCCATTGACAGACTATGAGCGAGGGCTTCATTTACCGGCCAGAGTGGCAGGTGCTGCTTTGCACCGAGTGCGGGTTCTGTTTACGGCCAGGACGCGACGTCTGGCTTCGACACCTCAGGCAGAAGCCGCATTACCTGCGAGGCGCGCCGCTAAAGGCTCTTGTCGAGCTCTTTGAGAGCTATAATCTGCTACCCCCGGAGCAGGTGGCCGTGCCAACCCAGGCCGTCGATGGTTTGCGGCTCCTAGACGGCTTCTAGTGCGTGATGTGCTTGGCAGGCCTTACGCAGAGCCTCTAGACCATCTAGCTGCATGTGTCCAAGGTGCACTAGCAGAAGCTAGCACTACATAAGAAGAGTCCCATTTGGCGACCATACAAGCTCTAGACCTTCTTTGCCGAGACTCGCCTAGTCCGGTATTTTGTCGTTAACGGAGCCATAGGAGCCGCAGCCGCTGGCACAAACGACTTAGATTCGGGGGAGGCAGACTTCTTTAAGCAGCTTAATAAGGACGCAGCTATTGCGGAGGAGGATGCTAAAGCAAAAGCTAATATCGTTTATGGCTTTAATAGTCACCGGTCTGCTGTAGTGCTGTGGCTAAGACGGATAGGTATCGAGGAGCATACACGGAGCTTAAAGAAGGACGAGATGCACGCCTCTTTTGCGGTGCTAAAGAATGCCGACGACGAGCCCGAGCTGTTCCTAATGCTAGAGGTCATAGATGAGATCTTTACAGAGGCACACAGCTAGTGCTTCGACGGCCCAGACTGTATGCTGACCTGGCCACGGCAGCTAGCGTTAAGCCGCTTCCATACTGCCGCTGTGGGCAGAGCACGGGGGTTCGACCCCAAGAAGGAGCCCAACACGCGCAAGACCAACTTCGGCTACTAGAAGCAGTTTTTGACTTACTGCTACCGAGTAGCGTACCGCGGCGGCCACTTCACCACGGCCGACGACGACCAGCAGACCCCCGAGAGCTGTATCTAGCTCACAAATGCCCAGGAGAAGGCGTAGGAAGCGGCCTTCCAAAGTGCTGTCGAGCAGGACCGGCCTGCGCTAAGAGATACTATGTTCGTCCTCTCAATGGCGCTGATCTGCCACGAATTTGGAGGCTATCGGTACAGCTCCTCACTACTTAGCTTCTGCGCTATGCTCAGCGTCAAGCCGCATACCAAGACTTGGAAAGAGCTGGGCAACTACAATAGTTGCTTGTCTGGCGTGATCTGGGTCGCGCAGCTAATCATCTTCCACACTAGCGTCTGCCTAGAGAAGGCGGAGTTGGGGAGTACGCTCGAGCGTATCGAGCAGTATTGTGGGCGGTTCTTAAAGCAAGACACAGAGACTCCTATAGGCGAGATCCTCGGCTGGCGCTTGTTGCTCTTCACCGTCTCTAAGGAGGTTGTTGGGCCGCACTAGGCGCTATAGGATGCAGACGAGAAGGTCCTGACTTATAAAGACGTTGACTTGCATATGGATCACGTGCTGCGGCTCTTGCTCTCGGAGTTCTAGTAGGCTTAGCACCTACTGTACGACGAGCTAATGTTTGGGGCTCCGAACCTACCGCGGATGCGTGCTTGGGCTTTGAAGGATAACCTAGACACTAACGCCTTTGGCTGGTTCTTTGGCTAGCACCAGGAGAACGTTACGCTACTAAAGCCACTAGCGAAGTCTTTATTAGCCGCTCTTCAAGACTCGAAGCCGCTCCGGGATTCCTTTGTTGAGACAGCTGTCGATGGGTTAAAGAGCTAGCGGACAAAGGCGATTGAGCAATATGAGGCTGTGGCCGATGAGTTCCTGAAACGGCTCTTAGTCTTAATCTATATGGGCTCTGGCTAGCCCTTGTGCGAGAGCGAGCTATTCTCCGTCACTTGGCGTAATACTTAGCGGCGGCGGAACGTCTATCTTAAGCACGGCCTAGTCATGCTGCACACCACGTACCACAAAGGGCAGCAGCAGACGGGTAAGTTCAAGGATAATATCCGGTTCCTGCCTGTACCCGTTGGAGACCTCTTGCTCGACTACTTGGTGGTAGTCATCCCGCTCCGTCAGGTCTTCCTCCGCCAGTTTGCCCCGCATGCCGTTATATCCCCGTACTTATGGTGGAGAGACGGCAAGGTTTGGGCTGACAACCGGCTCACACGGTGTATGGAGCAAGCGTGTACTCGGGCGAGTACCCCCCGGCTGCATATCGCCAACTAGCGGCAGATGACGGTCAACATCGTTAAGACTAAGTTTGCAGCCGACGTTAGGTGCTTTGAGGTCGGCGACGTAGTTGACGACGACGAGGATGCCGAAGAGATCGAGGCTAACATCCGGGTCATGACCAAGCAGCGGAACCACAGTACGCGGACGGTAAACCGGGCATATGCAAACTAGCACAATGCCAACTTTAGCAACGTATGGGATGGCCTCATCCGCCGGAATCTGCGTGCTTTAACTCTGTGGAAGGACTTGTGGGGGCTTAACTAGCTGCTTGGACCTGCTAGAAAGAGGAAGCGGGATAGTGAAGACATTAGTGGTCTGCAAATGCTAAAAAAGATCGCTATGGGGGTCTACCGGCCACGGAAGAAGTGGTTAGCTGCGGCTCTACTAAAGAGTGTAAGAAAGCTATACCTCAATAATACGCTAAAGTGGAAGTTAGCGGCGTAGGAATGGGCGATGACTACTATCATGTCTTGGACTAAGCAGGTGGTAGTCATCATGGCTACTAGCGAGGGGAAGAGCCTGCTGTTTATACTGCCGTGCATCCTCCCCGATACTAGAGTAACAATCTTAGTCTTACTACTTATGTCTTTGCGAGGGGATCTCCTCCGCCGAGTCCGAGAGCTGGGGATCGATCACTTGGTATAGGCGCCTGGCGAGCAGCGCGATGCTCCCTTAGTGTTTGTTACAGTTAAAGCAACATGTACGGAGCAGTTTCGGACCTATACCCACCGGCTTGCGGCTACGCAAGCCCTCGGCCGGATCGTGTTTGACGAGGCTCACTTGACTATCACAGCGTCCGACTATCGCGAGGCTATAGTCGACCTCGCCCTAATCCGCAACATCCGTACGCAGTTTGTCTATTTGATAGCTACGTTACTACCGGCAATATAGGCTACGTTTGGAGAGCAGAATAACTTGGTGAACCCTAAAGTGATCCGAGTATCGACGAACCGGCGAAATCTGTTCTATCTGGTGCAGCGGGCCACTAGGCTAGGGAGTCTGCTTAAAGAAGGCGCGCGGAGGGCTAGGGATGCTTAGCAAGCGAGTGGGCTACTTAACTAGACTTAAGACAAGATTATCCTTTACGTCCGAATGAGGAACGAGGCTAAGGAGCTAGCTGAGCTGCTGAGCTGCCTAGTCTACACTGCCAAAGTCGGTACAGCTAAGGAGAAGGAAGAGCTACTAAGAGCGTGGCTTACTACCCCTAAGCAGCCGTATATTGTGGCAATATTAGCTCTGAGTGCAAGCTTCGACTATACACACATCCGGCTCGTAATACATATTAATAAGCTAGATTCCCTTATCGACTTTGCACAAGAGTCTAGGCGGGCTGGACGGGATAGGAAAGAGGCCTACTCGGTTGTACTCTTACCCCCTCGATGGGTGTCACAAGTGGCCAATGCTATAGAGGCTAAGAAAGGGGTGCTCCACCGCTACTTACAAGGCCAAGAGTGCCGCCGGATTTGCCTAAGCGCATACCTTAACCTTGGGTCCTAGCTCCGGCAGTGCGTCACAGGCGAAGACATCGTGTGTGATGTATGCAGTAGTAGTCTAGTCGAGACGGCCTTACTAGTGCCTCTTATTACAATGCCATACACTAGGAGTGTAATCATCTAGCAAAAGCGGCGCGCAGCTCACCTCGAGCTTAGTCGGTATTAAGAAGACTTGCTCGCTGTGCAAGGGACGTGCCTGCTCTGTCGAGGGCTTAACGAGCCATGGGACCACGCGTTTACTACATGCCACCGGCGGTTCGACCTCTTCCAAGCCCGTGACCGGGTGAAGAGGCAGTGCGAGGGAGCTTGGATTGCCGCATTCTAGGCGTGCTACTAGTGCTATAACCCGCAGTCCGTCTGCCTACGAGCAGACCCCGTGTCACGACTCTCTCCTTACCCTGGTAAGGTCACGTGGGTTGGTATGGTGAATGAAGTAAGATAAGGCAATGATATAGTAGTTAGGAAAACTTAATCAAGTTGAGCACGGAGTTCCTCCTTAGTGAGTGACAACTCGTCGCTATATAGGACCTCCGTTTCCTGGATCGTAGTGGATCGCTCGATCCCCTATGATCCCCTATGATCCACCACGTGACCCAGGGCCCACCATAGGTCGAGATTCCCCGCCTGCCGAGCCCATGGTCCACTAGTCCCGTAATCGTAACAGCGAATAATATTATTAAATTAAAATATTTAAATATATAACGTAATGTATATAAAATTATTATATTTATAATAAAATATATATTTTTAAAAATAAAACGCTCGATTTATTATAATTTTTACCGATTTTTAAATAATTTTAATAATAAATATTTATTAATTTATATTTTTTGTAAAGAAGTACGAATATGTCGAAGAATTCGGGACCTACGAGGAGTCATTGTCACGTTATCCGAGTCTAGAAAGAGAGAGCAAACTTTCAATATTACTTGTGTCACGGTTCTGGAGTCACGGGCTCGCTAAGTACTCACGTGACCGCTCACCTGTATATATGCTCTGCCTTCCGGCGCTTCTTTCCTTCCTTTCCTCTTTACCTTTAGATCCTAAGA